TTGGTGTGTGGGATGACGCACATGCTGTAGCAGGAGGCTGAATGGTTTCATTGGAATAATCAATGACAGATTAACCAGTTTGCAGATTCTGACATGGGCTGTTTGCTTCAGTGTGTTACTGATCAAAGGACGCTTGCATATGTGGGGACTTGATTATAGTAATACTTTAAATGCACTTTTTGTTTGTAGATGACATGATAGCCATATTTTTTATATACATATTTGCACATGGATTCAGAAGCGTATTGGACATCTGTTAAAAAGGAATTGCTTCTGCCACAGACAGATGTCTGTCAGCTCATAAACCTTTTTACAGTCACTTCCTAAAAGACCTCAGGGCTTTAAGTAAATCAATATGATGCTGAGGCTCTTTCATTTTTGGAAACTGCTTTGGTGCAATTCTTTTGCAAATCACTGTGCATGTAAATATCACATATTTAATAAGGGTAACAGATCACGTTTGATCCGTGATCCGTATGGATCACAACCAACGGATCAGAACGCACGTGACCCGTGGATTATTAACTTTTTTTGAACTTGTAGGTTAATCCAACATTTATAACAATTACAGCGTCATTCAAATCACGTGTATGAAAGTATTTTGGCTTCCCTGGAAAATATAATGATGATAGAAGTTGTGGTTGGACCTACCTAAATGCTTTATTAGTAGGGGTGTAACGATACACTCAGCTAACGATACAATGTGTATCACGATATAATGTTCACGATTCGATATATATCACGATATTTGTAATAAAAATTTTAAATAAAATGCTAAAATGCTAATTTTATTTTTTTTTAAATGTAGTTACCAAGTAAACTATTTTTTATGTTTTTCTTTTGTTTCAACTTGTTAAACTGAACCTTCTTTAAGAAAATAATTTAAACAGGCCTGTCTCTGGAAAATAAAACAATTTAAAAACTTCTTATAAAATATTATTGAAATGATTCAATTAAATTGAATTTAACAGTAAGAGCTTAAGGCTTTGCTTGGTCACTTGCGTTTTTTGTGTGTGCAAAAAATAAATAAATAAATAAATAATCTACATTTCCAGGTAATCGGCAGTTCTATAAAATAATCCTGAACTGATGTGTATCTGTCTGAGAGGTTTTTATGGATGGCTGTCTTCATGTTGGGCATGATGAGTGACAGGGTGGCCGTCTTTTCATTACACAGGACAGTCGTGGCTCTTTTCAGCAGTTTAGGCAGGTTTACTATTTCTTCGGCGTCTCTGATGTCGGCGCTATCAAGTATATCATGTTGACGTGGATTTTTGTGTACCTCTGTACTCAAAAGAGTTCATGCTCGTCGTAATCATAACTCTAAAATGCGATATGATTATTTAAATAATGTGCACGCTTTCCGTTTCATTTCCTCTGCTGTTCATACTTCCCACGTGGCTCCTGAACGATCACTCTGTTCCACAAACTGAATGTTGTTCACTACTTTATTACCTGTTAGTCACAACCTGCAGGTTCTGTTCACTGAAGCAGATGCGCACGTGTCTATCATAGCCCGCCCTCTGTAGTAACAGCTCACGGTCAGCTCATGTTATGTGTGATTTTGCGGCCGCCAATACATCATTATATGAAGACAGAATGATATTTTAGGGTGAATTGTACCTTATAAATACAGTATGTGACTCTTTCAACACCATTAGGAGGTATCCATGTCGCTGTGCAAAGTATGTAAATCACTGTGAAGACTTTAAACTTAGGCTATGTTTGACCCAGTATGCGTGTCAAAAAGCGGACGAGTCTAAAGCAATGACTATACAACCGAAATGTTGCCAGACGTCTGATTTTGAGAGGATGGGCCATCCTCTATTTCAACTCCACTCATCTTGGTCTGCTAACATTACTGCTGCTGCAATCTGAACTCACGTGCGACAGCAGGTGGAACGTAGCTCACGTGCAAACAGCTCAACTAATAAGAGAAAACGGACGTCATATCGTAATCAAATCGTCATAACCCCACAATGCATATTGTGACATTTTCGCATCGCAATAAATCGTACTACGATAAATCGTTACACCCCTATTTATTAGGCTATAATTTTGTAATTAAAGGTGTTTTCTGTCACTGTTTGTTTAGCCTGCATTAATGCGTGCAGTGTAAAGCTGCACAATTAAACATGAAAAAATCAGGATCTCCGTTCAAACCCTCGCAACATGAATGATAAATGATACTGATTTACGTATGTTTAGTAATCCTTAGAAGCGATGCGTTTAATTGAAAGAGATTCAGTTTTCACACATTTTCAGTTCGTTACAAACAATTAATTAACACAGAAGTACTGAAACACTGATGTTTATGGTAAAGATTAAAATCCCTGTTTAACTTGACGCTGGTGAAAGCAGTTACAATACGTAACCAACGGGTAGTGACAAACCACCATCAAAATTATGTTCCTGAATAGGTTTTTAAAAATGATCCACCTATAATAAAACATGACAGGGTTCAACGCTAGGGATTTTTTTCTACTGGTCCAATTGCGCCAATGGTTCAGATTTTTACTTGCCTTGCCAAAATTTTCACTGGCCCCACCAAAAAAAAATAAATTAATAGCTATTTTTTAGCCACATATTTTAAATAATATGTCAAAAATAATGTCTATAATTATTTAAATGTTAATAAATATTTATTTAACTAATGTATTTAAATAACATTTTAAAAATGTTAATAAACGTATGAGCAAAATTCTGTGTTAACAAAACAAAAAGAGCAGTATATAAAAATGTCAAGGTATTTTATTGCAGTTCGAAATTATTTAACAAAAGGTGGCTGCAATCGGGCCAGTAATGATCCCGTCTACTGTCCCAAGCCTCTCTCACTCTGGCCCCGGGCCATCGGGCAGTCCTTATTGTTGAACCCTGCATGAAGTTTTATGTATAAATTGTTGAATCATTCATTGAAAATAAATATGTTTTGTTTAGATGTTAGATTTCTATATATATCAACAACAGTAGCAAAGATAATTTTTCGTATTGAATATTTTCCTTTTTTCAGATGGTTCTTTCCTAATTTTATTATTATTCAAATTACAGCTTCTAAGCTCTGTTTGTTAAAACCAATGGTTTTTGCAGTAATATTTTTGTATAACTGGAAAGCAGATGACATTTGTCACCTCCCTTTTTTGCTGATTCGAAAAATGGTCCGATCCGTGACTCAAAAACCATAGTTTCGCCAAATCACAAGGCGAATATGTTCTTGTGATTAGTGTATGCCTGGATCTCTCTGTCATGCTTATTCTTTGTACTATATTATAAAAATTGTAAAAAATAAAAAAATTAAAAAATTCCTACATGAGTTTGTTTTTTGTTTTAGCATATAACATCTTTTATTTTAAATAACATCATCATTTATATTTAATCTTCATTCATTCATTCATTTTCATTTTGGCTTAGTCCCTTTATTAATCAGGGGTTGCCACAGCAGAATGAACATCCAACTTATCCAGCACATTTTTATGCAGCAGATGCCCTTCCAGCTGCGACCATCACTGGGAAACACCCATACACTCTCATTCAAACACATACACTACGGACAATTTTAGCTTACCCAATTCACCTGTCCCGCAAAATTAATATAGTTATTATTTATGTACCTGTGTGTATATAATTAGTGCATTATGTTTTAATAGTCATTTTTAAATAATATATTCTTAAATATTTTCCTATACTGGGTTGCAGCTGGAAAGGCTTCTGCTGGGTAAAACATATGCTGGAATAGTTGGCGGTTCAGTCCACTGTGGCGACCTCTGAAATAAAGACTAAGCCAAGGGAAATGAATGAATAAATATTCCTAAATATTGTGTGTATATGTATTATAAATATAAAGTACTAAATAAAAAATAAAAGTATTTTATAATATATTAAAAATGGTATATTATTATTATTATTATTATTATTATTACTGTTATTATATGAAATGTATACATATTTAATATTCCTATTCAATTCTCTTTTGTGTCCACCATCTCAGTCTAGCCCTGAAAGTAAAAAAGGAAAATGCTTTCTTTTGTCACTCTTTCCTCTCAAGGTAAATGCGTACCTTGGCACTAAAGGTCAAACGACAAAAAATAAGGTCAAGAATCTTGGTGTGACTCTGGAGTCAGATCTGAGTTTCAATAGTCATGTCAAAGCAGTCAGTAAATCAGCATACTATCATCTCAAAAACATAGCAAGAATCAGATGCTTTGTTTCTAGTGAAGATTTAGAAAAACTTGTTCATGCTTTTATCAGCAGCAGGGTGGATTACTGTAATGGACTCCTCACTGGTCTTCCTAAAAAGACAGTCATACAATTACAGCTCATCCAGAACGCTGCAGCCAGAATTTTAACCAGAACCAGAAAATCAGAGCACATCACACCTGTCCTCAGGTCTCTACACTGGCTGCCAGTTACATTCAGAATAGATTTAAAAGTATTATTACTGGTCTATAAATCACTAAATGGCCTAGGACCTAAATACATCACAGATATGCTCACTGAATACAAACCTAACAGATCACTCAGATCTTTAGGATCATATAAACTAGAAGTTCCAAGAGTTCAGTCAAAGCAGGGTGAATCAGCTTTCAGCCACTATGCCCCTCACTGCTGGAATCAGCTTCCAGAAATGATCAGATGTGCTCCAACATATTAGGCACGTTCAAATCAAGACTGAAAACACATCTGTTTAGCTGTGCATTTACTGTATGAGCACTGTGCTGCGTCCGACAGATTGCACTATCATGTTTTTCTCTTCTTCTTCATTCTTTTATATCAAATTTTAACTGTTTTTATGTTTTGTTTTGTTTTGTTTTTACGCATTTTTATTATTTGTTTTTATTTTTATTTTACTCGGTTCTTTTATTCTTGTTTATGTAAAGCACTTTGAATTGCCACTGTGTATGAAATGTGCTATATAAATAAACTTGCCTTGCCTTGCCTATAGTCTTCAGGTGATGAATTAACAGATAGGGGTTTTCCCATTTCTCTCTGTCTTTATCATTCAGGCTCTGACTACCTTCTCAGGGCAGATGAAAAGTCATCATGGAGTCGACCAGACTCATCTGCCTCTGGACAGTACACCTACACTATCCCCAGCCCCACAGAGATACACACCGTTACCAAACCAGGTCAGACACACCACATGCATGCTCCTACATGTATATATGCAGTTGATGATTTCTTTCTGTGTATAATATTTCCCAAGTACTATTTAATCATTTTTTGACAGCACTTTCTTTATTTTTTCTTCTGAAGAAATTCACATTTATTTGGAATTTGGTTGTAATTTTTAAATAATAATAATAATAATAAATAAAATGCTGCTAAGGTCAATATTATTAGCCCCTTTAATAAATTATTATTTGAAGATTTAAGATGCAAAAACCTTGAAGTGCAGAATATAGAGATAGTCCAGTCTTACAAACACATTGGTGTCCATTTTTTAAGTGTGCTAAATTAGAAAAAAAATGAAGTTGTATTTAAGAATTCACAGTCAAGACTTTTTAAGGAAGTTAATTTCTGTTGGTATCAGTAGAAAGCTTCTGTATGATTTTTCTATCAGGGAATTCTGGACAGTGTTTTGTTCTATGATGTGCTCTGTTGGGGGAGTAGCATGACTGCGGATGATAGGAACAGGATCAATAAAATTGTTTAAAAAGCTGGTTCTATTATTTGTTTTAATCCTGATTTACTTGAGGTGACTAAAAAAAATAAAATAAAAAAAAAAGAGTACAAGAGCTAAATTAAAGATCTATTTGAAATATGAAGGACATCCACTAAATAATACACTTAAGAGCTCATTCATTGAGAGACGAGTAATGCATCAGTGTGAGAGGTTTAGAAAGTCTTTTCTCTCAACCGCCATCAAGTTTTTAAAGGTTCAGGACACCCTGGAGTACTTTTTAAAAATAATTGTAACAGATTTGTGTGTGTTGAGCATCAGTTAAGACAACGTTAGCACCTGTCAGCTTTAATTGTAGGGAAAACTGGATAATTTTGAGATTTTGTCAGCTAATTTTATCTTCCGGGTTTAAAATAATATTTGGGGCAGGATTCAAATTGGTGACGTATCTGCGAATCTGCTAGTGGAGTGATGATGCGTCGGTTTCACATTATTATTCATAGAGGAGATTTCTTATCCTATGAAAAGACCATCCTTCTTAATTGATCATGAGAGCGTGTGCTTTCCGAAGGCAAGCCAGACCTGCCAAACTCGGAGACCCATTGACTGGGTGAGATCGTGTCTGCACGGCACCAGTCGTATGTGTATGTCTCCTTGATCCATGTGGATTGTTGCGTGTTTTCCCTGCGATTCTGTCAGGCCCGATTCAGCAAAGCTGTTGGTTTGCAGCAAGCACTTTTTTCCAGGAGTGCTTTACAAGAATTGGCGAATGGATGACTTTTGTTTTTTATGAGTTGAGTTTGTTACCATTCAGACACATCGCCTATATCTGTGCTGCTGTGTTCTCCGTATGTTTCAAATCCTCCAGATTCCCGGCAGTGTTAAAGGTTGAAATAGACTGTGTCTGCATTCAGACCTGGGGATTCAGGAGGAGAGAAGTCCTCTTCATTTATAGTGTTTTTATAAACACGATTATCATTAAGATGATATAACAAATTGTGGTTGTATGTACATGAAATTACGAATAACAAATGTAGCAGGACATTAAATTAATAACCATTTATTTTGTGAGTCAACTGACAACAGTTGTTCGCTCTCCTCTTTTTCCCCTGCTCTGATTGATAAAGTTTTCTATTGCTACTACTACTACACTAGTTTCAGCAATAAACACTCTTAATGCAAAGAATAGATTATTTTTATTATCTTTAAAGTGAAATAGCTAAACATAAACATATGAGGCTGAAAAACACAAATTTTCACACAGCACTTTTTTGCCACTGAACTTTAAATTTTTTTATTACATACTTTATAATATATTTCTTTTATAATGTCACTTTAGGCTGAATACTAGTGTATTGTAAAATATTATGTACTGTCATCATGGCAAAGACAAAAGAAAATAGTTTTTAGGAATGAGCTATTAAAACTGTTAGATGTAAAAATGTTAATTTTCTGTTAAACAGCACTTGGAAAGTATTTGAAAACTACTTAATTTCCCTGGAGGGCTAATAATTTTGTCTTCAACTGTATATGTGCAAATGATGTATGTAGTTGTGCAAACCTCTTCTAGTTTTACTGCCTGAGCTCATGATCCTGGATTTGTGTGCTTTGTTTGCAGAGCCTCTCATGCTGAAGAATGATGAACGGCAGAGACTCGCCCGCGAACGGAGGGAGGAGCTGGACAAGCAGAACGGTACAAACACTGTCATTAAAGACAACATTAATGCGCTTCTGCAAGGCAGTTTTAACCTCCATAATGTGACTCCTATTTCACAACAGAAAGGTTCATTTAGTGGGCATTTTAATGTCAATATTTTGATATTATTAGTTAATACTGATTTCTTTAAAGCATTAGGCACTTATTAATTGATTCATAGCATTTCCACCTTTTATCTGAGGATTCTTTGCATGCAGGAAATCAGAAATCAATTGATATGCATGCTTTTGAGTTTGTTGGTTAAAAATGGCTGTTGAAGGTTTTATATGTCTTTCTTGAACCTCTTGACAAAAACAAAAATCCTAATTAAACTACAACAAAACAAAAGGCAAAGGATGCATGTTTGGGAATCGATAAGTACATTTCCATTTAAATATGCAATTTTGAGTTTGACAAACAATTGGAATAAATAATCCCATCACATTTGTTTATCAGAACAGTTATTGGGAAACTGGCACAAATGATTACAGTCAAAAGAATTATCAAAACATAATAATATAATGCAAAAGTTGAGCCTGAGATGCTCATAATATTTTGCCAAATAATTCTTGTACCACTTAAAGATCATTTATTGACCTTATTCTCCGCAGACGAGTGGGCGCTGCCATTTGAATCTTTTTGGCACGAGACTTCCGGTCTCATTCACTTCCATTCATTTTTAGACATTAAAAACTGCTCGTTTCGCTGTTTGTTGCAAACTGATATTTCCTTGTTATATTATTCTACTTGGTCTGTATAGTCATGCAAACATTTGTTTGTAGAGCAAGTAGTTTGACCGTTTTTTGCCGTTTATTATTCCTTGTCATTTCTCCTATAGGCGACTGAAACGGAAGTTCTAAGACAATCGCGAAAACAGGCGCACTTCCGCATTTTAGAATAAGGTCAATAATGGGGATTTTGATATGCTGGTTTATCCAGTTGTACAGAAAGACAATATAAAGAAAAAAAGACATATTTGCATGTGCATCAAAGAATTTGTTTTACAGACTTTCATTAGTTTATTTGGTTATCCTATTGTAGCGATTCTTTTATGCACATAAAAGATCTTGGTATTTCCATAATTTATTTAGCATCTCAAAATGTGTATTAAACATGTGAATGGAAACAGCTATTGATAAGTAATGTTTTGAATTATTTTGTTTTGTTTTTTGTTATATTTATGCTTTGGTCAAATTTGATGGTAAGTTAGGTACAAATACAGCCCCAAATAAGAAAAAGGTTGAGCCGGTATGAAAAACGCAAATAAAAAAAGAAAGTATAGATTTCTACATATATTTTGACTTGTGTTTCATTGCAGAAAACAGAACAAACATTATTTAATTTTCTCATATTTTTTTTTCCAAAATAAACATGTATTCCACATTTCAAAGGAAGTAGGGTGCAGTAAAGCATTTGTTACATAAAGCAGGGGTGTCCAAACTCATTCCTGGAGGGCCGGTGTCCTGCAGATTTTAGCTCCAACTTGCCTCAAGACACCTGCAAGGATGTTTCTAGAAAACCTAGCAAGAGCTTTATTAGCTAGCCCAGATGTGTCTGATTGGGTTTGGAACTAAACTCCAGGACCGAGTTTGGACACCCCTGACATAAAGCATTCAATGTTTGCCATTTCTTTTAACAACACTTAAAAGACAATTAGGTACTGTAGACACCAAGTTATGAAGTGTTTCAAGTGTAATTTTGTCCCATTCAAGTCTTAAGGTATGGGGTTGTCATTAATAAGCATTAATGGTGCTATCACAGGTGGTGTTACCAATGGTGTTACCACTGACACAGCCCTATACCCAGGATAGACTCTCTCTTTTGGACTTCTTGCTGGTAACAGTCTGGATGATCCTTTTCTTCTTTGGTTTGGAGCACACTGCGTCCTCCCCAAAAATACCTGAAATATTGATTCATCTGACCACAGTACACGTTTCCACTGTGTAGTGGTCCATCCTAGATGCCTCACGTCGACAGCGCTTCTGGACATTGTTAACAACATAAGGCTTTCTTTTGTCACAGTACAGTTTACACTGTCATTTGTGGATGTACAGCAACTATGTGCAACAATTTTCTCATATACCGTATTTGTTGGCAAACTAGTGATCCTCGGCCCATCTTTCCTCCTAAAGGACTAGACCTTGGTGCTTTTGTATCAAATCAAAATTACAAATCACCGTTTCATCATCATTTAACTAATTTACCTGATTACAAGCCAGGGCTAGACTGCCCGGTGGTCTGGGGCCAGCGTGAAAGACACCAGGGACAGTAGAAAAAATTGTTACTGGCCCCTATCAGCCAGTAATGATGAGCCTGTTATTTTTTTCCGTAACCTGGCAACAACCAATATAGCAAAAAGATGGCAGCATGGCGGCAACATCAAACTATGAGGCTGAAAGAAAACATCTGTTTCTAAAGTCTTGGAAGCAGACAATTACATGGGTACAAAATTAAGAAACAAAAAAAAGGAACAAAAAAAAGAGATGTCGTCAGTTTGGTAAGCCATTTTCATAAAAAATTTTTTAGAATTGTAATAAAATACCAGCACATTTTCCATACTGCTCTTTCATTTGCCTAAAATCTTGAATTTTGCTCTTTATGCATTTACTAACATTTTTTTAAATGTTTAAATTCTAGATTTACAGACATTATTTTGCCACATTATTTAAAATATGTGGATAAGTAATAGCTATTAAATTATTATAATTTTTTTGTTGTTGCCAGTGAAAACTTTGGCAGAGCAAGTACAAATCTCAATCACTGGCACGATTGGCCCAGTAAAAAAAAATCCTTAGCGTTAAACCCTGCTAGCCCTAAACTGCTCCTCTCTGAATTTTTTTTATTGCAATGCGTTGCAAGAACCAAGATTGGAAAACATGTTTATTTTGAGAAAAAAATCATGAGGAACACATTACGTAATGTTTGTTGTGTTGTCTGCAATGAAACGCAAGTGAAAGTAAATTTAGAAATCACTACTTTTTTAAATTTATTTGCGTTTTCCATACTGTCCCATTTTTTTCTGATTTGGGGTTGTATAAAACAATCATTACATACAGCGGATACCTTTTCAACCGCAACCCAGCACTGGGAAAAACAATCAATACGTAATAAATACAAGCTTCAAAATAGGTAAACACTTATCTATAAAATCATGCTTTATAAATAAGCCAGCAGATCAATATCTTAAAAAAATAAACAATTACAACTTAACATTGACCTAGGCATTTAATTTAGTTGAATAACACATATTTCATGTATGTCTCTAATTGCCACTTCCAGGCATGACTGAAATGCCATACATTCATGTCATACATCTGGTTATCTTAAGAACACAAGCAAACATTAAGTTCATGAAATTCTAGTCCTAAAGATTTACTATGGAAACACACACAGGTACTACAGAACAGACCTTTGATCAGAGACTAAATCCTAATGAGCCTTAATGTATGATCAGTTTAATGTTAAAGCTGAGTTAGATGTTGTATGGTGTTCTTGTTAGTCCTGTTGAGTTTTACAAGGAGTCAGTTTAGGCTACAGTTCATGCACCATTTCTTTGTCCTTTTTTTCTCTGTCTTGTTGTCTGTCTGTTTCTCCTCTGCATGACTAACGTGATGGGGCAGGTTGCTGTGGTGAGGTGAAGTTGTTATGTAAACTCTTGGCAAGGTGGTTACCAGGACACCCAGTTTTATGTAAGGGGTTAGAGACCAATGCTGCGTCCCAATCAACATACTAATACTACGCCCTAAAATTAGGTCTTTTTTGAAAAGGAAAAGTAAATACTTTTGAGTGTGTAACAGAAGAGCATGCAAGCTTTGGGACATACTGCTTCCTTGTTAGCAAAGTTATTTTACTTAGTTGCATCCCTTCTCAATCATCACTTGACACATCAACCACATTCCTTTCATATGTAATTACCTACCTGACTGTTGATTTAGCAGGAGGTTAATCTAACATTCGCAGTTCTTTCATGTAGAGAAGTCTCCTCAGGTCTTTGGATAATTATCTATTCAGAAGTTAATGTCCAAACACATAAGTTCACGTTAGCTGCGTCCCAAATGGCACACTATACACTATGCACTCATGCACTATGTACTTATGCACTTACACACTCAACAGGATAGTATATATATGTAGTGTTGTCCCAAATGGCACACTAATGTTTTTTTACCAATCAGAAATTCAAACCGTATCCCTGATGATGTTTGACGGTTGCCAAATCAGTGAAATAAACAACAAAATTATCAAATAATACCTGCCGTGAGTATTGCCGTATTCACCATCGGGAGGCGCTATAATCACTCTCGTAGGATAATTTTGCTTTCACCATCCAAAATAAATAAAGTTATTCAACATGTGCGTACGATAGCTCCGCCCCTTCCGCTACGTGAGCAAACCTGCAGTCGTTGAGTGCGTGAAGTGTCCATCATTACACACTTCATTTTAGCGGCTGAATGAGTGCATCATCCGGGTAATTAAAGTGCACTTATTATTTTTAGAGTTTTCAGTGTGAACACGCTACTTACACTATTTATACTACAAAATGGCGTAGAATAGTGCATAAGTATGCGTTTTGGGACGCAGCTATTGTTGTGGCAGATGAAAAATAACACTGAAAACATGATGTAAATATGTTCCAGTTGGCTAGATATTAATTAATAGTAGGGATGTAACGGTATCAGAATTTCACGGTACGGTAATACCTTGGTATAAATGTCACGGTACGGTATTTATTGAATCATTTACAGGAAAAAACAAAACTTATGAAAATACTCCAAAAAAGTGCCAAAAGTGTCAATGACATACAAATTAGCCATCTATCTGTAAGCTTTGAAACAGGAATTTCAATTTTAATAACAAAAAAAATATTAAACCATGTAAAAAAATAAAGTTTCAATTTAGTTGTGTTGAAAACTCATCACATTCAACATTTAATCACTCACTCACTTAGATAGAGATGGGTTTAAAGGAAAATTATCATATAAATATAATCTGGTAAAAGCTGGTATCTCTGGGCATTTACAATGTCCCCTGCAACAGAAAAAAAAACCTCTCATTTGGGACTGAGGTTTCAGGGACAAGAGAGATATGACTTGGCCCAGGTTGACAGCAGTGGGTAACGTTGTGCATTGTCTTTCCCTCACTTGAGAGGACAAACCATGAGTAAGATAGAGGTCTCATGTCTGCATCAATCTGAACAGTGTGCTGACAACACCGCTATTCAGTACGCGCGCGACAACACAGCTGATAAGAACTCGCGCGACAACACAGCTGATAAGAACTCGCGCGACAACACAGCTGATAAGAACTCGCGCGACAACACAGCTGATAAGAACTCGCGCGACAACACAGCTGATAAGAACTCGCGCGACAACACAGCTGATAAGAACTCGCGCGACAACACTGCTATTCAGTACGCGCGCGACAACACTGCTATTCAGTACGCACGCGACAACACAGCTGATAAGAACTCGCGCGACAACACAGCTGATAAGAACTCGCGCGACAACACAGCTGATAAGAACTCGCGCGACAACACAGCTGATAAGAACTCGCGCGACAACACCGCTATTCAGTACGCGCGCGGCGACAACACCCGCTTTAGAGTTTTCCAGCTCTTTTTCATCGCCGCTTCTAGCAGCACACTCCATTTCCGCATTACTGGATCTGTAGCGACAACAGACCGCAAGGGATGATGGTCAAGCATGGGCTGATGGGAATTGTAGTTTTCGCTACCTCCCGTTCGCTTCATTCGCCTGAGCAAATTTTCTCAGAAGACCTATAGTTTTACAGAGTCTTGCGACTTCGGTAATATCGAAAAAAATGTATATTGCGGTATGACGGTATTTACAATACAGTTACATCCCTAATTAATAGTCATTCAAACAACTTTACCGAAGCCTCTCTACTTGATGGTTGGTCTTGCGTGTCCGCAATGTTTGTAGTTTATTCACACTTTTTTTTTAAGTTTGTAGTTCTAATCGAATTTATGTCCAACATGCAATGTATTGTGGGCAATATTAGTGGCTAGAGTTTGGACTCTTCTACACTTGGGAAATAGTAGACCATGGGGCAACCTTTGGCATACTCTTTTAAACATACTACGGTTTGGGACAAACTAATTCTATTTTCGAATACTATTAAGGACTGATAGTATGTGAATTTAAGACGCAGCACAAGACAGAGAGAAATTGGCAGATTGTTTGTGCATGATTTAGATTACTGAATTGTTTGGATGCAGATGAAATGAAAAAAAATTCATCAGTGCTGACTATGGACCTCTTTCACATTTTTGGGTTTCTCATCATAGTTGAATAAACTTAAGAGTGCAGTGAATGGGACAGTACAACAAATTTTTTTTTTTTTTACAATCCAGTTTGCTGAAATAATAAAAGAAAAACTCCATGATGAGATATTTTACAATATTTTTATCACAAAAATACAATATTTTTAATAATAGAAAAAAGTGAAAAGATTTTAGATACTAACATATCTACATACCACCAACTAGCCGAAAGATCTTTGATTAAAATTAATAAATTGTGTTTGTAGCTGTACGGGGCTCCAAGTGGCAGGAGAGAGAGGAAAGAGCCCGGCAGTTTCATGAGAGACAGCTGGAGGAGCGCAAGAAAAGGTTGGAGGAGCAGCGGATGAAGGAGGACAAGAGACGTGCTGCTGTGGAGGAAAAACGACGGCAGAAGCTGGAGGAGGAGAAGGTCAAAAAATACTTAAAGATACCTGGCTTAATACACTGCCTGTTTGTTTACCTGTTATCATTAAGTTGATTTGGCCCTTTGTATATTTTTTGTTATACAAATTAAATAAACAGAAAATTTGAATGTGAAAAAACTCTGCCAAACTCGCATTAAGAAAGAATAAGCATACAAGTTGCATTGGTGTATAATAAGCAGGGCTTTACATTAACACCTGCCAACCTGCCAAATGCGGGTAGATTTCAGCTTTGGCGGGTTAGAAAGCCGCTCCCACTGGCCACTTTGGCAGGTTGGAAATAATTTTTGCATTGTTTGTTAGTTTTCTTAAAGCAGGGTTCGACAATAAGCATGGCCCAATATGTGTGCAAATGTGATCTTAGAATCGAGAAGCAGCACGACCTACAAAAACAGCTGTGTTCGCGCGAGCAAAAGCAGATGAATACCGTATGAGAGTATGACTAGCGCGCAAAGGTGTTGTGATGCGCGCGACTGTTAATAAGCGCACGCTCCCGTTTACTTGCGCAAAACAACTGTGTGTAGAGGAAGCTGGTGATATAGGCTGGACAAAAAGCGATGCTCGTGTACCCATAGTCCTGCTGCTTTTAAGAGTTATTTTTGTTTATATAGTTTAATTATCATCCTTTACAATAACTTTACTTTAATATGAGATTAACTCCTCATTTATGTGTAGTAACCGCTGATCTGGGACCTTTAGCCAGGACAGATTACTGTGCACATGCGACACAACCCATTTGTTCACGCACAGTGAGCAAACTCATACACAACACACACAAACAGTGAAATAAATGATGAGGCGTGTGGACAACACAACATCTAAATCAAGTCATTTTAGCATGTCAAAGTCACATTTATTAATATGAAAATATATTTTCCAAGCAACAAAATTGTGGCTAGTGAAATTTGCAAGTGACTAATAGTGCTGGAAATCTACTAGCCACAGTGACTGGTGATCAAAAAAGTTAATGTCAAGCCCTGATAATAAGTCATAATTTCATTCTGATAAAAATTAAGTGCATTTCTTTATAAAGCACATTTACCTGACCAAACGTGGCATAGGCACCATAGGCAAATTCTAAGGGCGCCGTATATCCAGGGGGGCACCAGAAATGAGCGGTTCAGTTGGTTGTGTTTTCGATATTCCTGACACACATTCAGTTATAGACGACAATAACTCAAACTCTTACCCTAAAAAGATCTAAAGTGTGTTTCCTACAAAAAGGCAAAGCTGGTTATGTTTCACAGCTGTCTTTCTTTTTTTTCGCTCGACATTGCGAGCACTGCTTCGTTTAAGCCCCAGCAATATGTGTTTAGCCGGGAGAGCTCGCGCTGAGAGGAGCTCTCAGTAAGGGACCGTCGGAAAAGTGCTTATTTTTTTTCGTTTTTTTTTTTTTTTTTTTTTTAGTTTTTCTGCTCCGCTCAGTTCGAGCTCTCCCTGTTGCGAGGGCTTAAGTGTGTGTGTGTGTGTGTTGCTGTCTATGTTTGTGTATGTGTTTGAATGAGAGACAGTGTGGTTCTGTGTGTTTATACAGACAGCATGTTATAGCCTCCCCCCTAAAATATAATACTGTATATAGAAAGCATCGTCAATGCACCGAGATATCAAATTGAACTGAATCGAAGGCATGATAGTCGTAACCGAACCGTTAGACCAGTATAGGTTCACACCTCTAACTGTTAGTATAATATGAATAGGGCAAACTGAACAGGTACGTTTTTAAAAGGGATTTAAAAATAGACTTGGGCTATTGGTAACCTTAAAAAAACAAAACAAAGCCATTATAAACATAAATTTGTTTCCTTTACTGAATACTGTTAAACTCCACAAAAAAATGTCAAATAGAGCTATTCAAACCATCTCGTGAAACTGTGTTCGTAACGCAATCTCTTTCACTAAAGAATAAAATATCGCAATACTCGATTTTTCCAATATCTTGCAGCCCTAAAAGATTTCACTGTTTTTGAAGAAGTATGTTATATTGTATAACTGCAGATTAAGCATGTATACGCTTGAAAGCTTCTCTCTACACCCTACTCACACCTTAACCTTTTTTTTTTCTTTAAGATTTTGATTGTAATGTAATAATGCGGTGCACATTATTTGTGAAGCTGCGCTGGAGTAATAATTGTGAAAGTGTCTTAACAAATAATCTTGTATTTAATTCATTTGAAATTTCATAATGCCATGGGAGAGACTTGCAGGCAAAATCCTTCAAACTGAGTAAAAACAAAATGCACTTTAGAATGGGAATATCTTTGTGTTTCAGGTACGGTATGAGGCCGTTATCAGGAGGACAATGGAGAGGAGTCAAAGAGCCAGGCCTAAGTCGAATCGCTGGAGCTGGGGTGGAACACTTTCTGTTAGCACCTCACACAATAGCGGTAAACATACAAGCACAGTATATTTAATGTGATGTTAATGTATAAAAATAACCTGGAAAACCTACATATCCTCACAACACCTCAAATTAGAGATGGGACTGTTTATGAGAAATAACTTGCCATTTAATTCTTGTTACAATTCGAGATGCATGTATATTTTTCAGGTCATGTGGTCATGAACAGCATATAATTTTTAGCATTTTTAGCATTTAACACAAAAGTAAAAAAAAAGCGTTGGTATCTGTGTTTTGGTATCTGACTTGAATGTGTATGTATACACTACCTGACAAAAGTCTTGTCGCCTATCCAAGATTCAGGAACAACAAATAATAACTTGACTTCTAGTTGATCATTTTGTACCAGAAGTGGTTCATATAAAAGGCAATGGCTTCTACATTACATTTATTTCACCAAAATAAAATATGATCATGTCTTGATTTTGAATTATTTAATTTCATTAGTAATTTCGGACTTTGCTTAGACAAAAGTCTTGTCACTTAACAGAATAATGTCCAGTATAGAATATAAAGTCATGCTGCAGTGGAAACAGAATGAATATTGTGTCTGACTCCATCATGAGCTTGGAGGACTGCATCCATACATATCTGCAGTGACTCAAATCACTTATTAATAAAGTCATCTGGAATGGCAAAGAAAGCGTTCTTGCAGGACTCCCAGAGTTCATCAAGATACTTTTGGTTCATCTTCAATGCCTCCTCCTTCATCTTACCCCAGACATGCTCAATAATGTTTAAGACTGGTGACCGGGCTGGCCAATCCTGGAGCACATTGACCATCTTTGCTTTCAGGAACTTTGATGTGGAGGCTGATATATGAGAAGGAGCGCTATCCTGCTGAAGAATTTGCCCTCTCCTGTGGTTTGTAATGTAATGGGCAGCACAAATGTCTTGATACCTCAGGCTGTTGATGTTGACATCCACTCTGCAGATCTCTCGCACGCCCCCATACTGAATGTAACCCCAAACCATGATTTTTTTCCTTCACCAAGCAGATTCTGTGAGAATCTTCTGTGATGGTCTTCTGCAGTGTTTGTGATGATTGGGATGCAGTTCAACAGATGATTCATTGGAAAAATCGACCTTCTGCCACTTTTCCAAATGATCAACTAGAAGTCAAGTTATTATTTTTTGCTCTTACAACTGAGATTGACAACAAGACTTTTGTCAGGTAGTGTATACTGAATTATACATTTTAGGATTCCAGCAACAGAGACTCAACACTTGTGCTTGAGCACAGTTTTGCCTATTTCAATGAACTGTGCAGCCATAATATAAGCTCACTTTAGCCTGAAGTTTGGGATTCATTGTCCTAATATCTTTTTAGTGTCTAAATATAAAGTCATAGGGTTTGTTTATGTTTGCACTACAGTATATTTTTTTACTCTCTGCTCAATTTTGCTGACTCAGAGCAATGAGATCACCGCACACTTCTTTTTGTTTCCTTTATTTTCTGCTTAATCCCCCTCTTTCTCTCTATCTCCTTCTGTATGGTTTTGCTTCACCACATTTTTTTTCTTTCACCGCTTCTCTCTTTCATTTTTCTCTCTCAGGTTTTGATGATTGTGCTCTCTTTCCTTTGGATCTGGCTGGGCTGGAGCACTATCATGGTGTTTTCAGTTTGGCCCATCAGCAGCAGATGCGCTCTAAATGTGAATATGACTGTCAGTGTAGAGTAGCAAACTAGCGGCTGTAGCTATAGCTCTTAGCACCACCTACCGTATAAACGAATAGCTGGATTTTAGTATTTTTTTCTGTGAACTTGGTATGAAGACAGAAACTTCAAAAACTGCCTTTACAGACTCTCAACATTACATGTCTGTTTTCTATTTTAAAGGGGACATGTATCATTTTAACACTTATGCACGGTTTTATCACCCTTATGTTCGGTTGGAGATCTTTTTATCCACTGTGGGGTAATTTTGAGTCTTAATTTGGTCATAACTTTTTTCTGCGTTTCAACTAGCAGAATGATTTTTGGGGACAAAGCGTATTTTGACACACATTTTTGAGAAAATGCCTAGATAAACTCAACTACACACTCTGGGAAATTCACTACCCTTTTGGTATGTTCAGGTTTAAAACATCCACTGAATTAAACTGCTGTAAAAATGCATCAGATTAATATTTTTTTCCAATTTTATTTTTCATAAACCTGTTAATCATCCTCCGTCCTGATCAAAACTTTTAAATTGCTTAGAAAATGACAGTATTTTTGCTCTTTAATTGCCAAATTCATAAATAATGTCACTGATTTGGTAAAAAAAAAACCCACACAAAATGACATATTTTTAATATTAAAAAGTAATCGTAGACTGGATTTTTTATGACCTTTTATCAAAGTCTTAGACATGTGAAACAACATAGCCTTTCATTCATTGTTTTGAATTCATTTTTATTTTTTTTTCTCCCTAATTTACTCTTGGTGACTGTTTTTGCCTCCTTCACTTCCATTATAACCACATTTTTTTGTGTTATAACTAGGGCCAGACGGAATCTGCGGACGTTTTTTGCTATTTCTGTGGAGAATTTTGGTAAAAATCTGCAGATTTCTGCGGAATTATTTTGGAAGTATCCAGCGGAGTATCATAACTTATACTTTAATATATTAAATAAAATGTAATAAATTACTGAATAAAAACTGAATGAATTCCGATTTACACATTTACTCAAGTAAATAAACAGAATTTATAATGGGCTAAAAATCTGCAGAAATCTGCGGAATTTTGCGGAAAATCTGCGGAATTCTGTGCTCGCAGATTCCATGCACATTTTTTATGTTTATTTCATATAATCATGCATTTTTAATTGTTGGTCATTTTCCTTGTTGGGAAGAGGTAAAATTTATAATATTCACTGTTGATCATCAGTTGGCACCATTAACCCTTTATATAGGCCTGTACAAAACTTCTGGATTATATGGAGTTTAACAGCAAATGAAAGTGTGTGTATGAGTGTCTAAGTGTTTAAGAGAGAACTTTATGCACTTACCTTGATGGTACCACTACATGGATTAAATAAAAACAAAGACTGTATTTGTGCACCATCAAATGTGGTTATAATGGAAGTCAATGGTGGAAAAACAGCCACCAACAATAAATTAAGGAGAAAAAAATGTAATCCAACAATGCATAAAGGCAATGGTGTTACTAATCATTCACATGTCCAAGACTATGATAAAAGAAAACAAAATCCAGCCCACAATTACTTTTTATATTGATAAATCATCATTTTGTGTGTGTGTTTTTTTCACCAAATCAGTGACATCATTTCTGAATTTGGCAATTAAAGAGTTAAAATCCTGTAATTTTTAAATTCATTCAGTAGTTTAGATTAGGACTGAGGTAGATTAACAGATTTATGCAAAAAAAAAAAAAAAAAATTAATCTGATCCATTTTTACAGCAGTTTAATTCATTGTTATGTTATTTTTAATAATTACACTTGATAAAAACAGTGATATATATATATATATATATATATATCAATAATAATAACTAAATTACCAATTTAAAGGCTGAAAATGCTGATATTAGTGATGTCAGATCCTTTGAAGGGGACCTATTATGCCTCTTTTTACAAAATGAAAATAAGACTCTGATGTCCCTGGAGTGTGTGTGTATTTTCAACTTAAAATACCCCACAAATAATGTTTTATAACTCTTTGAAACTGCCCCTTTTAGGCTTTGATCCAAATTGTGCCATTTTGGTGACTGTCGCTTTAAATTTGAATAAGATAGTGCTCTTTTCAAAAGAGGGCAGAGCTACAAATGCGTTAAAATGTGTCGGCATAGCAGCAGGTTCAAAACACTAATGGTGGACGGCTGCTTCTCACTCAGAGTTATCTATGTGAATGTCAATTAAAGTGTTTCTGCAGACTGTTTTTATCAAGTGTAATTATTAAAAATAGAATTAATGAATTTTTACCATTAGAGGCTGGTTATATTCATAGACTGTTGCCACATAACTGCGTTTAAAATACTTATAAAAGTGATTTGTGCATTATGGGTCCTTTTTAAGGGTGTTGTTTAAAAGGTGTTTTAAAGTTGTGCAGTCTTCACTGTATCTATCCATCCTGAGGAACACAGATGGGAGGGCAGATTGTGAGCATTAAGTTGGTAATGGTTTCGTCATGTTAGGTTGTGCTGTAGTACACGTAGCTTAGCACTTCTCCTTAGATCATACTTCATTAGCATCCGTTTACTGCAAATACACTGCAGGAAAGGTCTCAGTAAGGCCTCTGTATTTCTGTAGTGCTTTCTTCAAAGCGTTTGTCTGTATTGCACGTTCATGTTGTGTTTTGCGTCTGTGCATTTCTAGATGCTGACAGAAGGTCAGTCTCCACTATGAATCTGTCCAAACACACAGATCCAGTCATTTCCAAACGCCTGTCATCGTCCTCAGCCACCTTGCTGAATTCACCAGATAGAGGTAACTGCTTTTACACAGTTATATCCCTAAATACAGTTGAAGTGCAAATTATTAAGCCTCCTGTGAAATTTAATAACAAAATTCAAAGAATTCCAAAACTGTTGTTTAACGTAGATAATTTTTATCACATTTTTAAACAGCATTACAGTGGCCAATAGAGCCTAACGTGCTGCGATTTAAGAAAACGCATGCAATTACAAAGAACGCAAGCAAATTGAGAAGAAATCTTTTTCCGTTTGACAGCATACGTGTTGCAAATCCTCACAATGCAAACGCACAAACCTGCTGCATTTTCTCACAATGCAGACACAAAAAAATGCACTACATTTTCTCACAATGCAAACAAATTATTAAAACCTGCTACATTTTCTCACAATGCAAACAATTTACGAAAACGCCTACATTTTCTCACAATGCAAACAATTTACTAAAACGCCTACATTTTCTCACAACGCAAACAATTTACGAAAACGCCTACATTTTCTCACAATGCAAACAATTTACGAAAACGCCTACATTTTCTCACAATGCAAACAATTTACTAAAACGCCTACATTTTCTCACAACGCAAACAATTTACTAAAACGCCTACATTTTCTCACAATGCAAACAATTTACGAAAACGCCTACATTTTCTCACAATGCAAACAATTTACTAAAACGCCTATATTTTCTCACAGTGCAAGCAATTTCCGAAAACGCCTACATTTTCTCACAATGCAAACAATTTACGAAAACGCCTACATTTTCTCACAATGCAAACAATTTACTAAAGCGCTTACATTTTCTCACAACGCAAACAATTTACGAAAACGCCTACATTTTCTCAAAACGCAAACAATTTACTAAAACGCCTACATTTTCTCACAACACAAACTATTTACGAAAACGTCTACATTTTCTCACAATGCAAACAATTTACGAAAACGTCTACATTTTCTCACAACGCAAACAATTTACTAAAGCGCCTACATTTTCTTACAACGCAAACAATTTACGAAAACGCCTACATTTTCTCACAATGCAAACAATTTACTAAAACGCCTACATTTTCTCACAATGCAAACAATTTACGAAAACGCCTACATTTTCTCACAATGCAAACAATTTACTAAAACGCCTACATTTTCTCACAATGCAAACAATTTACTAAAACGCCTATATTTTCTCACAATGCAAGCAATTTACGAAAACGCCTACATTTTTTTACACCATTTTAAGGTAGCACAGAACACAGAAAAGGAAATGTTTCTAGGGAACCTTAAAACGTGACGGACCTGGCTATTTAGGCTATGGTTATTTAGGCCAATAAAATACAAGGGAATCAGGATGGTAAAATAAACAAATGAAAAACTCACCTTTCAAAGATCACCTACAACTTTACTGAGCGATAGTCATGGCACAGCAACGTCTGTCACGTTTAAGGGTCCCCTTAAAACATTTCCGTTGTGTTCTGTTGTTTTTTTATGTGTTTGCGTTGTAAAGATTTGTAGCACGTTTTCTGTCAAACAGATGACGATCTTTTCCTAACTTGCTGGTGTTTTTGTAAATGCGTGTGTTTTCTTAAATTGCAACATGTTAAGCTCTCTCGGCCACCATACAATATAGTTTTAATAGAATATTTCTAATAACTCATTTCTTTTCCATGATGTCCTTAAATAATATTTTACTAGTTATTTTGCAAGATTCAAAAGCTGTTGTTTTCTAGCCAATCACAAAGGATATAATAATATTAACCTTTAAAATTGATTGAAAAATGTAAAACTGCTTTTATTCCAACATGATAATAGTAAGACTTTCTCCAGGTAAAGAATATTTTAGGAAATACTGTAAAATATTCCATTGCTCTGTTAAACATTATAAAAAAATATTTGAAAAAGACTAAAAATTTGAATTATTCCCAGGAGGGCTAATAATATGACCTTTAACTGTACGCCTCTGTATAGATTTTCTGAATATTCACTAAAACAAATAACCATTTTTAATGATTTTTGTTGTTTTTGTGTGTATTTGTGTGCTGTGTGGTTGTGCTGTATTGTCCAAGCCTTACGGAAGCAGACATCTTTCTCGTCGTCTTGCTTGCTTAAAAAAACACTATCTAAATCCCAAATCTCCAGAGAGAAGACCCCTCAGGACAAAACAGCAGGTGGATTTTTTAGAAATCCGGGAATCTTTCATTATGCTCTCTTACTGAGTTCAAAGCTGTGCTATCCAGGGCTCCAGACTGCAGATTCACTAATCATGAAAGCATCAAAAAGCATGAATGAACAGTAGCGTTCACAAACACGAATAATTTTTTTTTTTACTGCACTTTCTCTAAGACTCTTTGCACTCAGTGACATGATTTGTCTCAGTACATACTTTTTTTTTCTCTTCGTTTCTGCATTGAGGGGTACATTTAGCAAATTGCAATCGATGTAATCCATACAGTATGTCCTGAAACACTCTATTCACATTTCCGGACAATTCGTGTGAACCATCCATATCCTTGTGTCTCAAAGTGCATACTATCAACCTTTCTGATCTAAATAATAAATAAAATGTTTAATATTCAGTCATTTAGGCTGGAAAATATGCACATTAAGGCGCAGTCAATGTTATTTTATCAAGTTATTTCAAAAAGTACTGTTCATTTAGCTGACAATAATATAAGTTTCTGACACTGGCGTCTTGTTGTCATATTTTATTTACATTTTAGTTTATTTCGTAAACAAAACTAGCTTAAGCCTACACTCATTAGCACTTTATTAGGTCCAACTGCTCACTAATGCAAATTTCTGCTCAGACAATCATATGACAGCAACGTAATGCATTTAGGCATGTCGACATGGTCAAGACGATCTGCTGCAGTTCAAACCGAGCATCAGAATGGGAAAGAAAGGTGATTTAAGTGACTTTTTTTGTTGGTGCCAGACGGGCTAGTCTGATTGTTTCAGAAACTGTTGATCTACTGGGGTTTTTATGCAGAACCATCTCTAGGGTTTACAGAGAATGGTCCGAAAAAGAGAAAATATCCAGTGAGCGGCAGTTCTGTGGGCACAAATTCCTTGTTGATGAGGTCAGAGGAAGATGGCTAGACTGGTTCCAGCTGATAGAAAGTCAACAGTAACTCAAATAAGCACTCATCACAACAGAGGTATGCAGAAGAGCATCTCTAAACGCACAATGCATCCAACCTTGAGGCGGATGGGCTACAGCAGCAGAAGACCACCCCGGGTGCCACTCCTGTCAGCTAAGAACAGGAAACTGAGGCTACAATTCGCACATGCTCACCACAAGAATATAAGGACAATAGAAGAATAGAATAGACAATAGAAGATTGAAAAAACGTTGTCTGGTCTGATGAGTCTCGATTTCTGATGCAACATTCAGATGGTAGGGCTAGAATTTGGCGTCAACAACATGAAAGCATGGATCCATCCTGCCTTGTATCAATGGTTCAGGCTGGTGGTGGTGGTGTATTGGTGTGGAGGATATTTTCTTGGCACACTTTGGGCCCATTATTACCAATTGAGCATTGTGTCAACGCCACAGCCTACCTGAGTATTGTTGCTGACCATGTTCATCCCTTTATGACCACAGTGTACTCATCTTCTGATGGCAACTTCCAGCAGGATAATGCGCCATGTCATAAAGCGTGAATCATCTCAGACTGGTTTCTTAACCATGACAATGAGTTCACTCTACTCAAATGGCCTCCACAGTAACCAGAGCTCAATCCAATAGAGCACCTTTGAGATGTGGTGAAATGGGGGATTTGCATCATAGATTTGCAGCCGACAAATCTGCAGCAACTGCGTGATGCTATCATGTCAATGTGGACTAAAATCTCTAAGGAATAATTTCAGTACCTTGTTAAATCTATGCCATGAAGAATTAAGGCAAGTCTAAAGGCAAAAGCGGGTTCAACCTGGTACTAGTGAGGTGTACCTAATAAAGTGGCCGGTGAGTGTATATCTATGTTTAGTAGAAGAGTGTTTCTTAAATGGTGGGCCACACTGCATAAGTGGGTTTACGATACTGTTTAGAGTGGGTTATGGAGTGTTTTTGTGATTTTGAAAAACAGGTGTGAAAGCTGTTGATGATCCTGACAGATGTAGATCAAGTGTGTAGATCAAATGGTTCTCGTAATTTAGTGTCTGCCGTAAAATAAGATGTTGAAATACATTATTTCAATGTTAATTTTCAAATTTTATTACATAAAAAAAGTCTCTCCTAAAGAAAACAAACTTTTCCGACCTGACAGCAGGCTCTTCGATTGCACAAATGTATTGGTGCATGCTTTACATTGCTTAATCAACGTTGTTTAGGCTTGTTGATTTTGGTGTGACTCTCTCATACATTGTCTCAAGTCAATTTAATATTTTATTAAGTTGGTCCTATTCAGCGTATAGACATTAGCCTCTTTCACACATACAGACCTTTCTGGAAAATTACCGTCAATTTTTCAGAAAGGTCTATGTGTGTGAACCATAGACTGTAAAATATATGGACGTAGTATCCGTGACGTCACCCATAGGTTTCTGAAGAGCGCAAAAGAAGCCACAAGTAGGCGTGGCCAACCGTCGCCATTTTGGTCACGCGTCATCACACCCACGGCGGGATACCAAACAAGGGCAAAGAGGCGGAGAGTGAGCGGAGCTACAGACACCTGCTAGCATTTAGCTTAGACCTGGTTCAGACACACTTTACTTTGGGAGAACGCTTAATACTTATCACCTGTGACTCGTTTGTGTTCTGACCACTTGTGCTTGGTTGTACACTATATCAATAAAGTGTTTAGACTTTTAAAAACACTGCTGTAATACATTGAGCCACTAAACATTGCTCTTATGATGTTTTTCAACTGGAGGAAAACGCAAATTACATCCAAACACTTCAGATATAGTCTGTGTTAGTAAATGTAAGACTATTGATGAAATCCAGCTTAACACTGTATGACAACGCTTCAGATGACTGTTCTAGAGCCCACAGCTAATCAATCTGACAGATTCTGGAGTGCATTACAGCTCTAAATATGAATATAAATGATCTTAAATAAAACAAATACATGTATAGAGATGGTATATAAGTATATAACTTTACTCACATGGGAAACGGAGGCTACGTGAATGGTTTGTGAGCACAATTAAGTGCCCTAAGCATGCCATGCCATCTAATAATTGTGGGAAACAAGTCCAAAAGGCAGTTGACTGTGTAAAGCCACATAAAACAACACAGAAATACGATAAATATGCCGAGTTCAGTGGCTAATCTGCAGGATTCAGCTGAGGTGACGTGACGGCGACCAACAAGACCTAGATGTCACTCAAGTGGCCACGCCCTTAATTATGCAAACTTAATATAACTTAATATAAAGGAAACGTATGAGTTATAAAAAAATTCACCCCCCTCACAGTTGTCATGAAGGGTAATATTAGCTGTATTAACCAAAATCTTTTTTTGTACCAGGCTGTAAACACCTTTTTTTCTGCTGTAAAGTTGGCCATTCTAACAGTGGGCTCAATTGAAATTTGCTCTGTTTTGGAGCCAGGAGCGGCCAGGACTAGCGGAATTTCGGATGAATTGCAGTTTTAGTTACTTCCGTATTGGCTTCCTGAGGGAGAGCGGGAGGTTGCCGCTTGGTGTGAACAGGCCGTTTTTGAAAATACAATCAGAACAGTCAGACGCATTCACATCCGCATGGTTTATGAAAATAAAAGCCTGACACGTTCCTGACACGTTCAGCTGCTAGATGTTAGTCAGATAACGTTCATGTGTTCCTTCTTAATGCTAACTGTGTAAATAATTATCGATAAGATGCTTATGGTAAGCCGTTGTTTGTTTACCTTCAGGCTCTGCTTCCTTTGCGTGACGCGTCGCGTGTGCCCGTGAAGCAGCTTGTAAGCACCAGCACACACACACATCATGTACATCTCGACATGCAAAAGTGTTCCTCTGTATATTCATCGAATTTGTTCACAATACTGATCCATCCACAGAGTTTGTAATGTAGTCAAATGTTTACAAATACAAGCCCAGCCGTTTAGAGGTCATCTCTGGTTATTGATGTTAGAATTTATCGCTGTTTTGGAATGGATGTGTGAATGCTCTTTTCTGGATAAATTCCGTAACGTCCTCGCCTGTGTGAACTGCGCTTTTTTTAATTTACCGGTAAAGTCGTTCCGTAAATTTTTCAGATATTTACCGGTGTCACTGTGTGAAAGAAGTTATAGATTATTCGGCAAAAAATTAGAACACGAGAATAAAAACTGAAGTGATGAAGCATGGAAACCATTCAAGTGAAAAAGGAACACACTACTACAATTTCACTACATTTCTCAAATATCTGCAAAATATATTATCAGGCATTTTAGTCTTGAGCCCTGGCTACATTCTGCTCTGGTGCCATGGTGTCTGTTCTGTTATCTACAAATATTGCATGCCATCTTTGTGCATGTTTGAAGTGTTTTTTTTTAATTTTCAAGTAATATTTTGGTATTTTGAAAAATAAGTGGGGAATGTTACTGTACTGTGTGTGCATGCTGCATGCTTCATATTGGGGTTCACTGTTTCTTGTTAGCACCTTTTCAGCTTTAATTCTTGCATGCCTATTTTCTTTTAGAAGCATGAAATCTAAGAAGAAAAAGACAATTGTGTGCAGGATTTTTCTTTCTTTTTCCCTTTTTAGTCTTGTTTTTCTGTGCTCCTGTCTATTACCTGCAGCGGTGCAGTGATGAGTGTTATTTAAGACGACATGAAATCAAAATCAAGTTTGTTACTCAATATCTTGTGTGTACAATTATTCTGAGCATATTATTAGAAAAAAACAAATAATTTTCAGGGTTTTCATTTTATTACCAAAATAACTTCTCTGCTGCATAAAAATACAGGTAGGGTCAACGAAATGATTTTAATTTCGCATAAGCTCACGTTGAATGATTATTCTTCATAACACAATGCAATATATATAATTTTTTTTTCATGTGGTCTTTCCACTAGAGTTTGTGCTTATTATTATTATTTATAATTATTTAATTAACCCTGTTTTTTTTTCTTGATTGCTTGGTTTTACTTAACTCAAAACTGTACAGAAGCTGTGTGAAGAGCATGCAAACGGGTAACTTATTCTGATGGTCTGCATGCATGCCGTGTCAAATGCTCTGCTGTTGCCTGTTAAGGTTGTTATGTGGCAATGTGTCCTTTGTCCCCTTTATTCAAAGTGAAAGTATAAACAGACAAAATTGTTACCCCTCCTGTAAATTTTAATTCATTTAATGATCCATTTTCACAGTGTTTCCTATACTATTTATGGCTCCTGAGAAGTCCTTATTTCTATTAGCTGGGTGAAATAAAAGGAATACTATTGAATAAATCGAAGAAATAGGCTGCGTTACAATACGTTTTCATTAGTTCATGTATTTACTAACTTTAAGTATAATCAATTGCATTTATTAATCATAGTTCAACATTTACTAATGCCTTTTTAAAACCCAAAGTCATGCTTGATAACAACATTAATGCACTGTGTTATGACATGAACTAACAATGAACAGCTGTATTTTCATTAAATAATGATAGCTAACATGAACAAATACTGTAATAAATGTATTGTGTATGTTAGTAGATGCGTTTACAAATACTTAACTAATAATCAACTCGCATTACAATAAGTTTGTATTAGTGAAAGTATTGCCAATAAGTTAATATGCTTAAAAAACATTAAATGTTAATATAATTCCCTTTGGCTACAAAACAATGTTGTTCAATGACTTGCCTAATTAAATTAAGCATTTAAATGCTGCTGAATACTAGTATCTTGCAAATAACTTGTAAAATATTATGAACTGTCATCGCATAGCAAAGTTAAACAAAAATGTTATTAGAAATAAGTTATTAATTTTTATGTTTAAAAATTTGTAAATCTCCATTAAGCATCATTTGGGAAATTATTTTAATATTTAAAATTTCACAGGAGGGCTAATAATGTTGTCTTCAGCTATAAGTAAGAATATGTGTGTCTGTGCTCCTCTAGGTATGCGTCGCATGCCCCTTACTCCATGGGAGAACACAGTGATAAGTCGATTACAGACGCCAACACACTCCTATCTGGCCAGGAGTCGCAGCGCCATGTCTTTATCTGGAGAAGCAGGTAGAGAACTCATACTTTAGCTTTTCTAAGTTATTTTCCACTTCATCTTTAACCGATGTCTATGTGTGGGTTTGTACTAATGGAGCTGATGCTAATCTCTCAATGACTTGTGTGTTATTTATGGGTGTCGGTTTCTTACTAATTGTTAGGGATTTTAATAAAATTGAAGAAATCTGACTTGAGCAACTTCATCATCATTGCCTTGAGGAAGTAATATCCATTCTTTTTCCTCCATTTCTTGGGTCCAAATAGATCAAAAAGAAGCCCTTTTAACTTCTCCCCCAATCTCCCGCTGGCCTGCAGATACCCATATTAGTGGGTAAATGTTATTTCAGACAGAACACATTTCACACGGCATGATTTGAATCGCCGATAGGTCCAGATAGTTAACATGCCAAATATCTCACGGGTGTCAGCGACTCATCTATGATTCTCTCAGACCGCGTAAATCTAGCTCCGATTTACCTGTGAGTTCAGCCATTTGTCTGCGATTTTACTCAACCTGTTAGCGAGTCAAAATTGGGCCAAAAATTATGCAGTCTGAACTCGGCATATATTTTTGCTAAACACATATACTGTTAATCCAATCTTCAAACCTTACCATATGAGCAAAATTTAACAAGTTACATTGACTAAAGCATCAGATACACTACATTTTACTTAATTATTATTGTTTCAAGAAACATAAGCTACACATCTTTTACCGCATACAATTTATTATTTTTTTAATACAATTTTTTAAAAATCCTTTTATTAAACTTTTACAGAAATAACAGGATAGTTTTACAGAAAAATTGTTATAAAGAATTTTATTTTTGTCATACAGATACGAAACTGTAAATGGTTTACATTAATTTGTGTATAATCTACTCAACAAAACAAAAGTATGCCTTCAAAACTGAAGAACACACTATTTTTAATATTTTCCCCCCTCCATTCAGAATCCAGTTTGTATTTAGTCTATCCCAGACCACCTCCTGAAGTGGTTTGAGAAATCGAATTAATATCAGTCTTGAATGCATTTCAGAGGGAATTTACAACTGCCCTTTACACAATGGGATGGCTTTTTAGATCAGAAAAACACATTAACTGACCAATCCCTTAGATTCGTAGATTCACATACACTTAATTTCACAAATACACTTAATTGAACTTGTACACATAGACATCACCTACAGTTTAAACCAGAAGTTTACACACACTGTATAAAAGGCACGTAACCATTTTTAAAAAAGTCAGATGTTAATGTGACTAAACTTTTTCTCTTTTAGGTAAGTTAGGATTATCACATGTGATTCTGTTATGATAATTAGCAGAATAATGAGAGAGAATTTTTTGAGAAATTGTTATAACTTTTCTTGAAAGTCAAGTTTACATACAAGAAGATTATTCTGCCTCTAAAAAAGCTCAGATGATGATGTCAAGGTTTTGGAAGTTTCTGATTTGCTAATTTTGACAACATTTGAGTTCATTGGAGGCACAACTGTAGATTAGTATTTAAGGAAAACCTCAAACACACTGCTTCCTTTCTGTCAACATGGGAAAATCAACAAGCCAGAATCAACAAAAAAGCCAGATTGCAATGTGCTAGATTACACTGGAGAAAGGAAAATTTTTTGCAGACATGTCCTGTGGTCTGATAGAACTAAGATTGAACTGTTTGGCCATAATGACCAGTGTTACATTTGGAGGACAAAGGGGAAAGCTTACAAGCCTAGAAACACCATCCCAACTGTAAGTTATTGGGGCGGCAGCATCATGTTGTGGGGCTGTTTTGCTGCTGGAGGGACTGGTCCACTTCACAGCATAGATGGCATCATGAAGAAAGAACATTATGTAGAAATACTGAAGCAACATCTCAAGACATCAGCCAGGAAATTAAAACTTGGCCACAAGTGGGTGTGACCCCAAGCATACAATGACCCCAAGCATACTGCCAAATTAGTTAAAATGTGCTTTAAAGACAACGGAGTGAATGTTTTGGAGTGGCTATCACAAAGCCCTGATGTCAATCCTATAGAATTTTGTGGGCAGAGTTGAAAAAGCTTGTGCGAGCAAGACGGCCAACTAATCTGACTCAGTTACACCAATTCTGTCAGGAGGAATGGGCCAAAATTCCTTCAAACTATTGAGAAGCTTGTGGAAGGATACCCAAAACATTTGACCAAAGTTACAAAGTTTAAAAGCAAAGCTAAAAATATACCAAGGAAATGTGTGTAAACTTGACTGTCTAGAAATTAATAAAAATTTCAAAAAAACGTTTTATCTCATTATTCTGGCATTAAGCAAATATAAATCATTTAGCTAATCCTAACAGACCTAAAATAGTGAACATTTAGTATAATTTACCAAAAAACATTTTTTTTTAAAAATGGTAAAGTTTCTTTTTTTTTTTTTTTAAAGTGTATGTAAACTTCTGGTTTCAATTGTATATACTATAAAACTGCAGTTTAACTTTGCTTATTTATAATAACATCAACTATTAATAGTTGTTATTTAGTGGTTAATTAAAGTAATTAGCCACTAATAAAGTTATGCTAATAACATAACTATTCTAATTTGGATTGCAACACAATAATGTACACCTTTTGTACAGCTGCTTTGAAACAATAATTATTGTGAAAAATGCTATGCAAATAAATTTAAATTGAATTAAATTTAATTCTCCTCCTTCCAATGACATTGATGCTGCCTAATTTCTTGCTAGAGCTTTTATGGTTACTAATACATGCTTTATTTTTCTTCTCTTTCCACTTTTTCCATCACTCATTCATCCTTTTAACCCTTTCCTCTTGCGCATCCTTCTCTCTCCCGGCTCTCCTCTTGTCCAAACTGAATCGATTGAATTATCTCACAAAACTCCCTGATTGGTTGGTTAAACTTGACCATCGTACAGTGACCCCCGTTTGTCCTCGCTCAGCTTCCTGTCACCCAATGAGCTCCATGTCCTTCAAGTCCATCCAGTCACGTAGCGCCGAACGGCCAATGAAAGCAGGCCTTAATCTGGAGAGACCAATCAGAGCAGGCTTTATTCCTCCAGATGGCAGCAATCGCAGAAAGATCACTCAGAATATCATGGTAAGAATATTAAAAACGTTTCACATTATTTAATTACCCTCCCTAAAATAACAATGAAGGATGTAATGTGACAATTATAGATAATAATAACTATTATATTGTTAGAATTCTAAACCTGGCCTAAGTTTATTGCAATTAATCACATCCAAAATTAAAGTTTTGACGTAATATGGTTGTGTATATTTATGAGTGTGATATACACATATACTCAGAAACAACACTGGTTTGTGTGTGTGTGTGTGTGTGTGTATATATAATTTATATTATATACATATTTTATATCTAAATATGAATAAACATTTTTAACCAAAAGTCTTGTCGTCGATCCCAGTTGTAAGAGCAAGAATAAATAACTTGACTTCTAGTTGATCATTTGGAAAAATGGCAGATGGTCGATTTTCAGATGAAACATCTGTTGAACTGCATCCCAATCATCTGTAATAATGCAGAAGACCTACTGGAACCCGCATGGAGCCAAGATTCTCACAGAAATCAGTCAAGTTTGGTGAAGGAAAAATCGTGATTTGTGGTTACATTCAGTATGGGGGTGTGCGAGAGATCTGCAGAGTGGATGACAACATCAACAGCCTGAGGTATCAAGACATTTGTGCTGCCCATTACATTACAAACCACAGGAGAGGGCGAATTCTTCAGCAGGATAGTGCTCCTTCTCATACTTCAGCCTCCACATCAAAGCTCCTGAAAGCAAAGAAGGCCAAAGTGCTCCAGGATTGTCCAGCCTAGTCGCCAGATATGAACATTATTGAGCATGTCTGGGGTAAGATGGAGGAGGCATTGAAGATGAATCCAAAGAATTGTGATGAACTCTGGGAGTCCTGCAAGAACGCTTTCTTTGCCATTCCAGATGACTTTATTAATAAGTGATTTGAGTCATTGCAGAGATGTATGGATGCAGTCCTCCAAGCTCATGAGAGTCAGACACAAAATTCGTTCTGTTTCCACTGCAGCATGACTTTATATTCTATACTGGACATTATTTCTGTAAAGTGACAAGACTTTTGTCTAAGCAAAGTCAGACTTACTGTCCTAATGAAATAATTAAAAATCAAGCCATGATCATATTTTATTTTGGTAAAATAAGCGTCATCTAGAGGCCATTGCCTTTCATATAAGCCACTTCTGATACCAAATGATCAACTAGAAGTCAAGTTATTTGTTGATCTTAAAACTTGGATAGGCGACAAGACTTTTGTCAGGTAGTTTACATAATAAATATACACATTACACATATATAATCACGATTAATTTTTGCCCAGCACTAATCACTACAAATTATTTTTATAAAAAAATGGTATTACTGTTCTGTCTTATGCATACTTGCTTTTACACATCTCTATCTCATCTTTCTTTTCTTTATCAATTTATTTTATTTATTAATAATAATTGTTTTATATTTATTTGTTTATTTTCTAACTATTGTTTTTGGTGCTAGAGTTTAGAATTTATGTTTGAAATTGAACAAATGTTTGATTTAGAGAATAAGAAAGTGTCAACTTATATTCATCATTATTTTTATGTCTGCTGATAGATTGGATCAGTTGATGTCTTATTGATTCATTATTTTTAATACTGTGTTTTATATTGATGTTTATCAATTAGAGAGATAGGTAATTTAACTAAAACAAATATCCTGGTAAGAAAACACATACATGCGTGCTTTACTATTGTGCTTGGATTTGTTTATGTGCCTCTGGTAGTTACTTGTGTGTTAAAGAACAGTTGCAGTGTTTGTGTTTTCTGCATCCTCTTATAGATTGACAGGAAGGATAAAGACAATGTGAGGAAGTCATGGAGTAACCTGTCATATCCCACTCCCAGTTTGAGTCTTTTCACACCTAAGAGAGCTCCTTCACCTGTCGGCCATCGCAGCAGGGTCACCAATCCATCCCCTAATAGGTATAAAAGCCCTCAAGATAAAAACATGCTGTTAAGAATGAATGAGTTTTCAGTATGCGTTTTAAATTACATTGTTTCAGCGCTTGTTGAAAGTACTTGAATTTCTAAAATATGGATTCAAGACCTGAAAGTTCTTAACTTGAATTAAATTTGAAATCAAATTAGTTCATGGTGCTATTTCAACAATTTTACTGTGCTGCCGTCAGAAATGCAATGAAAAAACAATGGGAAACTCCTAATCTAAAAGTCTTCTACGAGAACTTTGACTGACAATACACATTAGATCAATATTTCAGATACCATATATGAATATCACCAGCATTGAATTCAACATTTTTTTTTCAATTTAATTCAATTCATCTTTATTTATTTAGCACTTTTACAATGTAGATTATGTCCATAAGTCTCAAACCTTACAAGCCAGTGGCAACAGTGGCCAGGAACAAACTTCACCAATTGAGGAAAGTGAAGAATTAAAAACCTTGAGAGAAACCATGTTCAGTTGGGCACGACCATTTCTCTCTTATTCAAGTGATTTGAACATTTTTATTTTTGAAAATGACACATTCAAAACATCATCATCATCACTTTGATATATAAATGTAAATATTAAGTGTAAGTGAATCAAGTACTGTAAGGATGTATGTAGGGGTGCTACATATGCTGGCGAAGTAAATTGCAAGTGTTTGATTTGAAATGAATGGTGCTTTTAAAAAGTCCTTGAACGTTTTTGAATCTGCTATTTATGACAATGTGGGAATCCTGCACTCATTTTAAATTTCAGAGGTCTTTCTAATGGCAAGTAAAGAATTATCAAATGTTTACTTAAGAAATACTAGCTAAGAAATAAGAACTAAGTAATCTGACAATCTAACTCAATATAACAATAAATATTTTAAAAAGTACTAAAAATACTTGTACTGAAATGTTACAATGAAATACCCATAAAAAATAATAATATATAAATATATAAATATATAAATATTATATGAGTGTGTGTGTGTATACACACACATACACACACACACTCATATATATATATATATATATATATATATATATATATATATATACACACACACACACACACACACTTTAAAATAACATGTGGAACACATACGGAAATGTATTTTATTTACACAATGAAGAAAATTATTACAAAATTCTAAACAAAAAATAAATCTATGTTGTCTTATTTACTTTACAGATATATTCAGATTTCTTGTATGTTTTGCCAATCATTAATTAAGTCTGCTGAGGGTTTTAGATTTTTCTTTAGAAATAGTAAATAGAGCAACAAGTCTTCATTTGTTGCTGTTTATTGTAGAGTTGATTTAAACTTAAAACTGATATTAAATAGACAAAATCTGAAACTTTGGCCACCAAACAGTCTGCAGGTAAGGTCTAAAGACCATGTGCTCCCAGTAGGCCTTTCGCCAGTAGGCCACACCCAGGCATTTTAAGCTTCCTCTGGCCTGCAGGGGGTACAGATATTTAAAAGGAAAAAAATAAAGATTAACAACACAAACCTTTTAAATAAAGTAAACAAATGGATCCAACACCAGGGATTCCTAAAGGTTTCAGCCCATGGTTCCCAAAATAACAATGCCTGTGACTCGTGACCCCTATTATTCTTGGATATGGGTATACAGTAAATATACAAACATTGCACACACAACAATAGGCCTAAATAAACATGAGCATAAAAAAATGCAACAGTCTAACAAGCTTATCTATTTATAGTCGCACCTAATGAGACTGGTGGGCACAATGTTTACAGCACAAGTCTCTTTTTGGTTTAATTTTGGAGACCACCACTTGTGATCATCCTCCATGTTCAGTTGTGGTCTGTATGTATTTTTGATGTATTTGAGTGTCATAAAGGTGTCAGAAAGTTTAACCCGGTGCTAAAAAAACAATCTACTGCAGCAAACAAATCTAATCACCAAGCAAACACCGCCCCCAACATGGGAACCCCCCTCCTGACATTTTCCCGCAAACCCCCGAGGGGGTTCCGACCCCCATTTTGGGAACCACTGACTTAAGCAGTCGTAATTATTTCCAAGAAATCAAATTAAATCTAATTCAAAAGAAATCACTCCATAAATACTTGTGCATTCGGTTTTATATTCATGCATGTACTATACAATGCATTTTGTACCTTTACACCACAATATAAAATGGCAAAATTTAATGGCATTGATCATAACTGCATACAAGTTTGACAGTGGGATTGTAATAAATATTACAATTAATTCAAATTATAAATCTATCACTAGCATTGTGACTTGATCAGCTACATTTCACCTACTGATTTAGTGTTGTTTTTTGTGTTTTCCCCAGGAGCTCTACTGCTAAACCCTTTCAGAAGACACCAAACCCCAAAAAGTCCAGGTCTCCTCCTCCTCCAGCATCAATCCCGCTGTCTCATAGCAATCCGTCCTTATCGCCAGGCAATCTCAGGCCCAGCAGACCGACATCCGAGAGCCTGAGAGTTACAGCAGAAAGAGAGGCGGCCAAAAAGGAGGACGTAGAACCTCCTAAAACTGAACCGGAAGCTCCATTGACTACAACAGAGCCTAGTTCTGGTCAGTAATACCACCATTTATAAACGGTCAAGCACAATTGTGTTAGAATTAGGGATCCCAGCAATTTAATCCACTTGTAATAGTTTTAATCAATTGATGCAGGGCCGCTGCTTGCCACAAGTGTGCCCTAAGTGGACAGTCCTCAGTGCAGCACAGTGTCTACACCTGTGCAGCTGCTGGTGCCTCTAGAGCAGTGCTGGATCAGGCCACCTCATCTTCTTTTGTGACCAATTTCAGCATTGAACCTGCATGTACAATACAGGAGAAATTAGTCATTTAAAGAAAAAACGCTTGACATACCATTAAGACAACAGGCTTGTCAAGCACTCTTATTTCATATAGTTATGTAAAACAACTGGCTTATTAAAAGCAAAGCAATCTACTGATGTAAAGACTAAAGAGTTTTTATAGTCATTGCAGGGATACAACGAAATTAACTTGTCAGATTTCAGAGAGGACAGCAGCAAAAGGAAATGTATAGGAATAGACAAAACAATAAACAAAGCTAACTGCACTGAATTATAATAAATAATACCGACAGTGAAATAATCGTGCAGTGGATGTAGCTGGTGTGCAAACAGAATTGTTAAGTATTGCACAAGTTAATAATAATAATAATAACTGAGTTTGTGTAACTGGTAGCAACATGCGGAAGACAGGCAAATGGATTGATTTAATATAAAAAAGTCATAGAACTTGTCCTATCATAGATCAAAACACAATGCACAGCAGCAAAGCAAGTAAACAGAACATAAACAACAACATATCAGGCAGATTTTGTGCAGTTGTGACGAAGTTAAACGCTAGCCTCACTAATTTACTTGAACAACCAAAAATGTATAGATTCATAGACATAAGTTACCTGAAAGTGATGCACGCGATTCATCTTGTACTTATTTCCTCTTCTCAAGACACAACTTCACAACTTGCATCATTTATAATCATAAGCTGTTAGCAGTCGCAGACACAAGTGGGCCAGGGCATGTGTAAGTGCGTAGGAAAAAAAGTTGCCTCATATTTTTTTGTATTTATCTTAAAATGCATTTTTTAAATGTGTTTATCAACATATTCATTAATTCATTCATTTTCTTGTCAGCTTAGTCCCTTTATTAATCAGGGGTCACCACAGCGGAATGAACCACCAACTTATCCAGCAAGTTTTTACGCAGCGGATGCCCTTTCAGCCGCAACCCATCTCTGGGAAACATCCACACACATTCACACACACACCCATACACTACGGGCAATTTAGTCTACCCAGTTCACCTGTAACACATGTCTTTGGACTGTGGGGGAAACCGGAGCACCCAGAGGAAACCCACGCGAAGGCAGGGAGAACATGCAAACTCCACACAGAAACGCCAACTGAGCTGAGGTTCGAACCAGCGACCTTCATGCTGTACAGCACTACCTACTGCGCCACTGCCTCGCCTTTATCAACATATTATCAATATATTTTATTTATACTCAGTTTATGTTAATATTACAAATACAAATATTAATAATTTTTATTTGAACAACTGAGATGGTACTCTGGAGTTTGTGCCCTATGCAACCTGCGCACTCTGCGTATAGGGAGCGACGGTACAGAATTGATGATTGATAATCCTTTAAAAGTGCACTTAGTGAATTTTGCTAAACTATTTTGATATTTGAAAGCACTGAAACAAACATGCCCATAATCCAATAGGACTCCGGCCCTTTTTGATATCTCCGATATAGTTACTAAACTTTCTGGCATATAAATATCAAAATAAAACCGCGTTTTGAAACATTTTTGCATGCATTTGACCATTTAGGCACTCATCTTAAGATGACTACATGGTATGTACACACACACACAACAGCATGCGTTCTCTTTCCTGCATTTAAAAAACAAAAGAATGGAATAAACCTCCATAAATGAAGCGCGTCCTATACTACAAAAGTCACGTTACATGATTTCACTGAAAAAAATTGAGTTTTGAGAGGAGTGAATTCGGACTGCACTGCTGGAATGGTGGCAGGATGGCGCATAATAATCATTTTATCCTAATGAATGTTTTTTAATAATTGTGGAAAATCGAATTTGAATTTCAATTCAATTAATTGCACAGCCCTATTATCAATGCTGTAAGAGGAACCTTAATAATCACATAAATGTTCCATTGGAAGTTTATCAGTGACTGAAAAACACTTGCTGTGCATAAAACTCATTAATCTGACATTTAAACAACAGTAGCTCAAGGAGGTTTTTAGAAATTGACATCCCTAAAGAGAAGCTCTAAATGTACTGGTGTGGCTTTTTGGTCTTTGTAGAAGCTTCTGGAAGTTCTCCTGGAGGCCGTCCCTCTGCAGGCACCACTGATCCAGAGGAGGCCTCTCGTCTGCTGGCTGAGAAACGACGGCAGGCCAGAGAACAGAGAGAAAGAGAAGAAGAGGAGAAGAGGCAGCAGGAAGAGGCTGAAAGGTGTGTGTGTGTGTGTGTGTGTGTGTGTGTGTGTGTGTGTGTGTGTGTGTGTGTGTGTGTGTGTGTGTGTGTGTGTGTGTGTGTGTGTGTGTGTGTGTGTGTGTGTGTGTGTGTGTGTGTGTGTGTGTGTGTATGTGCGTGCGTGCGTGTGTTTTAAAGAGCCAAATCAAAACAATGGACCCTTTTTACATGTTTCTCAGTAGCGTCATAGTTGGTAAACTTTGAGCGCAGTGAATGGGAGAGCTTGTACTGACAATACCATTTGCTGAAATAATAAAAGCAAAACTCTGCAATGGTGTTACCAACACTGTCAGAAAAAAGCTGTGATACCAACGTCCCTTTAATGCCTAGTTCAGACTGCGTGATTTTAGCCCCGCTGACAGGTTTTGAGAAATCGCCGACAAATGCCTGAAATCACAGGCAAATCGCTGCTCGTGCACGTGAGTGACAATCACACAGTATGAACGATCAAAGACGCGATCTGAGAGAATCGCCGATGAGTCGCCGATGCCTGCGAGATATTTGGCGTGCTACATATCTGGAGCTGTCGGCGATGCAAATCATGCCGTGTGAATTGAGTTTTGACTGAAAATAACATCAGCGATCGCCTACAGCCAATGAGAGAGCAGCTTTCACTTGCGTGTGCGTGTGTGTATACCTGCTGCAGGCCAGCGGGAGGCTGGGGGAGAATTTAAAAGCGCCCTTTTTCGGTTTATTTGGACCCACGAAATGGAGGGAAAACTAGTGGAGGATTGACAGGACTCAGCAGCAACCGTGTCTGTTTGACGTTTCATACAGAAAGAAATTAGTTTATTATCAACGTTGAGGAGAAATGGCTAATTCCCTTTAAACCCAGGTGAGCAAACATGTACATGTTCTACCCCATTAAAGGCTTCTTTCTTATTATGTAGTTAATAACAAAAGATAGGCTATACTACGTGTTTTTGGCTGTGAGACGTAGTTTGGACGAAGTTGTCGGCGATTCTCCCTATAGTAAAGTCATGCAATGTGAATGTCTTATGTCGCCGAACAATCTTGCAGTGTAAACAAAGCAGCGACGAAACGCTAGCCCAGATAGTCAAGCAGTGTGAAAACATCTGTGACACGACTAGTTGAAAAATCATGCAGTCTGAACTCGGCATAAGGTGAGTCATTTCACTCGGCGGCCATCTTTGAAACGCCTCTCCGGCAGTATGCCTGGGCATTCTGTTTGAATGGGGAAACATCAAATTAAATTCCATAATATGAATAACCAAAAGTTATACAACTACTCCCTTATTTAGTTTCATTTCTAAATGTTTATATTACGTGTGTAGAGTTACTGAAGTTTGCCCTGCGCACTTGCGTTTTTTTTAGTTACTTCTTTGGTTTGGTGCGTCAATCTTATCGATGCTATTATTCAAAAAAAAGGTAATGATTTGCACTCAATTGCTTCGTACTGTTTTTATTTTCAATTTTTTTTTGCATTTTACGGGTGATTAAAAGAAAGACGTTTTGGCCTTCCTCAGTGTGACAACGTCTGTCTTTTAATTACCCGTAAAATGTAAGAAAAATTAAAAATTAAAAACAGTACGAAGCAATTGAGTGCGAATCATTACCTTTTTTTGAATAAATGTTTATATTATACACAATCTGCAGAAAATCACGTGTGGTTCGAGCCCCTCCGGAGGACAATTGTCATTCTATAGTGGTTGCTGATTGGCTCCTGTACTAGAAGGTGGGCTTTATTCGCCATATAGCGATCGATGATTGGCTCTTGTACTAGAAGGTGGGGCTTCATTCGCCATATTGACAGTTACATTTTTCCCTGTTCAAAAGTATACGAGTGACAGGTCTTGTGTATTCTAGTCTTTGGTGAAACCGAAGAGCTTAGAATGACCAAGAGGCGACAATCAATAGAACGTTCCATTGCAACAGCAGCGCCCAGCAACAACTCCAGATTCAGCCATTTTTGAGTGAAAGCAGTCGGCTGTCTATTGGATCTTACTGCTGTCACGATGAGAAGCAGCTTTGTTTTTTATTTATTTATTTAAATAGTGGATTAAAGCTGAGATACAACCTGAAAGACGACAATACAACACTTACTTTCACAATCATCAGCACTTTGATAGTTTATTTTACAGATTTATAATATGCTGTTGTCTGTTGGAATTTTCATTCCAAAATGGCCGCCGCGCCATCTTATGGCCGTTTTCCCAAACCGCACTAGAGTGTCACCTCTTGGGGATCCTATGCTCTTGTGATACTGAAAACCGCAGCCAGAAAATGTACTGTCCCACCCCCATAGACACCGCATTGGAAACACATTGCAAAATCTGTAATAAAATTTTTGTAAAAATGATGCAAAGATGACATAATACATGCGCAAATACTTATACAGTGGGGGAAATAATTATTGAACACGTCACCACTTTTCTCAGAAAACTTTTTTTTTTGTATGTGCCGTTGACTTTTTCCCCAGATGTTGGTAACAACCAAAGAAATCCATATATGCAAAGAAAACAAAACTAATTAGATTACAAATGAAGTTATGTGTATTAAAATGAAGTGACACAGGGGAAAAGTATTGAACACATGAAGAAAGGGAGGTGTAGAAAGGCAGTGAAAGCCCAGACAGCAGCTGAAATCTCTCAGCAGTTCTTCAGCATCCCTCTTCCCTTCCTCAGTGTAAATGAATATCAGCTGCTTCAGTCCAACATCTACATTAGCAGGATGATGAAGATGAAACCAGGGTGGACATTTCAGCAAGACAATGATCCAAAACACAGCCAAGGAGACTCTCAAATGCTTTCAGAAAAAGAAAATCAAGCTGTAGAATGGCCCAACCTTTAATCTGACTTCAATCCAATAGAAAAGACAAAATGAAGATCAGATTTGATAGAAGAGACTCGCAGAACCATCAAGATTTTTACACTCTGTTGAAGTCTGCGAGAAACTCACACCTGAGCAATGCATGAGACTTCATTCTAGATATGAGTCGTCTTTAATCTTTCGCCTTTAATCATTAAAAAGCCTTTTATATAAAGTATTAAACACATTTCAGTAGTTCATCACTTCCTCCTTCTGTCATTTCATTGTTATTTATGTTTGTATTGTTTAAGTTTTTACCAAAATCTGCTTCAATTCCATGTCAGCAGCTCCTTTAGAAATATTATTCTCAGGAAAAAAAGAATCAATACTTATTTCCCCCACTGTAGATGTAAATACGTTTAAAAATAAATGAAATATTAAAACTTTCAAGGATTTAAGATTAAACGCGTCATAACGGTTTTGTGAAAAAGGTCCATATAGATGATTTATTGTGAAGGAAAAGTTGTCTTGTGTGCATGCAGGCGCAGCAGGGAGGAAATGGCCCGCAGGAAGGCAGAAGAGCGAGCGAAGAGAGAGGAGGAGGCACAGCGGCAGGCGGAGGAGAAGAGGAGAAAAGAGGAGGAGGAGATGCGTTTAGAAGAGGAGAGAGCGCAGAGGGAGAGAGAAGAAGCCGAACGCCTGCAGAAACAAGTATATACTAACAGAATATATAATCACATTCATTCATCACAACACACAGATCAATAAATGCACAGCGCTCGCTCTGGGCACAAAGAAAGTGTACTTTAAGGGGATAGTTCACCCAAAACTGAACATTATTTTTCTGTTTGTTTACCCTGAAGTGATTCCACACCTTGAGTTTCATTTATCCGTTTCTTCCAGCATTTAATAGTGTGGAGGAACAATGATGTCCCCTTGTAGGCCAATCGGCTGCTAGCATAAAACTGGTTCCTTCAATAAAATCCCAATAGGATTTTCCTATAACCTTTTCGAAGATTGCAAATAATAAGCTCTGTGTTCAAACACTGTTCATTACACTCACACAATTTGTCCAACTGGATAACCCTCACATGAAAATACAACGTTTATTACTTTTGATCTTAGATGCAAACGCAAGAACTGAAAAGCTAACATTAGGCTATAAATGGACTACAGTGACTTGGGGCGCTCGCTTGTTACATCAGCACCACCACTGTGTAAATTGAATATTGTTAATTGATAATGAGTTAATTTCTTATTTAATCGAATCATCTTTGAAGTGTTTTGACTGTATTTACATTAACATTTTCATATGGGAATTCACAATTGCATGTTCACTGTACAGAGAGATGGCAGCACCTCATGTTTAACAAGATCAGATGTCTACTGAAATCAGTAGAAATAGTGTCATCTAGTGGCTGATCTGAGATCTGAAGCCATTTGTGGCTTCAGTAAGTTAAGTTATTGCTTATATGAGGTTGTGAAGTGATGTTGTTTGTTAATCTTATTTAACAGCAGAAGACCACTTTGTCAACTGCATATTCTGTCAACATATCTGATTATGTCAACATAATAAATATCGTTTAGATGAGTTACTACTGAACTAAAAAAACATGATGAAAGCAAAATTGCTGTTCAGGGGTGCCTTTCCCAAACAACGCAACCTGACCTATCATAATATGATGCATCGTTTGGGAAAAGAACGATGTAGTGATGAGTGTTTCCCCAAATCCATAGTTTCTCTGTCGCAGATCTATCGTTTGAACCATGGTAGTTATAACGTACAACGCCCATAATGATGCCCTAAATGGTGTGGAGTAACTACTTCCTCATAGAAGAACCCGATCATTTCTTCAAATTATATTGTTTTACTCACGCACACGCATTTCAAATACATATTATTTACCAAAACTACATTAGTTTTGGTAAAACATGCACTCGCTTTTCATATGAATTAAAATATATGAAAGTGGCACTGATATTGCCTGTGTTTCCTTTTCAAATATTGAGAACATTACGGTCCAGTTTCACAAACAGGGTGTAGATTAAGCCAGGACTAAGGGCTTAGTTAAATTAGGTTATTTAAGCCACATTTATAAAAATGACCTAAAAAATATATTACTAGTGTGCACCTGGAGACAAAAAAAGGACACTGATTTATTTTAAGACATCTCACCGCAAGTTATTTTGAGTTGAGACAGCTCAAACATGCAATTTAATCTCTACTAGCCTTAAACCTTGTTTGTGAAACCAGGGGTACAAATTATATTGTAAAACATAAAATCACTTACAAAAGCTAACATAAAAATAAAATAAAATCATATAAATAAATAATGAGGCTATTTATTAAGAAATTTAATATTTATTATTTATTAGTAAATGTAAAAAATTCTACTTTAATAATATTAATCATAATGATGATGATGACTATGATTATTATTAAAATTATTATTATTAAGTTGAATATTGTTTATTTATGTTATAGTTTTGGAAAAGTCTACTTTTACAAATTGACACATGCAAACCGTTGCAGAAGTGTTTTAACCAACAGGCCCATGTCATACAGTACAGATCCTTAATAAATAACCTATAAATTAAAAGCATTAGTATGCTATGTTTTTTTTGTTTTTACAAGCTTTGGAGATTAAACGTGAATTCCGCTTTTAAATAATTGGTCACCTTTAGCTTTCGTCATGAGTTACGGCTGTGTTCAGAATGACATCAATGTTTTCAAAGTGCACTGCAAAGGGAGCACAATTGTAAACTTGATGATCTGTAAAAATACTTGGAAAGCAAATTACATCTAAGAGAGATGACTTTAATGCATTTTTTTAATCTTTCCAAGTTCAAATGTTAGAATGTTTTAAATGAATAGGGCATAGGGGACATAACTGGGAATGGAACACAGCCAGGAACTATGCTTCTAACTACAGCTCCAGAGGTGTGGTTGCAAGCACACAAGTTTGCGAATGTTCGTTGGAGTGATGGATTTGGGAAATGTCAAATCAACAAACTATGTTTATAATGATGGAGCTTGCGACCTTAGTTGGCTAACGATAGTTTTTTTAGAAACCAGAATTGGATAATTATAATAGTTTGTGTTTTGTGAAAAAATATAGTTGAATATAGCTAATGTTGACTTTGATTTATCATTTTAATAGTCACATTGTTTTATTATGCTATAGCTCTCTTCTTTCTTTAATCCTTGATGATGCTGACAATTGTCACAAGAATAAATTACATCATAAAATATATAAAAATATATTATTTTAACTTGTAATAATATTTACAATGTAAGAGTTTGTTACTTTTGATTAAGTAAATGTGTGCGTTTTTTTTCTTTCTTCTTCTTTACATTAGATTCTATAGTTTCTCGTCATGAATTAAAATATCAGTATTTATTTTACTGAAGTATTTTCAATGGAGGGGCAGCACAGTGACGCAGTAGGTAACTGACCCCGGCTGGGTCAGCTGGCATTCTGTGTGGAGTTTGCATGTTCTCCCTGTGTTGGCGTCGGTTTCCTCCGGGTGCTCCGATTTTCCCCACAGTCCAAAGACATGCTGTACAGGTGAATTGGATTGGCTAAATTGTCCATAGTGCGTGTGAATGAGTGTGTATAGGTGTTTCCCAGTGATGGGTTGCAGCTGGAGGAGCATCCGCTGTGTAAAACGTATGCTGGATATGTTGGCGGTTTATTCCGCTGTGGCAACCCCAGATTAATAAAGGGACTAAGCCGAAAAGACAATGAATGTATTGTAGTGTGCTGTGTACCAATCTTAGTATGAACTTCTAATCTCTGTTTAGCAGCTCTAAAATAAAAACATGCTGGATATTAACACCTTTATATGTTAAATCTTACATGCCAGTGGCCTTAAATTATTTACTTTTTTGTATATACAGAAAGAGGAAGAGGAGGCTCGCCAGAAAGAAGAAGCAGAGCGCTTGCGTCTGGAGAGAGAGAAACACTTCCAGAAAGAGGAGGCTGAGAGAATGGAGAGGAAGAAAGCAAGTCAAGTTCATTATATTTGACCATTGTTAAGTAGAGTGTCTAATTATAAGCCATCTGATTGTGTTCTCGTCTGCCACACAGCGCCTTGAGGAAATTATGAAGCGCACACGCAGATCTGATCAGGTAAGAAATGAGGCCTGCAAGACAATTGAAGCCTGCTTTTCAGGATTGCAGCCTGTAATTTAAAAGTCCTGGATTTTTTTTAACACACACACACACACACACACACACACACACACGCATACACAGACAGTTTATATTTTACACACCTTTTGTTTTGAAAGAAAACCACCCCGCAGAGAAATGGAGATGTCAGTCAGCAGAGTGGACAGGATCCAGGTGAATAGTGATTTTGTATGTACATGCGCACACCACTGTCTTTATTGAGCCTGACATTATTAACGTGTGTGTGTGTGTTTTCTTGCAGGTTCAGTGTCCGGCGGTCCCTCAGTGAGTGTGTCTGACCCTCTGGCTTCAGAGACCTTAGAGACGGTACAGAGCGACAGTAATGGACACACGGGGCCAAGCTACATTACACCTGTACTGCCCACATCAGGTCACAGGTGCGACCAGAGGAATGTGTGCTTTATAATTAATCATACAAATAAATATAAGGATGTTCGTTCACGTGATCTGAAACACAGCTTCAGGTTAATTCTGATTGAAATTAATGAAGAAGTAAATAATTATTAAATGTTTTTATAATTTTATATATATATATATATATATATATATATATATAAATATATAAATAAAAAGATAGTTTGGTTATGTGTTAATGTGTATTGCATTTTATTAGCTTGTATTTATTTTAATTTGCATTTAAATAAACAAATAGAAACTAATACATTAACGCCCCATTCACATGGGGCGTCAGCGTCAAAGCTTCCCATTCACTTTGAATGTGTGACGTCAAGCGTTGCCGAACTGCATTGTGGATCCATCTGCGCTGCTTCAGAGGCGTTGCTCGCTGCAGAAGTTGGGACTAGCTCAACTTTTCAATCGCCGACGGAAGCGCCAGCCAATCAGATCACTTTATGCAAATACACCAGCTAGACAGTGGCCTATTGGTGACTGAATTTCAATGGCTGACGCTGCTATGACGATCACTTCAGCCCCAACTTTAGACACCGACTTCAGTCAAGCGTACATGCTAAAGCCCCGTGTAAATGGGGCCTAACTTTCATGGAATCAATCTCACAGCTGATTGTAATCTTAATGTGCATTTTGTAATTATTCCTTATTCCTAAAAATTATTTGAGGCTTGTTAATTCACATGATCTGAAAAACATTTGTTTTGACTATATTATAAATAATAATAAATCGCACCAAAATGTATTAAAAGGTAAGTAAAGTGTAACAACGCAAACTTTTCTTTAATCGTAGTAGTGCTGTGCGTCATTTGTTTAACCCTTTAAGGTGACGTGCTGATTGACAGGTGTGTGACGTGCGAGGCCAGCAAACACGACGTAGCTTTAAGTTAAGATGAACAATGTTTCCATAATTGTACTTTAAAGATAAAGGTCTAGGACTCTGTATACAATGACTTTATCTTGCTGAAGTTTATAGCTGTTTTACTTTACTTTAGGACACATTAATGCCGCTCTGTTTATTTATTGATCTATATACATTTTTATTTGCTGGTAATTTAATTTGCATTAAAATAAAAAAATAACAATAATTAGTTTTAATAAAATATGTCAAATTTGATTGTAGTTGGTTATAGCTCACAATCTAAAAATAAATTAATCATGTTTAAATAATAATACTTTTAAAAAATGTAATATGTTGTTCTTACAATGTAGTTATATTATTGTAAGTAGTAGTAGTAATTAAGTAATAAATTAAGCAATGTTTGATTCAGATTTTTTAAAATATCATAAATTAATAAGGGATTATTCATGGTATATGTATTAATAAATCATATTGTAGTTTTTAAAATATGATTTAAATTAAAATGTGTACGCCACATTTGTTGTAGTCGAATGCTTTTCTAGTGCTTATCCAGCTACTGAAATGTTCTTCATTCCAAAGTCACTGTGCATTATTGTCCAGTAAATTAATCTGTATAATGCCTAAAATTATCTGGCTGTAATGACTCTCCTACCCCCTACTGGTGATAAGAGGAACACCAAATGTTTTTTTTCTTTTGTAGATCGTCTATTATACCACTTGTTTACTGTTTACATGTGTTCATTTAGTAGACACCCTTATCCTACAATAATAAATGTTAAAAGGTATAAATGTTAAAAGATAATAATTAAAAAATAATAATCAAACACAGAGCTTGGAAATCTGAAAATACAACTTTGTATATACTATACGTACATATATTTGTATATCAGGCAAGGATTTTTAACTGGGATGACTTTAAAATGCATATTAGTAAATGTAAATCTGGTAATGCATTAAAATAATGATCAGTTAGTTGATGTTAATTACTTACATTAACTAACTATGAAAAATCTTGTGCATAATTTATGAATCACAATTTATTTACTAATGCATTATTAACATCCAACATTAGTTAGTGCACTGCGAGTTAATAATGAACAACTTTATATTTATGAACCAAAATTTAAAAAGATAAATATAGTGAGGGATGTATTGTTCATTGTTTGTTCATGTTAGTAAATGCATTAATTACCATTTAATTTTTATTGTATGTGTTAATAGTTTCTTTTTCTCTTGTAGACACGAGTCATTTATAAAATGTGTGTATATCTTATCTGCTTTTGGAAGGACATTACCAGTGTTTCTGATATGACAGTAAACCCAAAATGGTTTCTTTCTCTCTCATTGCAAGCATGTCTGCACTACTCCGAGAAAACGGCACTATTAACGAGACCTTCGAGCAGGTCATAGAGGTTCCTCTGGCGAACAAACTGTCCCGTCAAGATGGAGATGGAGAAGAGCTTGACAGAGAGGAGGAGGAGGAGAGGAAACGTCCCTTTTTGGCCTTCAGAGAGAACGGCAGCACACATAACGTGAGCGAACTGAATGAGGAGCCAACGCTGTAGAGTTCAGGTCAGTCCAGACACAACTAAAACTACAAATATTATTAAAAATTCAATGTTATAATAAAATTCACAGTTGGAATATTATGAATATTCCACACATATTTGATCAGCGTGGGTCCTTTAAATGATGATGAGTGTGTGTGTGTGTCCATTTTTAAGTAAACATAGACTATATATTTTGGTTCATATAAACCCTAGTGGTGTAACGGATCACAAATCTCACGGTTTAGATCACACTATGGTTTTACAGTCACCATTTTTTTGGATCAGCAAAAAAGATATAAGAAATGTCAATTGCTTTCCATTTGTTACAAAAAACATTACTGCAAGAAACTTTTGCTCATATGTGACACAGATCAGATCTGTTTCATGACCGTGTAAACAAGAAAAAAAAAACACGTGTGTTTGGATATTCTGCGATCTGTTTTTGGCCTCCTTCAAATGTGGAAATAAATCAGATATAAATCGGATATGTGACAATGCGACTATCATCAGGGTTCCTGCAGGGTCTTAAAACGTCTTAAAATGTCTTAAATCTCAAAAAACAAATTTAAGGCCTTAAAAAGTCTTATATTTTCTGAAATATTGTGTTGTTGGTCTTAAATCTTTTTTTTTTTTTAACATGTCTTAATTTCCCTTGTTCATGTATTGCTACCAAAATCTGGACAAAACCCATACAATCACCAACAATTCATCTAAACTAATCTAAACTTTTTATTTAAAAAAGGTAATTTTTTAACTCTATCATAATAGTTTAATTATTTTCCCTACAATAACATTTCTTTAAATGTCCTTCATGTATTTACTGCTGGGGATCCTGACCTGAACAGAATGTTGTGCATAGATTTAATTTATTATAGTTTGTAAAACTTTTAAAACAATTGTTCTTTTTTATTTTACAGAAAGTTATCTTGGAAAAATGTATGGATGCAAGTAGAGGTTGCTTGTTTTTACACAATATTTAAAATATTTGGCTAATCAATAAAATCTCAAATATTAAATTTTTTATTATTAATGTATTATTGTATTATTAAATGTATACAATTAATATTATTATATATTTTTTGATTGGGCAATAAAAATCTTTTCCATCTGGACCATTTGAAAAATTCCTTAGCCTTTAGCCCTTTATGGGTCTAAAATTTCATTCATAATGGTCTTAAAAATGTCTTAAGTCTTAAATTTAACTCTGTGAAACCTGCAGAAACCCTGATCATGTGAACAGGCAGATCAGATTTATTGAGGCATTTCATATTGTACGTCATTAAACTTGCGACAATGTGGTACTTCTCTGCGGTTTAATGGCGTAGAAGAAAGAGCGTGTGTGGAGACGCCACAACAACAGAGGAAACATGGGTGAGGAAAGTGGTCAGTTGCCACAATTCCCACCAGACCTGAGATCTCTCTTGTACTCACATTCCTCTGAATGGTGGAGGACACTATATATAAACCATAGGCACAAGCTGCGATGACGGCCCTTTCCCTCCTCCACCGCCTCATAATCATTTTAAAGTTGGGCAAATTTTGCATATTTAGCAGAGCTAAAAGCAAGACAATTTCTTCCATCGTGGATAGTGTGGCACAGATGCTAGAACCCACCTTTGCGCATGCGCAACGTCATAAATTGCATGGCAAGTGTAAACACATAAATCGGATATGGGTAACAATTAAGCCCACATGGAATCTGCCCAGATTTGTAGTCCAACAATGAGTCTATTTACTTGTGTAAATATGTGTACATTTATGTTTATTTAGTTTTTAAATTAGAGTAATAATATTGACTAATATGAATGTGTTCATTTAATTTATGTACAAAACAGTTTGTCTTTTAATAGATATATTATATTATGGACTTGCTTTGTTTACCAAATAAGTGGATCTAATTAGATTTGCATTGTAAACATTAAATAAACATAATTATTTCTTTCAAAATTTTATTGAATTTATAAAGTTTTTAGTTATACTCCCAAAATCATTCCGCATAAATCCTCCGCTAAATTTCTCTGCAGAAATAGCAAAAATTGTCTGCAGGTTCTGTCTGAAAAGAACAACAGGCAACAAATCGGAATTGGGCATCAAGACCTGACAGTGTAAACGGGGCCTTATAGAACTTCATGTTTTATTAATACATGTATGATTTTTTGAAGAACTATTGTGACTTTTTTTATAGTTGTTTATCGCCACCTTTTGTTTAAACAATGTAATTGCTACAACAGCATCAGGATAAACAATGATTTTAATCTTTATAATAAACTTCAGTGTTCATATCTGAACTGTAAACTGTTATCCCAGTACTTCTGTTGTTTGATTCTTTGTAACTGATTGAAAAGGGTGAAAACTGAATCTCTCTCAATCAAACGCAGATCGAAGGAATATTTAACATGCAAATCATCGTCATTTATTATTTGTTGCGTGGGTGATTGAATTGAGATCTCGATCTTTTAATGTTTAATTGTACAGCTTTACATGGAATGCATTAATACAGGCTGAACAAGTAGTGACGGAAAACACCTTCAATAACCTAAGAAGGCAATTAGGTGCCTCCACTGCTTATTCCATCATCGTTATATTTTTACAGGAAAGCCAAGATACTTTCACACATGTGATTTGAATGACGCAGAAAGAGAAGTCCTGTTGTCAATCCCAGTTGTAAGAGCAACAAATGATAACTTGACTTCTAGTTGATCATTTAGACAAAGGGCAGAAGGTCGATTTTTTTTTTCTTTCTTTTTTTCTGATGAATTATCTGTTGAACTGCATCCTAATCATCACAAATTCTGCAGAAGACCTGCACGGACCCAAGATTCTCATAGAAATCAGTCAAGTTTGGTGAAGGAAAAATCATGGTTTGGGGTTACATTCTGCAGAGTGGATGGCAACATCAACAGCCTGAGGTATCAAGACATTTGCTCTACCCATTACATTACAAACCACAGGAGAGGGTAAATTCTTCAGCAGGATAGTGCTCATCTCATACTTCAGCCTCCACATCAAAGTTTCTGAAAGCAAAGAAGGTCAAGGTATTCCAGGATTGGCCAGCCCAGTCACCAGACATAAAAAGTATTGAGCATGTCTTTGTTAAGATGAAGGAGACATTGAAGATGAATCTAAAGAATCTTGATGAACTCTGGGAGTCCTGCAAGAACGCTTTCTTTGCCATTCCAGATGACTTTATTAATCAGTGATTTGAGTCATTGCAGAGATGTATGGATGCAGTCCTCCAAGCTCATGATGGAGTCAGACACAATATTCATTCTGTTTCCACTGCAGCATGATTTTATAATCTATACTGGACATTATTACTTTTAAGAGACTAGATTTTCGTCTAAGCAAAGTCAGACCTTTCTGTCCTAATGAAATAATTGCAAATCAAGGCATGATCAGATTTTATTGTGGTAAAATAACCTCTAAATCTAAATAAAATCTAAATAAAAAAATCTAGAGGCCTTTGCCTTTCATATAAACCACTTCTGATACCAAATGATTAACTAAAAGTCAAGTTATTATTTGTTGTGAATAGGCCATAAGAATTTTGTCAGGTAGTGTGTGAATGTTACAAATTTAGTGGGTTGTGTTCCATACAGTTGATCCATTAAACCACTAGTAAACAGTAATAATCATTAAAATAAGAGTGTGTTAATCTCTTATTAATAAAAAGATACTACAGTTAAATTCTGAAGTGTTGCAAGAAAAATAATTTCAATTAAATGTAATATAAATATAGTTCTCTTGATGGTTGTCTTTACCATATTCACTAGGGTGTACTAATAATTCTTATTTGTATTAAACATTTTAATTAGCTTTGAAATTGTTTGAAATTAATGTTTGATAGAATATAATAATAATTTCTTCATTATTTTTTTTTCTTTTTCCATAATAGATGTATGAATATTTATAATGGTGGAAGTGCAACAAGCAACATAAGGAAGAGAAATACTAAGAAAATGAAGTACTTCTCTTCGTCTGAATCCAACTCAACCTAAAATGGCAAACCAAACAAAACGTCTCTTGGCCGTTCTCTTGACTTCCGGTTATCATTTTCCCCCAAAACTGAAGTGGGTCGCTCCAGAAACCACATCTTCCATCACTGGGGGAGAAACCACTGAAGCCAAATCTAATACTTGAAGAGAAATGTGCCCTCTTTCGAGGAAGCTCTTGCGAAGTGCTGACCGTAAGGAATGTGTGACTATCGAGAAAATGATGTATGTCATGTGGGCGTCACTTTACAGCAAAATCCTGTCTTTTTGCTCCCGTTAAGCCAGCAGTTTGAGTTGGCTGAACTCTCTGCTTAGTTTTATAATTGCTGTTTAAATGAAGAGAGCATTTTTTCTTCCCTCTTTGTAAAGCTTGAACGGATTATTGCCTCTATGCATTTATGCATCTTTGGTCGCTCGGCTCATTCCACCCCAGTATACGCAGTTTGAGATGATTTGTTTTTGTCTAATAAGTTTGGGTTGTTTGAATCTCAAAAAAAAAAATCCATCAAATATTTAACACAAAATTAAATGGAATACATGCATGTTATTTATGTTAAAATAAAGCTTATTTTCCTCAATTAATCATAATTATTATGGCCTAAAATGTAGATACTGTGTAAATTGTGAAGTGTATATATGGAAAGTTACCAAATGTTCTACTGCCTTTTAATGTAATGCTGATTTAAAAAAGAAAACACCCTTTTCCATTAGATTTTGTGTTGAAATATATATAATTTCTTGGAGATTCACCCAACTTATGGTTTTCTAGCCGTGTTGTTTTTGTGTAGCATTAATCACAGACATCCGAAAACAACTTCTATCATAGGAACGTGTATATGCGAAGTAATGTCTATTTCATCAGTAAATCCCAAACTAATCATCGAAAATCAAGAGAGTTTTCAAAAGCTATAATAATAAAAGTATGCAGAATCTCTTTAAATCTGAAATGCTGCTACCTTTTGTCTTTCCTCTGCCTTATCAGATGAAGTAAAGTTTGGAGGGTTAGTTTGTTTAAGGGCTGATTTGTCGTTTTTGATTTTTGAGATGTCCTCCTAACACATTGCTGCGTCATTTAACCATTTCCATAACAGCTCCATGAAATACCAACATTAATTAGTCATATGGAAAACTTAGTATCCTATGTTGGTACCAAGTATACTATATAGCAGTGTTTCCCAGCCCTGTTCCTAAAGGCACACCAGTGGTACATATTTTGGATGTCTCCCTTATCTGATCTGGTTTTTGAGCCTCCTAATGTTCTGAGGAGTTGGTTTAAGGTGTGTTTGAATAGGAAGAGGTTGAAAATGTGTACTGTTGGTGTGCCTTTGGGAACAGGGTTGGGAAACCCTTCTATAAAGGACACGTTATAAAGCTATTTATTAGCATAGGACTGTCTCTGTTTTTGTTGTGATCAGTTTCGCTGAATGTACCTTGCAAAAAAAGTAAGAAGCAGCAGGGATCAATGACATATCTCCAAGGAAGAAATTGTAAATCTTGATATGCAAACTCTACATAAACATTGCACAGAATCTCATGTATGATGGCGGGTGAGGGTTTAAAACAAGCACAACTTGTTTACTGAGACGTCAGGGCAGATTTCTCAGTCCAGACTTGTTTGTATTGAGCACTTCTGGTGTTGCACCCATGTGTCCTTTACCCTACCAACAGCACTGAGTACCACTTTAAAAAAAAACAAGAACGATGCATTTACTCCCGAACAAGTCAGTCTATATGCATGTACAAATGATGAAAATCAATTAAACTTTTTATCTGGAAACCACTTGGACTGGTTTGTTTTTTTTAATGTACTCACTCCGTCTTTGTCCCTTATTTATCAGGGGCCGCCACAGCAGAATGAACCGCCAACTATTCCAGCATATGTTTTATGCAGCGGATGCCCTTCCAGCCGCAACCCAGTAATGAGAAACACCCATACACTCTTGCAGTCAGACACATACACCATGGCCAATTTAGCTTATTCAATTCACCTATAGGGCATGTCTTAAGACTGTGGGGGAAACCAGAGCACCCAGAGAAAACCACACCAACATGGGGAGAGCATCCAAACTCTAAACAAATGTCTACTGGCCCAGACGGGGCTCGAACCAGCAACATTCTTGCTGTATAGCGACAGTGCAACCCCTACAATTAGTTTCTTTTACTACATGAAAGTGAGTGAATCCATTGCCTTAAAATCAACAAGCTGACTTTACTTTAAAAAGTGAGTAAATCTGTTGTAACTTAACAGTTAAGTTGATTTTTTTTTTTTTTTAATTTGCACATAATTTATTTACTTAATTTTAATCCAATGCGTTTCCTCACTTTAAAGTTTTTACAGTGCATGTGTTTGTTACGAATGAACTTTTCATTGTGGTGCGTGTGTTTGACATTTAGCTGGCCTAGTTTATACTTTCATAACTGGAACAATTTGATGTTTAGATCTGCCAGCGTGTGTGGTTGCACTACGAAGTTTAATTCTTTTTTTTACCCTTCTCAAACAGGGTTCTTAAAGTTTATAGTGTTTATAAAGGTTTTCTTTTTATGAAGCAAAAATAATTAAAAAAAAAATTCTAATAAATTTGGGTTACTCGAATGTCATGCAATGCATCTGAAAAATAGCCATAATATTCATTCATTCATTTTTTCCTTTTTTAATCTGACGTCGCCACAGCGGAATGAACCACCAACTTATCCAGCATATGTTTTACGCAGCTGATGCCCTTCCAGCAGCAACTCATCACTGGGAAACACCCATACACTCCCATTCACACACATGCACTACAGACTATTTAGCTTACCCAATTCACCTGTAGCGCATGTTTTTGGACTTGTGGGGGAAACCGGAGCACCCGGAGCAAACCCACGGCAACACAAGGAGAACATGCAAACTCCATACAGAAACACCAACTGACCCAGCCGGTGCTCGAACGAGCGACCTTCTTGCTGTGAGGCGACAGCGCTACCCACTGCACCACAAGTTATTTTATTTTAATTCTGTCTTCTACTTCTGTAAAAGAGCTGTCTTTTGCTGGTATCAGCTCATGGCACGTCATTTCATCACCATTTGATACCATAAAACACATTCTCATTATAAAACAGTCCATAAAACTTTAAAAAGAAATATGTATTTATTTTATGACACTTCAGATCATTCATATTGAGCAGAAGTTTTGTTTCTGGATCCTTCAGCAAAATCTGTGAAAACGTCAGTATCTGGAGGCTTCAACACCTATCTGAAGACTCCAACACAGGGATGTCCAAACTCAGTCCTGGAGAGCCGGTGTCCTGCATATTTTAGTTCCAACCCCAATTAGACACACCTGAACCAGCAACTCAAGCTCTTTCTAGGTATACAAAAACTTCAGTGCAGGTGTGTTAAAGGGTGTTGGAGCTAAACAATGCAGGACACCGGCCCTCCAGGACTGAGTTTGGGCACCTCTGCTTCAATTCTTATTTGTTTTCCTTTCTGCCCTGCTGGGTATTTTTTCTCTAATGGATTTGCCTTTGAAGAAGGCCGGTTGTCTCTGGTAGCTTTTCTGCACCGTCTGTAGTTCCCCTTTTCTGCGCAGAAGAACTGAAGCAGTTAAATGCATATACTTAGAGACCTCCATAGGCCCCTACATGTTTTCATAAATGGTTACACAGGAAATCAGAAGCGAGAGACGCACGTTATTTTTATTGTTCCTGAAGCATATTTCTTGTCGGAGATGTCTCCTTCTGCAAAATGCTTCGTTAAACACATCTTCACAAAAAGCAGAGTTATATACAAAGAATATGCTAAATATTTCCAATAAAGATAATTCTAATGAGAAATGAAAATTAATTCTATTTTCTTACTATTTCTATAGCGCTTTTACAATTGAATCTGTGTCCGTCAGGTTTTCACAGTTCAGTTCAGTGTGGTTTAATTTTCACTGCTGAAAGTCCAAACACTGAAGAGCACATAAATCGATGCACAGTTCCACAAGTCTCAAAACACAGCACAAGCCAGTGGCAACAGTGGCGAGCGCCAAAACTTTACCAATTGACGAAAGGAAAAAAAACTTGAGAGGAAACTAGGTTCAGTTGGGAACAACCATTTCTCCTCAGGCCAAACTTCTTGAGAGGCTAGAGAACACTAGACATCCATCGTGGAGAAACTGCATGTGCGTGTGAGTGGGTCAGTTTAATTTAGGTCAACAATTTATTCAAAATAACATCTTTAGTGTCACTTTAAATGCATTTGATGTCTCTTAAAGCAAACATCTTACCGACTGCACACCAAAAACAGAATATGAATTGCAAAATTGTTTTCAGGATGGATCAGAATTGCTTTATTTTAAACATATTTTCTTGGGTAATGTTCGTAAATGTTTCTGGAATCTTTCTCCAATTAAAGTATAAAGCACTGGGTTTAGGCAGCAGTGTGAAAACGCCAATAGACGGCAAGCATAAAATGCATAGTCAAGATGAATGGAGACACTACAGATTAAGAATGGCGGCAAAGCGTAATCCTGTAAAGTTTTCAAGAGCATAACAATGTTGTATGGAACCCAGCCGATGAAGAACGCTATGCCTATGCAAAATATGAGATTGATAGTTTTCCGTCGACGTCTCGATTGAGATTGGGTTATTACCTGAAACATTCTGGCATGGCAAAATCCCATGATGCAAAACGCCATCAAGAAGAAAATGTTTTGTGAGTAAACGGCGACATGTTTTACTTTTATACTGTCAAATTCACAGTAAAGGTTATCATCGTGTATTAAGACTTTGCTGCGAAGTGAGACTGACAGCGCAGCTGTTCCACTTAGAATCCAAATGATAAATGGCGCAACTGAAAAACATCTGTGTTTCTTCCAGTCGGACAGAGGATGAACCACTGCCATGTAGCGCTGAATGGTCATTAGAGTTAAGAACAACACGCTGCTGTAAAAGCCCACGTAGAACAGAAACTTGACCGCTTTACAGCCAATCTCTCCAAACGTCCAACCATGGATGAAGTACGAAGCCCAGAAAGGAAGTCCAAAAGTGAAGAGCAGATCTGACAGAGCTAAATTGAGAATCAGGAGGTTGATCAGGGATTTAAGCTTCTCATACAGCACCAGGATGACCAGAACCAACGTGTTACCAACGCAGCTAAACACAACCAGAAGAGCAAAAAAGAGTGGAATAACAATGGATCCGAATTTGATGACCGCATCTTTCCGGCAGAGTTCATCTTCTGGCTCATCATCGAGAGTTGTGTACTCTTCAGTCATGATGTTTTCTGCATAACAAAGATTACATTTGTTATTGAACTGATTTTAGTTATAATTATGCACCTAAGGTGCTAAGCATAATTGAGCACACCCCATTTTGAAAATAAATATTTTTCTCGATTTCTCAGTGAATAAAGGGAGTGTATTTTGGTGCATTTGTACAAAACAGATTTATTAAACAGATATACTTATTAAAATAATATTTTAGTCACCAAACATGTTTAGAAATTAAAAGATAATTCAATTAAATTCAAAAAAAAAAAAAAAAAAAAAACCTACAAAGTTTCAACTAAATCTTTCCATTGTTTTGCTTCTCCTGATTTTTCCTCTTTTTTTAAATTTGTATTTAATATTTTTCTATAACATAAATTTGGCTGTACTAGTTTTTGGATCGTTAGTTATTTTGTTAGATGAGCTCCAGATTTGGCTTCAGTACTGACTAATCTTATGTATATGCACAAATATCATATTGTATAGCTTCCTATCAAAAATATTAATTTAAAAGAGAGATTTATATTTAAGAGATACATTTTTTTAATATATATAAAAAATTTGAATTTATATATTTTTACCATTAGAGACTGGCTATATTCACTTGCTGTTGCCACACACTTGTTTAAACCCTTTATAAAAGTTAATTTTGCATAATAGCTCCTCTCTGAAGGTGTATTATATCGGATGGACACCTAGTGGTTGAGCTAGGTATTGTAGTGCAAATTCAAAATATTGAAGAGGTCATCCAACGATGCAGGTTGCCAGATTGATGTCACGTGTGAGCGTGCCTGATGACCAATCCTTACAATGTAAGCTGCTCAACTTGTGTGTAAGCTTTTAATATTTTAATTATTTGCTAATTTAAAAACACCTCATGTGGGTTTTTATAACTTTGAATGTCTCTTTTCAGAGGCTGCTACTGTCCTCTGGAGGTCGCATTTTTTGTTTCCTATATTGAGGCAGCCATCATGACTAAAATCAAATACAGTTTTCCACCAAATATAATTGGGTAAACAGGCAGTGGGCGGAGTTAAACAGACCAAAACAAAGACATTCTGACACTGAATGTAACTTTTCAAATAATAGTCTTTAGCATTGTTTATCAGAAAAACAAGTATGTTCACTTACTATGCTATTTTTATGCTTTACAAGAGTCGAACTTGTATTAGAGTTAATGGTTTAATTTGAACAATTTAATAAATGATAAAAACCTAAATTCAATGATAAATAATTCATTCTTACCTTAAATTAGTCAGTTATTGTGGTAGAGTATGACATCAAACTGCTGGTGAACAGAAACAAGTTGGTTGAGATTTGCATGACAAATAAGCAAAATAAATCTTGGGAAGGGACTTTAAGTATTTTGGGAGGGTTTAATTATACCTCAGCTTCCTGTTTCATTTGGAAACATGAACTGAAAATGTCACTTTTTATTGTTGCTGTTCTTTAGTAAGACATTTTAAGGTAGTGGCCAAAGTTTCAAAGCGGTTGGTTTACATGAAATGGTTTAGTCTGAAGTGGGACAGTGGGTGGAATTTATTGGATGCAAAGTCAGCTCTTGTAGGATGTACTGTCAGTAATGACACAATTGGTGCTATATGTTTTTTTAACCAACCCTGCTGTTTTTTCTTGTTATTTATCAAATGCAGATACAACGCCATCTTGTGCTGACGGAAGTGACTTGAACACACCTGATTTAGTTTTTACGAGTTGGATTATGATCCTTATTATGACAATGTCAACTTAAAAGTGTGGAACATCCGAGCAGGACTTTAATTTTAACTTTAATCTTACTAATGCTGATGTTTTTTCTAAAGTGATTGAAGGCCTCCAACAGCTGGCTGTCCAGATGAAGGCCAAGACTCTTTCAGCCACAGCAGAAGTTGATCATTCAAATCTGTGATGTTTATATAATTGCATATTTACAATGTCTTTAATTAACTGAAGTCCCCCTAAAAGGCTGGTCGTCCACAAAAGAAAGTGAAGAATCTCAACTGACAATTGGTTTAGCAGTGCAGCTGGAGTTCATTCCCTTTAAGGTCTGTACCTCCATATATAATGTCTTGATGTTTGAGAATTTTGACTGAAAGCTCAGTCTAGAGGTCTGCATTCCCGTGGCTTTACCACGAGAGCTGCGGGACTTGAGCAGATTTCACGGGAATATGTTTACGAATAAAACATGGTAACGATCAGTAACTCTGGTGTAATTTGAACGGGAGTGGGCAGTCTAACAAAATAGTAGGGTTTTTACAATACTGGAATTCGATACCAGTCAGTACTGATATTTTAAGAACGGGCATTTCCCGTTAACATTTGAACGTGTTCCTAAACGGCGCTGATTTGCCAATGTGTTCATGTGCTCGACAAGAAATTACTGTGATTGGCCATAAAGGTCATCAGTTCACTGAACTCACTGCTCTTTACTGAGTGTAAACACAGATATAGGGACGCTGGAGCATTTTAAAGCCACCATTTATTAGCGGATTGCTCGTACGTCAGCTTATAGACGTGACTTTGAAACACTCCGGTGTCCCTGTATCTGTGGTTACATTCGGTAAACAGCTGTGAGTTTGGTGAACTGATGACCTTCATGGCCAATCACAGTCATTTCTGTTGAGCACTGGTGAACACAATGGCAAGTTAGCGATGTTTAGGAATGTGTTCAAATGTTGGTGGGAAATGGATGTTTTTAAAATTTCAATACTGATTGGTATCAAGTTCCACTATCGTGAAAACCCTTCTATGTAGCGTTCCCGAGTCACGTTGTTATTTCGAAACAGCATATCTGATTTCCTCATTCTTATTGAGCACCGGTACAGCCAGTACTCACGACTGTTACATGAACGCATGACCAATGCTTTATGGACATGCTTTTTTCCAGCACCTGTGTTACTGGTGAAGTCATTCTGGAAATTTTCCGGATATTTACTGGTATCACATTCTGAAAGAGGCTGAAGACTAAAAATACAGCGGGAGCAGTTGGTTATGGAATAAAACCTAATGGGAGCGGGACTCTAAAAAAAGTCTGGTGCAGACCACTGGCTCAAACCTAACCTTCCTCAGCAAAAAGAGTCAAAATACTAGACCAAAAAGGAACATGTTGATAGACTGAGAACTGTCCCAAAGTTCACTTTAGTCATGAAAACTCATTTATTAATCAATTGTAAATCATCCGAAAAACGAAACCATTATTTACATACACTCAAGTGGATTTAAACTTTTCGGACGTTCTTTAGTTTAACACAAAACAAAATATTCTAAAGAATGTTGGAAAAAAGCATCCGTAGACATCTATATTAAAAAAAATAATAAATTGTTCCTATAGAAGTCAATGGCTTTTTTTTTTAACATTCTTCAGTATATCTTTCTTTGTGTTCAACAGAAGAAAGGAACTCAAACAAGTTTGGAACAAGCGAAGAATGAGTATACAATTGCAGACTTTCCTTCAGATTATCCTTTTAAATTTTTTTTGGTGTCTGATGCAAAACATTGTTCATTGCTAAACTGTGGAAAGACTGAACCCAATTAGTGTGCAGAAGTCATTGAAAGTTGGAAGTGGAGTGTTATGGTGAGGTGGTGTTTACTGCAGCAGGATCTGAGTCTCTTACGGTAAATTTCTATCTAATTTCTATCGCTGTACCTAAAACATGTCAAATTGTGACTTTATAATTAAGGATTTTGTTTCATCTCTAGCATACATTTAAAGTGTAATAAAAAGTTAGTGACAAGAATGAGTATTGTTTTTGGTTTTTAGGACACATTTGAAAGGTTTTGATTCATTTCCAATGTTGGCTGCTGTATATACAGGCTACAAATATGCTGATATTGATATTAACCTGTTAAAAAGTCAAGGCCGATCTTAAATCTTCCATTTTCCTGTTTATGTAAGACCCTGATGATGCTGTGCTTCCTTCCACAGACCACATTTACACTTTGTCATGTGAAAGAATGTGTTTCACAGCACAAAAACAAAACTGTATAGACTGCATTTTTTTTCTCGCACAGACCGTTCTCATGCATTTACAGTAATCCTGAGTGGGAGTATCTGAGGTCACCAACACTTCATTTACAGTACACCAAACTGTCATTTGAAACAGTCTTTACACAGAAATTGATTTGTAAATTCAGCATATTTAAGTACACCCCTCACAAATCTCTCTTGTAAATTCATATTTTAATAAGAAGCTTTACAATATTATATTTGTGCATATACATTAGATTAGTCAGTACTGAAGGAAAATCTGGAGCTAATCTAAGAAAATAACTTAAGATAACAGTCCAAAAACTAATACAGCCACATTTACATGTTATAGAAAAATATTAAATACAAATTTAAAAAAGACAAAAAATCGAGAAAAGCAAATTTTGTAGGTGTTAGGTTTTTTTTTTGCAATATTTTGCCTGCATTTAATTGTATTGTTTACAATTTCTGAATGTGTTTGTTGATTAAAATATTATATTAGTATATTATAATACTATATGTTATGTTTATTAAATCTGTTTTGTTTAAATGTACTAAAATATGTTGCCTATATTTACTGAGAAATGGAGAAAAATATTCATTAAAATATATATATATATTTATATATATATAAAAAAATAATAAAATATAATATATATATATATATGTATTATATTTTATTATATTTTTTAAATATATAGTATGTATATATATATATATATATATATATATATATATATATATATATATATATATATATATATATATTTTTTTTTTTTTTTTTTTTTTTTTTTACTTAAAGTTTAAAATACACAGTTTAGAGTGCAATGTTAACATTCAATACTAGGGATGCTCCGATGGGTCAGCCGGAAATCGATATCTGCCGATATTCACATTTAATGACTCGATCAGTACTCGCCAATCTGGCCGATATCAGAAACCCATTGCAGGTGTTTGTTTATGAATTTACAAGCAGAGGAAGACACATGTGTGCACTTGGGTTATACAGCACTACAACATGTGAGGAGGCAAATGATGCGTGGCGGCATAAGCGATCGATGCATACGCGTCACAGCAGCTATAATAAATACAGATGTGGTGCGACCTCTTTTACAGTTTATTGGCGAGACTCAGGCAAGTAATGATCTCTTTGTTGCAACTATTGATTATCCAGTATTTTGAGCTGCTGTGACGCGAGCGAAGCAATCAGCCCAATCTTGTGTCTAACCCAGGGATGGGCAAACTTGATCCTCGAGGGCCGGTGTCCCTGCAGAGTTTTGTTCCAACACTAGTCAAACGCACCTGAACAAGCTGATCAGTGTCTTCAAGATCACTAAAAATCTACAAGCAGGTGTGTTTGATTAGAGTTGGAGCTCAACTGTGCAGGACACTGGCCCTCCAGGACCGAGTTTGCCCATCCCTGGTCTAACCGTATGACCTGTCCTGGAAGTTCCACAAGTCTCCCGCATAATATTTTCTGTAAAGCTGCTTCTGTCCAAATTTAATGGTTATAAGAGACATGTTTAAGATTATATGCAGTAATAATAATAATGTATTGGATTATATGCAGCATCCTTAGTTTATTATTTTAGGTAGGACCTAAGGACGCCTCCACTTGAGTATCTAAAGCTAAATGTCTGAGTATCAGCTAAATGACTAAATGTAAATGTATCTAGAGTGGGCTTTAGTCAATGCAAAGTTACATAAAGCTTTAAGCATCAGAATCAGTACTCTGTATCGGCTGCAAAAATCCTGATCGGAGCATCCTTACTTAATGCCATGTATTCAGGCTGATGTGATTACACAGCTCAAATGTATTTTATACAAAAAACATTCAAATATTTAGTTTTGTCACAAAACATTTAAGTCCCCAACTTTCAAGTCTCATTATCAAATTCTGGACACTTCACATTCAGTAACATTCGTTATTCATAGACATCGATATTTGAAAAGAACTTCCATGAACGTTTTCGTAAATGTTTGCAGAAATTTGCATCAGCAAAAATGAACAATGCTGGATTGACGCTACAGTGTGAGAAAGCAATCAGTCGGCAAATGTAATATGCGTAGTCGACTGTTTTGCTTACTTCACAGAGTGTAAATGGATATATATTCTGATCAGTCAGAGATCTCAGGAACATAGCAATGTTATATGGAGTCCAACCGAAAAATAGCAACAGTGCAATGAGAAATGTTAGTCTAACAGTTCTGTGTGTCTCACGATTGTGATATTTTGTTATCGCCCAACACATTCGGCCATAGCAAAACCACACAAATATAAATGCAATGAAGAAAAAAGCGTTCTGATAATAAGCAATGCCTGATTTGACTTTAATACTTTCATATTCACAGTATGTGTTGTTCAGATCTTTCAGGATTTTGCTATAATGTGCACCAACCAGCGCAGCCGTTCCACTCATCATCCAAATGATAATGGGAGCGACTGAAAAGCATCTGCATTTCTCCCAGTCGGACAAAGGATGAACCACTGCCATGTAGCGCTGAATGGTCATGAGAGTCAAGAACATCACGCTGCTGTAAAAGCCCACGTAGAACAGAAACTTGACCGCTTTACAGCCAATCTCTCCAAACGTCCAACCATGGATGAAGTACGAAGCCCAGAATGGAAGACCAAACGTGAACAGCAGATTTGATACCGATAAATGGATGATGAACACATTGGTCAGGGATTTCAGATTCTCGTAAAGCGCCAGGATGATCAAGACCAGGATGTTCCCAATGCAGCTCATCACAACCACTATAGAGAAAAACAGCGGGATAATAATGGATCCAAATTTGACCACGTCGTCTTTGCGGCACAACTGGTCCTCATAGTAATCATCATAGTCATATGTTGTGTTCTCATCAGTCATTGTGTTCGGAAACAGATCAGATCTTTCCAGGTTTAGTTCTTTCCTCTTTGTACACTGAAATTTTACAATAAAACCAACAAAAATTTTACAAAATTGTTGTATAATTCAGTTAAATGTAAAATCCACTCCAACAACAACAACTAGACTTAAATGTAGTCTCAGACTTTTCATTTAGGGACAAATACTTAAACCTTAACTTAGTCACATGAAGATATGTAAACCATGCTTACCTGAACTCCAGATGATCTGAAGCACAAGGATGATCCAAAGTGCAAATTACTCACCAGTGCACATGACTACAAACCGTAGTAAAATATTAACTGGATTTTCATCACAGTCCTATGATTTGGTTAGATTTTTCTCAGGACATTCATATCATCTCGAATCACTGCGAGTTAAAAGATCGTACCTACTCAGTGCGCTAAAATGTGCAACATGATTGATCTAGGACTGTTTTCTGTGTTTATTTGTCGAGTTTGCATCCTCCTCAAACCTCAGACTTTTGATCTTTTCATCTCGCGTGCAGAGGAGACTGAAGTGGTGTTTTGATCTTTAGATTTTACAGTAACTATTCTACTTAAGCGATTTTGATGAGAAATGGGGCATGCAAAAAGTGCAACCGAAAAGCCAAGCCCATGGAAGGGTTTTGTTTTGTTTTGTTTTTTTGATTCTGCATGGAAAAAATTAGTCTTTTCGTCTCAGTTCATCAATCATTGCACAATTCTGAATGTCTGAAATCAGAATTGTGCAGTGGTGGAAAGAGTACTGAACCATTACTTGCTTAAAAATGTTGTGAACATAGAGTAAAAGTCTTTTGTGAATATTACTTAAAGTACAAGTAAAAAGTAGACTTTTCAAAAGTACTCAAGAGTCGTGAGTAGAGAGTATTACGCTGTAAAAAGCTGATGTGTTACATGTAATTTGTGTAAAGACTAAAAAACCGGGCTAAACAAGATTTTTAAATTGAATTCAGCTGGCGTCACTGAATTTTTTATTTATTTTTTTGTTGCATGATTGTTTGTTTCATAGCAGTTTTAATATCCCATAAGTTATTTCAATGTTTTGATTACAGTCAAGTGAGCTTGTAGCTAAACAATCTTACCTTTCATTCCACTTTGAAGGTTTTTAAAAAATTCCCACAGCAACTCATTGAAGGTTTCACAAGTTTACAGAAAAATAACAGATTACATCCACGCTAAAACACGACAATATGTAAACATCCAGTCGTTAGTCATTGCAGCCGTTAGACCTCCTGTTACCATGGTGCACCATAATAACACGTTCACGTACATTATTCGCGTCAGGTTTTAGTGCTGTTGATGTGAAATGTGTTTGTTTACATGTAGAAATCAGCTGTAGCTACACTTCACTTCGAGGCTGTGGAAGATGGACGTCGCAATTAACAACAGTGACAACATGGTGGATGTGGTACGTTTTTCATATAGTTTTAAACCAAACGTATGTAATGTCAATATTCTGATGCAGCTGGGTGTTTGAGTGTTCATCAGTGAGATTAGACAAAACATTTGCTATTTATGTCTCCAAATGTAGGCTACACGTACTCATACATGTGTATTGATGAAAAAAGTGCCATGTGTATTTATCTAACAGCAAATTTGTTTATAAAAATGTAAACTTTAATTAAAACTACATGAAACACTTAATAATGCCCTATACCTTCGCCTACAGCCCTAAACTAAAGTTACATTTGAACAAAAATGTTTTGCTTTGCTTGTCACATCCTAAAACATATTTTTTATTATAAAGAACGTATATAATTACATTTACATTTAGTCATTTAGCAGACGCTTTTATTCAAAGCGACTTACAAATGAGGACAAGGAAGCAATTTACACAACCATGAGAGCAACAATGGATAAGTGCTGTAGGCAAGTTTCAGGTGTGTAAAGTCTAAGAAGGAAAGCATTTTTTTTTTTTTTTGAGTACAGTTAGTGGTAAAGAGAAGCAATTGCAGATTAGGAAGTGAAGTGGAGACTAAATAGTTGAGTTTTTAATCGTTTCTTGAAAACAGCGAGTGACTCTGCCGTTCTGATGCAGTTAAGGAGTTCATTCCACCAACTGGGCAGATTAATATAATAATAATGATAATGTAATCTAATACTTTAGATAAAATAGACATTTTAAACAAGCAAATGCACATGTGGGTAAACTGGCTTTAAAGAGATGGTTTATATCATCCAAACTTAAAAATAAGGTATATGCCAAGCTAGTGTTTTTCCCATACTGATAATCTTCCGGTGACCTGTTATTGTGAATTCTTTTTCCATTTTATACGGTTCCTTTTACAGCATTGATGTTGTAATGTAATTAAAATACATTCAGTTAAACAGACTTTGGCATTCATTTAGTTGCTCAAATGTAAAACGAGACAAAAAGCCGTTTACTCGCACGTGCCTGTCAGAATCGGCAGGATAGCGCTGAAGCTCCATTGAAAATACTGGGGTAAAATAAAAGCTCATATTATAAAGACATGGTGGGGGAAAATGTAATTTAATGCAGTGCTTCTTGTACAATCTGAGACCCACTTTATATCGGATATTAATCAGCCAGTGGAGATTGCAGATTTTTAAAGAAAACAGACCTTAAATGCGCCAATTTTGACCGGAAGCGCTTAACCCAGGTTACTAACAAATTCAAAGTCCCATTAGCATGCTTCGGCATATACCCTATTGTTGAACAAAACAGAAAAGAAGATATTTTGAAAAATGGTAGCCATTGACATATATCAGGGGGATAAAACTATAAAAAACCATACCAGTTTTCTTTTGTGTTCAACAGAACTAAGAGATTTAAACAGGAACAAGTGGAGGGTGACTTAATGATGACAAAAAAGTTTAATTTGTATAAATATATGTACATATTAATCATTAGAGAACAGTCACATGCTCTCAAATTGCCAATAAAAATGTTTGTTTTGACTTTATTTTTGCCAGTAGTAAAGACATCACAAGCAACTTGTAGATTTGAAGAGACAACAAGAATTGTTTTGTGTTTTGCCAAAATTTTCTCAAAAATAATGTGCAATGTGAATGTTTTAACGGCTTATGAGGATGTAAAGCTAATTGTGAATGTAAAGCTTGTTGCATGTTTTGGGTATGGCACTGTAATTCTTTTCTGACTTTAGGTTTGCCCGTTTATGCATCTCTTTATTCCACTCATAAATGTGACAAATGTTCAGAATGAAACCAGCTGGCGGTATTTTTAACATGTTGAAATTGGAAATTGTTGAAATTTTATTTATTATGCAATACATGTATACAACACAGGCAGTGACACACATACACACATATAAGTCATAAAGTCATTTAAAAGTAAATAAATAGACAAAGGCTTTAATGCTATTTAATGACAAAACAAACTAAAACTGAACACATTTTAATGACCTTAAAAATGAGAACTTCAACTACAAAAAGGAATAACCTTTTTTTACAAGCTCTTTAAAACATGATTTTGCAACGTTACCTGTAAACGATTTTTGCAACTGTGTAATATTTCATTACTTTAAATCATGCATATTAAACAGTTGTTGTAAAATGAGCAAAAATGCTCTGCAAAGTGTCAAAAGAAAGCCAATAATCATCTTGATGTCAACACAACATCAAAAAAAGCGTAAATAAAGATGTAAAAATGCAAAGCGAGTTGTTGTCACCTTGATGTGAAAACGACTAGATTAAAAAGTAACCCTGGCGTCAAAATAACATGCCAAAAATTAATGACAGCACAGTCCTGTAATCACCCAGCAGGCACAGGACGTAAACATGATGTTAGATTAACTTTGTACCCCTTTGTACTTTATGCACAAAACTGGATTATCGAATAAAAGCCATGTGAATAAAGCAGCGTTTCCATCCAATGAGTCAAAGTGAACAAAATCGTCACTTCCTGATTAACTGTAGCAAAATATCAACAGTAAAAACTGAATTGGCTGCAGTAGGAGAAGCTGCGTCAATCTTTTCTTCATCTAATAAATGACTTGCTGACACACATCCTGCCACACAGTAAACGTGCGGTGGCGTTTGAAGGTGTCAGACACTGAGCACAGACGCTCTGGATTCTGGAGGTCATTAATAACATAAGAATACTATTAATTAAACTTTAAGACATTTTAGAATGGCCAAAACAACAGTTCAGTTTTACTGGTGCGTGCATTTTGCTCAGCCCGATGATTTGTCTATGCACACACATTTTTATCACATGATCTCTTATAGCAAAATCACATGACCTTTTTTAATGCGCATGCTGTAGTTTGTGCGCAAGTGTTTCCATTGTAGTTTGTGCGCATCTTTTCTTATCGAATAAAAAGTTTATCCTACTCAGTTATGCGCATAAGTTTTTTATGCGCATTTTCAAAATTTGTGTGCATCTTGGCATTTCCATCAACCCCTTTTTTATGAGCATATGTAAATGCACATAAAAATAGGTGGATGGAAACATAGCTAATGTGATGTTGGATTTTGGTCACTTACCAACGCAACCTAAAAACAACCAAATATCAACGTCTAATGATGTTACAGCTTGGCGTTGTGTGGTCGTTACCATTATGACGTCTATCAGACGTTGGATTTTGATTGCCATACCCGACGAATAAATGTCAGTATTTGACGTCAATATGACTTTGTGTTAACATGTTGCCTCCTTTGGATTTTGATCATTTACCGATGCAACCTAAAAGCAACCAAATATCAACGTCTCTTGACGCATTATTGGAAGTCAAAAGTACATTGATGTTTGGTCACCTGATATCACAACCTAACTCTAACATAATATTAACGTCTTATGGCTTTGGATGCCTGCTGGGCAATTTTTGACGCTAATGTTGTGAATTTCATGACGTTTTGACATCAAAATAGTTTACATGCATGGTGGTGATACACAATTCTGTGTAAATTTGTAATTTAAACTTTCAGATGAATAATTCTTCAAACATTGTAATACTATTTGTGTCATTATTTTATATCAAAAGGGCAACATCGTGTGGATATCCAGCCTGATCTCACGAGGAAATGTAATTAATTTACGTTTTATCAGCTGCGGGGCTAATTTGTACAAATTCGTACAAAGTTCAGTCATACAAAAAAGTACGATTTCAAAAAGGAGGCGTGGCATCCAACCCCACGCCTTACCCCAATCGTTATTGGGTGATAAGCAAATCGTGCTAAATTGTACGAATTAGAATGTACAAATTCATACGAGTTAGTCACTAAATCGAAAAGTTACGAATTGCCTTGAGATTGCGCTGGATGTCAAATGGACGTAAAGGTTTTGACATCAAAACAATTAGCTTTTTTGACAATTTGGCAATGTTTTGACATTAAAGTGTCAACTGGGGAGAAATAAAACTAACAATCCAGCCTGATCTCACACGAAAACGTAAGTATTTTACGTTTTGCCAGTTTAGTGGCTAATTCGTACAAATTCATACGAGTTCATCCGTACGAAATTGTACGATTTTAAAAAAGAGGCGTGGCACCTAACCCCACCCCTAATCCCAACCGTCATTGGGGGAAGAGCAAATCGTACTAAAATGTACGAATTAGATCGTATGAATTCATACGAATTAGCCACTAAATGAGAAAGTTACGAATTGCCCTAAGATTGTGTTGAACAATCAGGTAGTAATATGAAAAAAATGCTACATTTGCTACACCAAAATTTCCAGCCGGGTTGAATCTCTACAGTATGTACATTCTGAAGAACTCACAGTTGGTTGAATTCGGTTAAAGTGCTCGAGTTTTCTCTCAGTACATTGAACCTTGTGACTGATTTTTTGCCATTCTGCCCTGACTGGAATCGAGTTTTTTTTTTTTTTTCAAGATCTTCTCCAGAATCATATACAGGTGATTCCTAAACTTTACGCCAACAAACACGTAAAACACTGGATTCAGACAGCAGTGTGAGAAAGCTAGCAAACGGCAAAGGTAATATGCGTAGTCGACTCCTTTACTTACTTCACAGATGGTGAATGGAGGGATATTCTGATCGGTCAAAGATCTCAGGAACATAGCAATGTTATATGGAGCCCAACCAATGAAAAACACCAGAGCGATGGAGAAAATTAATCGAACGGTCTTGTGTCTTTTACTGGTGCGTGCATTTGTTATAGTCTGAAGCATTCGGCAATAGCAGAAACCCATAATTAGAAATGCAGCGAAGAAAAAAGCGTTCTGGAAATAAGCAATGCCTGATTTGACTTTAATACTTTCATATTCACAGTATGTGTTGTTCAGATCTTTCAGGATTTTGCTATAATGTGCACCAACCAGCGCAGCCGTTCCACTCATCATCCAAATGATAATGGGAGCGACTGAAAAGCATCTGCATTTCTCCCAATCGGACAGAGGATGAACCACTGCCATGTAGCGCTGAATGGTCATGAGAGTCAAGAACAACACGCTGCTGTAAAAGCCCACGTAGAACAGAAACTTGACCGCTTTACAGCCAATCTCTCCAAACGTCCAACCATGGATGAAGTATGAAGCCCAGAATGGAAGGCCAAAAGTAAACAGCAGATCTGACAGAGCTAAATTGAGGATGAACACATTGGTCAGGAATTTCAGACTCTCGTAAAGCGCCAGGATGATCAAGACCAGGACGTTCCCAATGCAGCTCATCACAACCACTATAGAGAAAAACAGCGGGATAATAATGGATCCAAATTTGACCACGTCGTCTTTGCGGCACAACTGGTCCTCATAGTCATCATCGTAGTCATATGTTGTGTTGTTCAGAGTCATTTTGTTCTGCAGTCACAGACTGACCCAGGTCAGTGTGGTCCAGATCTTTAAACTCTTTATAGATGTTTTCTGTGGGGAATTGAAACAAACTTAAATGCAGTGACTCTTTTCTTTAAAGGATAGATCTCTTAAAATTGAAAGTTACCATCATTTACTCATCCTTGACATGCTCCAATTCTTTTTTGAATCCTTTTGATAATATATTTAAGAAAAAAAATGATGAAAACCGGTAACCATTAACTTCCATAGGATTTGTTTGTCCATTATGCATGTCAATGGTTACAGGATTACATTTTTCAAATACGCTTCAAAAACAAAACAGACTAATTTAAAAGAAGTTAAATGCAAGCAAATTATTTTTTTATTTTTGGGTGAACTACCCCTTTAAGACAAAACTAGAACAAACTTATAAATCTTTTAATCAATTTAGCTAAATTTATCAAGGTAATAAAATACTAAATGAGGCATGCCATTTTGATCTTACCTGTTGATCTTGCTGTGTCTCCTCTCTAATGGCATTAAAACAAATCTGATGGAAAAATAAATAAAAGCATTTTCCCTCAAAACGTTTGTGTTTCAGTCTTGCTGCCTTACGCTCAGAAAGTGAATTGTCTTCTGCCTTCTCTTTTGTATAAATTTCACTTCCTTTTATAATAAATAGAACCACATACGTAGCCTATAACCCATGTACTGAGTAGGTGTGTTTGGCAGAAAGAGGAAATATAACGTTATTTAATAGTAATATACCTAAATAATAACTGGAGTCTACAACCCACACAAGTGGCTCAGGGGCCTGTTTCAGAAAGGAGGTTAAGTGAAAACTCAGAGTATTTTAACCCTGAAATGAGAGAAACTCTAAGTTTTCCGTTTCAAAATGGCAGGTTTGTTAAACTCAAGAAATCAGGGTAAGTCAAGCCTGTTTCTAAAAGAAAGGTAACTTTAACTCAGAGTCAGTTACTGTGGTAACTTACTCTGTTAATCTAACCTGGTCCGGAGCAGGTTTTATTCTCTAAACTCTGAGTTTCTGTCGGTCTCCTCCCCTTTTTTAAAGATGAAGCGTATTTCTCGCATTAGCCTTACGTTTCCACACACCTATTTTAGAGCTCATTTTGGAGATGGCCATAAAAACGATTAATGGAAACGTCATAATTCACATAACTTTTGAAAATATGCATAATAAAACATGTGCATAACTGAGAGGGTTAAACTTTTATTTGATAAGATGCACATAAACTACGAAGTGCACTTAACAAACTACAGTATATACATTAAAAAAAGGTTTGTTAGAGATGATGATGAAAATGTGTGTGAATGGACAAACCAGCAGACTGAGCACACTGCAGAACATCTTAAATGTTGTTTAAGTCATTCTAAAATGCCTGAACTGTTTCAGTATTAGTGTATATTATTAATTACCTCCGAGCGTCTGGAGCGTGTCAAGATCTCCGCGTCTGGCTTTAAACGCCTCCACGTGTTCATTGTGTGTCAATTGTCTTCTGAAGCGCAAGTACATTAATTTAATAAAAAATCATTGACGCAGCTTCTTCTACCGCAGTAAACTCTGTTTTTACTGTTGATATTTGGCGCAAGTTAATCAGGAAGTGACGATTGTGTTCTCTTCGACTCTTTGGATAAAAACGCTGCTTTATTTTTAGGCGTTATTCCAGTTTTGCACAAATTTACGTAATAGCCTGTATTTTGATGGAAACATAGATATTGCCTACATTTTTGTCACACACAGAACAAAGTCACGTACGAGGCTTGTCCTTTTTTTTCATAAATAATTAGCTTTACCTTCGACATGAACTGTTACTAGATTAATAGATTATTATTCTGTCTAAAAATATTTTATTACCGCTTACCTTCTTAATGTTATATCAACCTCTATCACTTGATCAATAAGAAGGCAGACACACAACAAGTGCACTGTTAAATCTAATGAAACTGATAAAAGTGTAGAAAAGTTTAGAAAAAAAGAATAAACGTCACACATTACATTACTTATTTTATTATACTTAAATGTTTAAATACTTAAAATATAAAATTACGCATTAACTTGAGCAGCTGTTTTCCCACGCTGTCTCTGTTTCACTGATGGCTGCTTCTTTTTAAATATATACACTCATATTTGCTATAACTTTGCATGTGCAGATCAAGTTCACCCGGAGAAAGAAATGCTGATCTCTTTTTTTAAGATGTTGCCATGGTCACTCGTAATATCTGCGCTCCATTGATAATGCCTTTTTATAGTCACGGTGTACGCGCTTAACTCTGAGTTGGTCTACTCAAAGTTGATTGACCCAGCTCAGATCAGCGATTCTGAAACCCAAAACTCAGAGTTTTTAATCTCTCGGTAAATCAACTCAGAGTTCAAGTTTAAACTCCGAGTTGTTTGAACCTCCTTACTGAAACAGGCCCCAGGTAGTGCAGCTCATTCAGGATGGCACACACACCTGAACCAATTAATAAGGACCTGAACACCACATGATAATTACAGGCAGGTGTGTTTGATATGGGTAGCAACTGAAATCTGCAGGAAGGTGGCTCTCCAGGAACAGGGTTGGCCACCCCTGCTCTAGCATGACCAGTTTTGCAGTGGGATAGTAATGGTGTGGGGGGTGACATTTCTTTAGAGGGCTGCATATCTCTTGATATGCTTGCCAGAGGTAGCCTGACTGCTATAAGGTACCGAGATGAGATCCTCAGACCCCTTGTGAGACCATATTTTGGTGTGGTTGGCCCTGGGTTCCTCCTACTACAAGGCAATGCTAGACCTCATGTGGCTGACGTGTGTCAGCAGTTCATGCAAGATGAAGGCATAGATGCTATGGACTGGCCTGCCCGTTCCCCAGAACTGAATCCAATTTAGCACATCTGTGACATCATGTCTCGCTCCATCCAGCAATGCTACGTTACACCACAGACTGTCCAGGAGTTGGCGGATGCTTTAGTCCAGGGCTGGGAGAAGATCCCTCAGGAGACCTCATCAGAAGCATGTCCAGGCATTGTAGGTAGGTCATACAGGCATGTGAAGGCCACAAACACACTAGTGAGCCTCATTTTACTTGTTTTATTATATTACATTAAGTTGAATCAGCCTGTCGTTTGTTTTTCCACTTCAATTTTGAGTGTGACTCCAAATCCAGACCTCCATGGGTTAATAAATTTGATTTCTATTGCTAATTTTTTGGGGACTTTGTTGTCAGCACATTCAACTATGTTAAGAATAAAGTAGTATATTTAGTAAGTATATTTCATTCATATAGGTCTAGGATGAGTTATTTTAGTGTTCTCTCCTTTTTTTTTGAGCAGACTATACAAAGTCCCTTTAAGGCAAGTAATTTCACTTGGCGGCCATCTTTGAAACTCCAATTGGACAGTGTACTCAGCCATTCTGTTTAAATGGGGAACATCAAATACTCCAAAATTTGTTGCCAAGCTTATTAAATTTCACATTAGGAATCACCAATAAAAATAAACAACAACTGGCTATTTAGTTTCATTTCTAACTGTTCGAATCACACAAAATCTGAAGAAACTCATGCCTGATTTAAGCCCCTCCCGCGGAGTATCGTATAGCGATCAGTGATTGGCTCCTGTACTAGAAGACAGGCTTTATTTGCCATATAGCGATTAATAACTGGCTCCTGAACTAGTAGGTGGGTCTTCATCAAGTGTCTCATGCCTCATTTTGAGTGATGCTCCTGTTTGTCAGATCGCCCCCTGGGGACTGGTTGCAGTACAAGTCATAAAGCCTGCCTCCTCTGTGTTAATGAAGGAGACTTGAGCCGAAGGGTGTCCAAACTTTGTCCTGGAGTGTCCTGCAAAGTTTAGTTCCAACCCCAATGAGACACACCTGGGCCAGCTAATCAAGCTCTTACTAATCTTCTAGAAACATCCTTGCAGGGGTTTAATGCTATAAAAACAGGGCGTGTCATTGTAATTGACAGTTGATTGACAGCTTCTCAAAGCAGACGTCGGAGCTTCAGGAGGAGATTGACGTGTTGTTTTTCGATTTTTGTGTTGTTTTACCATGATAAAATGAGTTAAGCAATAAATTATATATTCTGATATACAGGCAGGCCCGGATTGGCTAATTGGGAGGACCCCTTTTGAAAAACCGGGCCCAGGTGATCGCTATCTAGCAGTAATTCTCTTTATGGGTCTGAAAGTTAGGAAGACAAAACTAATGTTGTCCACATTGATCTCCTGTTGTGTTATTTGAACTTTATTTAAAGGATGTCTTTTGAGTTTCGGCATTTTGAGTATCTACTGAATTTGCAGTTATACAATATTAATGTTCTAGAAGCAGAATCTTATAAAACAAATAGAGCTGCAAATGTTATATATTATTTATATACATCATTTACTTTTGTTTTTTTTTTTTATTTTGAACTCCTAATAAACCTTACAATGAATGTTAATTCCTCTTTGCCAGATATTAAGGCATTGAATAAAACAAATAAAAACGGAGGCAAAAAATGATAAACAATATACAAACGATATTGCAGCAGCTGATAGACGTCAGTTGATGTATTATTACTGCGATTTTTATTGTACAAGGATTAATTTTAACAAGGATTAATTTTAGAATTTAGATAGAAGTGGTGCAAGTATTTTATATATTTATTTATTTATTTTTAGCTTTTCTAAAGGTGTATTGTAAGCGTGGCCCAGAGTCAGACTCCTAACCAGCAGATGGCGATAATGCGCTTAGAAGTTATATGCCAACCGCCAATAACACTCCTGAGAAGAAGAAGAAGGCGAAGACTTCAATGGCGGAGATGTCTGTCAATCAAAAAGTAGGTCGTGCCGTGATGTAAAGGACAATAACAACAAAGCACAAGTATGTTCGTTTCTTTTAACACTTTCAAGACATTTATCACACATTTAACCAACTTGCAGCATTATTATATGCATACTAACTCCAGTCTGAAAAGTGTATTCGGAATAAATATGACATGTCAGAGGAGCCTAACGTTTCTCATGGCTGGCTGTTGACGCTTGTGAGGGAGTGAGTTGTTGGTTGAACTTTTATATTGTTGAACTTGTGTTCGTTATTTTAGCAATTTAAGCTTATATGACAACATAAACACGCTATTTTGAAATATTCGTTCGTTTCTATGAACACAAGCTATAAAGTGTAAGTCAAAGAAGTGAGTGAAAGGACGCTGATGTTTGTTTACATTTCATAAGCACTTGTTTATAGCGTTATTGTGTAATTAGACAGTACAGAAATATGCTTATTATCGTTAAATAAATAATATTGTTATATATACATATATAAAAAGCATTTTGTCTGTTCAACCCCGGTTACATATGTCTTTTGTGATCAATTTGTAACTTGATATTCTGTATGATCAGATATTTTCATAAACAAATAATACATGCTGAAAGTAAATGTTATTTAAGGAATATACAACAAATAAACTGCGTAGTAGCTTAAGGTGTAAGAGAGACATTTAGCTTTTAGGGTTATATATTAGGCATTGGGCTTTATAAGATTCTGATGGTGACGTTTCACGTTATTGTGATTACTGCTCTAAAATACATTCTTTTTAAATGTCTGAGTAAAAAAAAAACTAAAAGTTTTTACCTTTTGAACACAATATAAACATTGAAAATATTTTGGAACAGTAAACATGTCAGGCTGAATGAATTATTGACTTCTGCTGTCTTCATTGGTTTCAAACACAGATTTTTTACAATGTAAAATGGCATCTTTGGATATTTTCTTATTTTTTTGCTGGAGATACTGATGTTCTAAAAAACAAAAAACGTAACAAAAAAATCATACACACCTTAGGAAGGGTATAGCATGACGGTTTTAAAACCTTGACTTTTCCAGACCTTGGAAACGGTTATCGTCCCATGCCTGTTATATATGAGCATTTCCATAGAAATGTCTGACCAACATAACCAAACATTCGTGAGCGATTACATAGTGGAAAACCTTCTCTCCTTTAGCCGTTTCATACTGCGGGTTCTGTGTGTGCATGAACTGTCAACACTCACATGCTCTACAGACCCACAGAGAACTGCAAGTTTTTGTGTCCGCCCACGGTTTCTAAATAGACATGTACTGGTTTTGCTGTTGTTTTCAAAGCTGTCGTTAATTTTATTCGCACAGCCGTGAGAGCGAACGAGACGTAAAACAATTAATTCTTTAATGTAAAAAACTCAAACTTTTACTAAATATTTTGGGGGACGAAATCACATCTAAATTGGCTGCAGAATATTTGTACATTTTTAGAAATGGGTCATTAACTCATTTGTCTTATTTTAATAATCTACACATTTTATTCTTGTAATTGTTATAATTTGTAGAGATACTGTCTGTTCTTATTCCTTTTTTTCCCTTTTCCTTTGCTGTGTATGTTATACATTTGATGTTGTCCATATATTACATATTTTACACATCTAAAATGATTTAGCAACACTGTACAAAATGCCATGCCATTAATGCAACCTCAACTTGAATGAGAGATAGAGACAAGCAGATTGACCTGTCAGTGTGTGCACATGGCTCCTGAATAGCATAAAAGAGAAAAAGTGAGTTTTTAACATTTATTTCAACAGTTTTTTTTTCTTTATCTTATTGAAAAGAAAAAGATTAAAACAATTAATAATAAAAATAGTGATACAATTCAAATTATGTTTTGTTTGTTGCATATAGTTATCTATTTACATATGTGCATGCACACACACACACACACACACACACACACACGCACACACACACACACACACACAGTTGAAGTCAGAATTATTAGCCCTACTGAATTATTTGCCTCTCTGTTTTTTTCCCCTTAATTTCTGTTTGAATAATTAGTAATTCTAACTTCAACTGTGTGTATATAAACATATCTCCTGTCTACCAGCTATTAAAATAGATTGGAGAAGTGGGTTGACATGTCTTAAGTTGGTTTTTAGCTTGTAATGTGCCATTTTAGTAGTTCCTTTATAGTGTCACAGCTGATTGATGCCTCTCTGTATTTCAGCTTTCATAACATTTTTATTCATGCAACGAGATTGTTAATGTTGCACATTTCTAAATGTGGATAAGAAAATAGCTATTTCGGCAATAATAGTTATGCAGAGGGAATACTGAGATTCCTAATCCAGACTCTGACTCTCAGTTTGAGGGATCCAAGTGACCACGAAACTGGCTTGTCCAGTCATTTTTATTTCTGTAGCACTTATTACAATATAGATGCCAAAAAAAAAAATTATATATATATATATATATATATATATATATATATATATATATATATATATATATATATATATATATATATGTCCCTTTGTGTGTGTGTGTGTGTGTGTGTGTGTGTGTGCGCGCAACAGACATTGTTAGTCCTAAATTTAACAAATAAATCAGTGTACAAAGTCAATCCATGTACAAGTAACTGTTTGTTTTGATAATCTTTAATCAACCAATCTACTATTTTACTACTATTACAGATTTTTTTACATTGTGATAATATTGATGCTGAAATGAAATATTTTGCAGCCCTATTTCAGATATAATGGAACAAATGCATCATATCAGCTCGGCAACCGAGTAATCTACTATTTTACTACTAACCAATTTACTTCCACTCTGGAATGGCAGTCCTTCTCTGATGATGTCAGTTTGACAGCGCAAAATATGTTTAGCCATGCATTTCTAATAACTGATTTATTTTATCTTGGCCATGAAGACAGTACGTAATATTTGATTAGATATATTTTTAAGATCCTAGTATTCAGCTTAAAGTGACTTTTAAAGGCTTAACTAGGTTAGTTTGGCAAATTATTGTATAACGATGGTTTGTTCCGTAGAAAATCAAATAATATATTGCTTAAATGGACCATTAACCTTAATGTTTATACTGTTAGCAAGACATACAAAATATCATATATTCAACCTGTCTGTCTATTTTCTCCTCAATTTCTGAAGCACTAAGGATTGTGGTTGTCAGTTTGCTGGTGTTTGGGCCATTACTTATTGCCAAGATAATTATTTGGACATGCTGTGAGAGTTAGAGAAAGAACACAGAGCATGTGACAGAAGAGAGAGAATTCGTTTTTCTGCTCATTTTCTCCAGCATATCAATTACTAAGAAACAGAATATACACGCTGCTCTTTCTTTGTAGAATGTGTTGGTCATAAAGAAAAAAATAGCTGCTGTGTCTGTGCTTTTATAATTATAGGATTATCAGTAAACACAGAGAACTTTCCACTGCATCAGCATTTTTATCACACCCTAATTTGTGCACTTAAGTAAACCAGCCCTATAATGTTTAATCAAGCATGAGAATGAACACTGCTTTGCTTGTTTATTTGGATCCTCTATAAGCTAGGTCCAACAAGTAAAACATGTATTAATTCACAGCCATAAAATGCTTTCTTTTCTGAAGTGTGCATGGCAAACCACCCATGGAAACCCTCTTCTCTCTATATGCACTGGACACTTTACCTATAGAGAGGGTTCTATACATATAGAAAGTGTATATAGAGAGACGAGTGTTTCTACAGGTGAGTGGGCATGACAAACCACCTGTAGAAACACTATTCTCTCTATAAGCACCAGACGTTTTACCTATAGAGAGTGCATATAGAGAGAAGAGTGTTTCTACAGGTGAGTGGGCATGACAAACCACCTGTAGAAACACTATTCTCTCTATAAGCACCAGACGTTTTACCTATAGAGAGTGCATATAGAGAGAAGAGTGTTTCTACAAGTGAGTGGGCTTGACAAACCACCTGTAGAAACACCATTCTCTCTATATGCACCGGACACTTTATCTATAGAGAGTGCACTTTACATATAGAGTTCATAAAAACAGAGAAGAGTGTTTCTGCAGGTGAGTGGACCTGAAAAGCCACCCGTAAAAAACACTCTTCTGTCTGTATGCATCGTCACTTTACCCACAGAGAGTGCATATAGACAGAAGAGTGTTTCTACAGGTGAGTGGGCTTGACCAACCACCTGTAGAAATGCTCTTCTCTCTATATGCACCGGACACTTTACCTATAGAGAGTGCACTTTTCATATAGGGTCCATATAAACAGTAAATTGTTTCTACAGGTGAGAGGGCCTGATAAACCACCTGTAGAAACACTCTTCTCTCTATATGCATTGTCACTTTACCCATAAAGAGTGCACTTTACATATAGAGAGTGCATATAGACAGAAGAGTGTTTTTACTGGTGAGTGGGCTTGACAAACCATCTGTAGAAACACATTTCTCTCCATATGCACCAGACACTTTACTTAAACTCCATTGTACAAGGACTTAATAAGAAAAAACAATGTTTACCTGTGAATGTACCACATTTCATGTACTTGTTTTCTTCAACCTTAAGTGTCTCTTTTACACAAAATCTTGCACAATATTTTTCTGTCTAATGTAAGAGAACATTTATAGTCTGTCTTATGTTATGTATTTATAGTATATGTATATGTACAGTTAGTAGTTAGTGTAGTTAGTATAGTTATATTTCTCAAGAATGATAGTTATAGGTTTAAAATAGCACTTATGTCCAGTGTTGTTCATGTTTATTCATGTAGCATCGTGCTCCTTCAAGACGCAACATTTCCTTCCACTGTATGTCTTATATGACTTGTTTTAAGAAAAAAAAAACACACTTAATTTTGATATTTATCTTAACATTTCTGAAAACACAACTCTATTTAGTACTTGTCTAAAAAAATGCTTCTTGATTTAAAAACTTTTCAGATGTTTGGACCAGGTCTGGGCCGTTAAACGATACAATATCGAATTATGATAAAATTTATGTCGATAACAATGATGAGCTTTTTTACTTTATATTGATCTAAGAGCCAATCACACAGCAGAAATGTACAACAATGGGAATTTAGAAGGATGTTGATATTAGAGATGCATTGAATTTTCAGCCACCAAAAGTTATCGGCCTCTAAAAATAGGTAGTGCTATTTAATCAACCCTATAATTTGTGGCTTCAGTCATTGTTAGGAGACTTTTTTTAATCTGGAACAATTAATAAATTATGTTGAAATATGTATCATAATTGTTCAATTTGGAAAAATAATTAATTGAGATTGCGTTTTTGCCCAGCCCTATTTGGACTAAAAACAAGACTCTTTTTGCATTGAAATTTAACAGTTTACTGCATACATTGCCAAAAATAATATTTTAAACCGCATTTTGCTAATTAAAAATGATGTAATATCTGATGCCAACTCAATAGTACACTATAAAACCCAAAAAATTAAGGTAACTCAAACCGTTTGAGGAAACTGATTGCAACAAACCATTCATTCATTCATTTCCCTGTCAGCTTAGTCTCTTTATTAATCCGGGGTCGCCACAGCGGAATGAACCGCCAACTTATCCAGCCAGTTTTTACGCAGCGGATGCCCTTCCAGCCGCAACTCATCTCTGGGAAATATCCACACACGCATTCACACACATACTCATACACTATAGACAATTTAGCCTACCCAATTCACCAGTACCGCATGTCTTTGAACTGTGGGGGAAACCGGAGCACCCGGAGGAAACCCACGCGAAGGCAGGGAGAACATGCAAACTCCACACAGAAACACCAACTGAGCCGAGGTTTGAACCAGCGACCTTCTTGCTGTGAGGCGGCAGCACTACCTACTGGGCCACTGCCTCGCCTGCAACAAACCATTTAAGTTCAATAACTAAACCTAAAAAGTACTGTAAACTTAATCCATTTGAGTAAATGAAGCAATTTGAGCTTAGTAAAACCCAATAAATAAAGAGAACTCAAACCAATCGAGTACTGTAAAACCCAATAAGTAAAGGCAACTCAAACCATTTGAGGAAACCGATTGCTACAAACTATTAAATTATTGGTTAGTTAAAAACCTAATCTATATGAGCACTGTGAACTTACTCCATTTAAGTTGAAGTAATGAAGTATTTAATTAACTCATCACCTTCAACGCTGAGTTCAAAACTCAAAATGAGTAAAATCAACTTTCAGTACATTTTGAGTTAACGCCACTCATTTCATTTGATACAGTTGGGTTGGGCTGCAGTGATGCTTTGACTTGCAAACGCCTGCTAAAATCACTGGTGTGATTCTTATACTAACATGAATTAATCACTAACATGATGCTTTTTTTGTAACTAAATATAGTGTGTACGTCAATCATTTGTCATCTTTTGTCCTTCTTTTTCTCAGAAGTCTACCGATGACCTCTTGACACCTCCAGCAGGAAGCTAGTCAGACCATGGCCACTGGTGCTGCAGTCGGGGACAGTCAGATCCAGAGGATTATCAGAGATCTGCGCGGTACGGATATGTGTGTGTGTGCGCCGTCATGACCCAGGCAGAGTCATTGTTTAGAGAGTGACAAAGAGACGTCCATGCTGGAGCACGTGCAGTTGCGATTCACAGGGGTTTTAACTTTAAACATGGGGGAAAGAGAAACGCAAAACGAAAGAGAGCTGCGCATCAGAGTTCATCACTCATATGTGCCATTTCGGTTCCTGAAGTGGATTAAAGGCGGGTGGAGGAAATATGACCAAACATGGTTAAAGATGGATTTTTTGTCAGGCCTTGAAAAAGGACTATAAAGCTGGGGCTTTGTTGGTATTTAGTTTAGCAAAAATGCTTTTTTACTTGGAGTTTTTGTCATGTTCTCCTTAAAATATCTAAAAATTCTTAAAACAAGAAGCATTTTCTAGTCATGTAAAAAATAATGTTTGGTTTTTAGATATAATAGTTAAAAGTTAAGTGAGTTTTTCCCTTAAAACAAGTTTAATAATCTGCTAATAGAGTAAGGAAAGTACTTTGTTTTCAGTTTGAAGTACATTTATTTTGCTTACGCCAAATGAACTTGTATTAAGGAAAGACTCTCTTAATTTTAACTTACTATTTCTAAAAATAAAACATTTTTTTTACTTTTCTAAAAAGTGTCTCTTAATTTTAGAATTTTTGGAGTTTTTATCTTGTTTCCAGTCCAAAAATCTAATTTAAAAAACGTATTTGCACTGCAGTGTAAAACAAGACTGTAAATAACAACAAGGCCCAACTTTTTCACTTTATGTAGGAAAAGCAATTTTTTTGCCGTGCAGATGTGTGTGTTCATGTTTTTATGTCATTTAGGTTGTTAAATTTGCTTGTTTTTGATGGTCTTTTCTTACAGATGCTGTTTCCGAACTGACAAAGGAGTATAAAGAGAGCGGTGAGCCCATTACTGATGACAGCTCCAATCTGCACAAGTTCTCCTACAAGCTGGAGTATCTGCTTCAGGTCAGAGACACAAAACACACATGTAAACAGTTTTCTAAGATTCATGGGAATTATTTTCATGCACCTGACTCCTAATCATAAACAGGAACAGCTTACTAGGGTATTAATTAAACTGCTAATGTAGTGTATGTGTGGTTTAAAGGGATAGTTCACCCCAAAATGAAGATTTACTTGCAATTTACTCTCACTCAAGTGGTTCCAAACCTTTTTGAATTTCTTTATTCTGTTGAACACAAAAGAAGATATTTTGAAGAAAACTGAAAACCTGTATCCATTGACTTCCATTAGGGATGTTCTGATCAGGATTTTTGCAGCCGATACAGAGTACCGATTCCTTGTCATGGAGATCGGCCGATATTGAGTACCGATTCTGATGCTTCAAGCTGTATTATGCACAAAGCACATTTTCCCTCTAAGTATGATATTTAAGTGTAGATCTCTACTTACCTAAGAGAATAAATAAAGGATCCCTCATTATGCCTCTTTCAGTCTATTCTCTTGCTCATTCACTCTTGTTGCCATGATTTGGGTATTTTAACTAATGTTTGGTCATCACAGAGCCGGTGGGAGACTTGCAGAGCTTCTGAGAGAGGCCTTATGGTTAAATGAGACACTAGATAGGGACGATCGCTTTGCTCATGTCACAGCGGTTCAAAACACTGGACATACAAACGTTGCAACAAAGAAATCATCACTCGCACGAGTCGCGCCAATAAACTGTATAAACAGAAGTCGCACCACATCTGTATGTATTATAGCTGCTCTATTTAGCTGCTTTATGTATAACCCGGTGCACACATGTATCTTACTCTGCTTGTAAACTCAAACAAATGCTTGATCAGTTCATGAGATCGGTCAGATCAGCAAGTACCGATTGAGTCATTAAATGGGATTATCGGCCAGTATTATACCGATCTACGACAGATCGATCGGAGCATCCCAAACTTTCATAGTAGGAAAAACAAATACTATAGAAGGCAGTGGTTACAGGCTTCCAGGTGAAAGTTAAGGGAGAGTAAATGATGACAGAATTTTAGTTTTGGATAAACTATCCCTTAAAAAAAAAAAAATACTAAACTCAAATAATTGTGCAAAAGTGTCCAAAATTTACACCTGCGTTTTGTTCAATAATCAGATCATGTCATTTCGTGTTGAAATTAAATTTTTATTATAGAAAAGTAATTAAGATGTTTTTCTATTAAAAGAAACCCACCAAGGCTGCTTTTATTTGGTCAAAACATTGTAAAAATTGCAATATAGTGAAATATTACAGTTTTAAACATTATAATTTATGTTAAGCTGAATTTTCAGCATCATTACTTCAGTCTTTAGAGTCACATGATCTTTTAGACTTCAATCTAATATGCTGATTTTTCAGCTCAGCAAACTTTATTTCATGTTTTTTTTTATTTTTCATATTTTATTTTATATTTTCATATTTCATTTTGGCAATGAATTATTTCATATTCATATAAAAAATGTGGGCTAAGTAATAAATACATACCTTTTTTCATTCATTTTTTTAAAATTGAGACATTAAATTGATCCACATTGACAGCAAATACATTTACAATGTTACAAAATTTTGGAACTTCATGCTGGAAAAAAGTGACTGTTTTCACAAAATACAGCTAAAAAAGCAGCTAAAACCAAATTCAGCTTCAACACTGTTGATAATAAAAGCCGTTATTAATACTCAAGCTATAATTATTGAGCACTAATGAGTAATCTCAGTTTTACATCAGAAATAAACCCCTTCAAAGTACATTTACGTCTTAATAATATTTCACAATTGGTTTAAACTGCTCTAATTATTGTCAGGTAAATTCAACCTTGAAAAGCTTAAAAAGCAAAAAATAAATAAATAATAATAATAATAATAATTCTGCACACTTAAAGTGCACTCACACAATGCTATCCGAACCGTGCCCAGGCCCGTTTCCCGGATCATTTGAGAAGTGTGAGTGCTCTGAATCGGGCTTAGGCACTGTTCAGTCGGCCGGCATGGCCCAGTTGGAAGAGATGTGCCAGAGTGTTCATTTGCTTTTTAAAAACATTTCACAATCACCTTTTACTACTATTGTCAGGTACATTTTATTACTATAAACCTTTATAGTAAAAACCTCTTTAAACCTCTTTAAAAAAAAAAAAACACTCATTCCATTCATTTTGGTATTATAATGGTCCCGTGCTTTATTATTTGTTCACTTTAACATGCCATGACATGCATTTAGCCACTTCTCTGAAAATCTTCGCTCTGATTAAAGCCAAACACAAGTGAACACAGGGGATGCATGTTAATATCAGGTGTAAATGACAAATATCTCGGCTGAGCACTTGAGATCTGATCACCCGAGATGAAGGTTAATACCAGGTGTGAAGCAGGCCATACGGATACACTCAAAGGCCCTTCTGCAACTAGATGAGCTCCCACATGTCCCTAAAAAACTTGAAACTTTTCCATTTACTCTTCATCAGGTCTGATTGTTAGACATTTCTCTGAAGGGTTGTGTTATCGTTTGTCTTGCTTAGTTCGACCAAAAGGAGAAAACAACATTTCTGGGCTCCAGAAAAGACTACTGGGATTACTTCAGCGACTGCCTGGCCAAAATCAAAGGAGCAAATGATGGAATTCGCTTCGTTAAATCAATTTCAGAGGTAAACATCTTTATTTTATTCGTTTTTGGTGTTGTTTTAAACATTTAGAACTTTTGCACTGTGCAAAGGTTTTAGGCCAACAATAAATCTGTTGTTTTTACTGATGGTATAATGGATATATGTGACCTTTTACTACGAAACCAGTCATATGTTTAAATATTTTTGTCATTTTTTTTTTAAATTGAGATGTGTACAGGGTGAATAAATGATCTTTGAGTTGAGGTATAGTTTGTTAGGACAGGAGTTAGGTTAGAGGTTAAATTAGTTTGGTTTCATTTTTTAAGACAATGTTGGAGAGAGGCTGTTTGTCCTGGTTTGAGTTGTTAACAACAGGGCTCGAAATTGCGACCATTTTGGTCGCATATGCGCCCGAAAATTAATCTATGCGACCTCATAATATATTTGGGCGCATTAGTGCGACTGCAGATAATGGTTGTAGTGCGACCTGTTTTGATTTTTTGTAAAAACGTGCTGAATCGCTCTTCCCTGCCGCTATATTGGTTCATATTAGCTGTCATTCACTCAAGGTATTCCGCTGTCAGATGACAGGGAAGGAGCTTTTATGACCACAGGAAATGCAAACGGCAGAAGAGTAAAAACTTAAAGCACACAGGTTTGCAAACCCCACCTAAAATTGAGGTGCAGATGAAAGCGATCATGACACGTCACGTGGTGAATAATAATCCACCAGCTGAGATCAATCGAGTACGCGCTTCATGGAGAAGGCGCCCGAATATCCATGCGTTGCATTCACTGCGTGTTCAGCACAAATGTCCGCTAAAAGTCAAATCTAATACCATCGCCAAAGAAGCTTGCCTTTACTAAGTTTACACTGAAACTGCGTCTCATAACAAACAGCGGTATTCCGCCGGTGGTCATCGCAAGAATCTTGCGCTGCCTGCTCATAAATTGGGTCGGCTGACTCGCCAGCTTTTCCACTAACACAGAAAAATGAAGATCATCTCAGACTGAATCTTTAAATAGACACAAACTGAAACCAAAACTTTTGAGTGATAGAAGTGAGACTTTACTTTCTTTCTTTTGTCTATTCTTTTTTGAGGTGTATATTATTTTTTTATTTATTTACTGATGACTGCTTTGCAGCTTTCATCATTGAATTGAATGATTTATTATAATCTTTTGTTTGTTTTGTAGCAGAAATATTATTTATTAAATTGACATGCATATAAATACAGCAGTACAAAATAAATATTTCTTACTGCAATGCTTCATTTTTGTTTGATGCAAACTATACAATTATTTTTTATAAAGTAACAGACTTTTTATAGCAGATAACCTACATTCATGCACATTCAAGGCAGCATCATAATGAGAAATGTAATTCATTTTTACTATTATTGTCATTTTCATCATCATTAATATTCTATAATTATTAGACATTAATTTTGGAATTATTGCACACAAATATCAATGTCTTCGCAGCATTAGTTAGATAGTTGTTTCTGGTTTTTGTCAGTCGAAACACTATTGATGTTGTTTTAAAATACAATAAATCCCTTAAAAAGCAATTTGCAGCTGTGCTCATTCATTTTTGGTGGGTGCTCCTAAATTTTTTCTGGTGCTCCTAAATTTATTTTGGTGCTCCTAAATATTTGAAGTTGGGAGCACCGGTGTTACCAAGTAAAAAAGTTAATTTCGAGCCCTGAACAATATTGTCAGAATTGATGGAATTTTGAATGTTGAAAAGTACAGACAGGTTTTAATCCATTACTCTGTTCCTTCTGGAAAGGACTTCAGCGGTGATAGTTTTCATTTTCAGCATGATCTGTAAATTGCAGTGTAATCCTATTTGGAGAAGGAAAACGGCTGATGAAAAACACACAGTCATGAAATGGCCTCCATAGTATCCAGACCTAAATATTATTGAGGCTGTATGGGATCACCTCGACAGAAAAAAATATAAGACACTGTAAACCTAAAGATGAACTCTGAAAAGGGCTAAAAGAGGCCCGGTCTTACACTGCACATTATTTCAGAAAATGTTAGAACAATTAGAACAAAACCAAGGGAAGCCACATTAAACAGACACCTGCTTGAAGAGGAAATGTTGAGCTATTGTTGTTTTTTGTACATATTTCCTACATTTTCTGTTTGTTTTTATTAAAGAAACTAATTGATTATGTATTGTGCAAAAAGGCCAGAAAAGCTGGTATAGTGCTTAGGACTTTAACTTTAGCACAGTACTAATATTTATTTATTTATTTATTTATTTATTTATTTATTTATTTATTTATAACAATTAGTTTAGTACACCAAATTAAAACAATTAAATGTTTTCTTTTTGACCTTTTAATCTCAAATTAATCGAAATACTGCATTGGCTATTTGTACTTTTTAGTAGATTTTTTGATTTAGCATTAGCTAAATTTTTGCAAGATCATAAGTGTCAGTTATTGCAGGTAAAAACATTTATTGTTAGTTCATTTTAGCTCAGGTCAGTTAAATTAATATCAACATATACAACTTATGATTTATTATATTAACAATAACTAAGAATAATAGAAGTTTTAGAAGTTTTGTTCTTTGTTTGTACACTAATGTAGTTTTAATATGATTCAGACCAAATGTATTTATTTATTAATAATATTTTATTTTATTTTATTTTTGTTTTTAAAATTCTAATTTATTTTATTTTAAAACTTTTTTGTTTAAATTTGTTACCAACTTTATAAATAAACAATATTGAATTCAATTTTATTTTATTTTTTATTTAAATATTGTTATTTTATTCTATTTTATTTTATTATATTTGTTTTACTTTAATATTTTATTTAGTTTTAAAACTTTTTAAAAATTTGTTACTAAATTTATAACTAAATAAACAATACTTAATTTTATTCAATTATTTTTTATTTTATTTTATTTATATTTGTTTTATATTATTTTACTTTAAAACATTTTTGGTTAAATTTGATACCAAATTTATAAGTAAATAAACAATATTTAATTCAATTTCATTTAATTAAATTTTTTTATTCATTAATTTATTTTTATTTCATTCTATTTAATTTAATTATATTATTTATTTATTTATTTTTATTTTATTCTATTTTATTTATATGTATTTTATTAATTTATTTAATTATTTTATATTAAAGATTTTTTGTTTAAATTGGTTACCAACCTTATAAATAAATAAATAAACAATGTTTAATTTAATTACATTTTATGTTTATTTATTTAAATGTTATTTTATTATTTTTATTTTATTTTATGTATATTTTATTTATTTATTTATTTATTTATTTAGTTTTAAAACTTTTGTTTAAATTTCTTCATAAATAAATAAACAATGTTTCATGTAATTCAATGTAATTATTTATTTGTTTATTTTTAATTTATTCTGTTTTTATTTATATTTATTTTATTCTATTTTATTTGTCATCAAATTTATAAATGAATAAACAATATTTAATTAATGTAATTAATACATTTTTAATAATTTAATTTAATTCTATTTAAATAAATTTTATTTATATAAATTTTATTCTATTTTATTTATTTATTTTGTTTTATTTAAATTTTTTATTCATTTTATTTAATTTTTTTATTTGAGTTTTTAATTTAATTACATTTTTTTCTATTTTATTTTAATAGTTAACTACCCCTTTTTTATTTTATGTATTGTATTAAACTTCTCTTACCAAACATTCCTGTAGACACGCTACTTTTTATTTAAAACAAACCTCATTATCGGCTTTGTAAAGTTCCGTTTTCTTACTGAAATACAACAAAGTTTAATTATACTATTGAATTCATTCTTCCTTATGCTGGCCTAATGCACTGATCTAAATGCCATCCTTCTTTTTAAATACACCACTTCTGCATGTCTGCTGTCTGATAATGTCATCAGCTAGATTGGTTTGTATTGTCTTAACTACACACAGCTTCCTCCTGCTCTGCTGCGGTTGGTTTCAGTGGCAGAGATGCTACATTTTGGGATTTGATGTTATAATTGGTGATTTATTCAGCTTTAGGCAACTTACTGGTTGTTGGATGTTCCGTGTTGTTATTGTAATCATTGGTGTTATGCAGCAGATGCTCCTCCAGTTGCATCCCAGTACTGGGAAACACCCATACACTCTCACAATCACAAACTTATACACTACAGCCAATTTAGTTAAATACATAAACACTGTCAATCGAAAAGTGTTAGTAGTATATAAAAGTCCTTGGAACCACTAAAAACATCTTAGCAACACTTTATTTTCTTTACATAACTTCACAGTGAACAGAAAACATGATAATTATTACAAACATTGAATATAAAACAGCTCATTTTATGCCCAACGCAGTTTATGAAGAGCAGCGCAAATTACGTTACAAGCTAGCGCAGCCATAGATGTCAATGTGTGTGTGTGTGTGTGTGTGTGTGTGTGTGTGTGTGTGTGTGTGTGTGTGTTTGTAATCTACTTACAGCACAGGTGCAAAAATAGGTGAAAGCATGCTTTTTTTGGGTGATAAAATATGGGAAAGACACCAGTAAATTGACTACTGCAAACCTTTGAAAGTCACTCTGCTTGATTTATTCTACTTTTGAATTATTCTCACCCCATCTGATTGGAAAACACGTACAATTGGAAATTATAAGTTCTGCTGCAGACATTTTTTTAGTGTTTTAAAATATGTAATAGTGCTGGGAAAACATTAATTTTAATCTATAATTAAAGTTTGTTTTGACATAATTTATGTGTGTGAACTGTCTGTGTACACATATTATTTATATGTGCATATACACATGTATATTTGAGAAAATGTTTATATATATTTAGATATAAGGTATATATGTATATTGTAGAAAATATATATGTTTATATTTCTGTGTAACAAAATAGTTTTGTATAGCTTTATTATATAATGTAGTTTTGTAATATAATTTAAACATTGTGTTTATTTGTTTAAATCTGTTAGGAAATTTATGGTAATTGATTAATTAATTTATTCATTTATATATTTATTTGTTTTTTTATATATTTTTTTATTTTTATTTTTTAATTTAATTTACTGTATTTTTAATTTAATCTATTTTATTTTAATTTAATTTATTTAAATTTGAGTTATTTTAATTAAATTTATCAATTTATAATGAGTGTGTGTGGATGTTTTTTAATTGTAGCTGGAAGTGCATAAAAAATGCTGGATAAGTTGGCAGTTTATTCCGCTGTGTGAACCCAGATTAATAAAGGGACTAAGCAAAAAAAAAAAAGAATAATTTAATTTAATTTAATTTAGTTTAGTTTAATTTATTAATATTTTAACTTTATTTTTAATTTAGTTTAATTTAATTTATTTTGATTTAATTTATTTTATTTTAATTTAATAAAAAAAAAAAAAATTCCGGCTTAGTCCCTTTATTAATCTGGAGTTGAAATGAACAGTGAAATGAACCACCAACTTATCCAGAATATGCTTTATGCAGCGGATGCTTATTCACACACATACACTATGGACAATTTAGTTTACAGCTATTAATTTAATTTAATTTAATTTAATTTATTATTTATTAATATTTTTATCTTTATTTGTAATTTATTTTAATTTGATTTATTTTGATTTCATTTATTTTATTTTAATTTAAATAAATTTTTTTTTCTGGCTTAGTCCCTTTATTAATCTGGAGTTGACATAGTGAAATGAATCACCAACTTATCCAGAATATGCTTTATGCAGCGGATGCTTATTCACACACATACACTATGGACAATTTAGTTTACAGCTATTAATTTAATTTAATTTCATTTTAAATTTTATTTTATTTCATTTATTATTTATTCATATTTTTATCTTTATTTTTAATTTATTTTAATTTGATTTATTTTGATTGAATTTATTTTATTTTATTCTGGCTTAGTCCCTTTATTATTCTGGAGTTGACAGTGAAATGAACCACCAATTTATCCTGCATATGCTTTATGCAGCGAATGCTTATTCACACACATACACACATAAATGTCTGTGTTATTGGTTACCTTCTTCTTTTTTTAATATTGTGTTGTGTTGTGGTAGTTCTCATCTCAATACTTTCCTGTAGACATGCAACTTTTATTTAAAACAAACCCTCTAAAACGTCTTGGTTTTGTAAAGCTCCATTTTCTCACTAATATGCTACAGGGTTTAATTCTAATATTGATTCTATTATTCTTTATACAATATATGCTGGTGTGATCCATTAATTTGCATACAAAACTATGTCAAGCGAACAGACATGTGGTCACAATTCAATTTAAAAACAGCCTTGCATCATAATGCAGGGGTTGGCAACACAGTTGATGTTTTCATTCATATTTAAAGCTTTGTTTTGTTGTGTGTCTCAGCTGAAGACGTCTCTGGGCAAGGGCAGAGCATTTATCCGTTACTCTCTGGTGCATCAGCGGCTGGCAGACACACTCCAGCAGTGCCTCATGAACTCCAGAGTCACCAGGTACCACAATTCACTGACAACTCACCTGTCATGCTGAGCATCTTTCCTCACAAACACTCCATTTACCTTTCAGATCTTTAAACTCTTCTTTTACGTGACACATCTGACATTGAAATGTTGTCCTGTGGGTATTATTAATATTATGTTATTTTGGGTATTTTTTCCTGCAGATGTACAGTATGTAAACATTTGCACATGTAAAATGGATTTCATATACAGTAAATATGTTTACAGTGCATTTTAAATACATATACAGACATAGTGTTGGACATATACATATATTGTCGGTACATTTCAATTATGTGCAGGCCAATTTAAAGGTTCAGGACACCCTGGAGAACTTTTTTTTTATATTAACAGATTTGTGTGTGTTGAGCATCAGTTAAGACAATGTTAGCACCTGTCAGCTTTAATTGTGGGGAAAACTGGATACTTTTGAGCTTTTATAAGCTAATTTCAGCTTCCGGGTTTTAAATGATTTTTGGGGTGGGATCAAAATCGGCGACGTAGCGCAGTACTGCAAGTGCAATGATGACGCGTCGGTTTCTCATTATTATTCATAGCGGAGTTTTCTTATCCTATGAGAAGAGCCGGCTGCTTAATTATTCATGAGACCTGCCAGAGTCAAGCCCGAGCTGTGAGACACGTCTCGGACCCACGGCACGGGCACACAATATTTAACCGTTCATGAAGGCTCATATGCGTTTGTTTCCATGATCCACGGGGTTTGTTGCATGTTTTCCCCCGCGATCTTGTCAGGGCCGATCATACAGCAAAGCTGTGTGTGTGCTGCTAGCATTTTTGTCGGGAGAGCAGCACGAGAATTAGAGAATGGCGGACGCTGTCTTTTATCAGTAGTTCGTTTACATTCAGACACATCACTGTGCTGCTGTGTTTGCCTAAATCCTCCAGATTACCAGCAGGGCTAATGGTTAAAATAGGCAGGTCAGGAGTCCTGCTGCACTGAGTCTGCTGGATACCGGGATTGAGGGAGAAGTCCTCATTTATAGGGTTTACATGAACACACTTATCTTTATAATGATATAAATTGTGGTTATGTGTATATGAAATTACGAATAACAAATGTAGCAGGGCATTAAATCACTGTTCATTTCTTTGCATTTTAACTTTGTAAACTATAAACTCATGCGTCTCCTCACGGTTTGTCTCATTTTGTGAGCTAGCTACGTTCGCTCACGTTCTCCCCTGCTGGCCACACCCACTCCTGCCCGATGCTCGCGGAGCTCCACACCTATTAATCATGCATCTTTTGAAAAAATTCTGAAGTAGACTTTAACCGAAAGTGGGGGGTGTCATGGCCCTTTAAGTTTACCCTTTTTAATACTGCTGTTGAATCACAATTCGAGAGCAATATCTGATTTTTATTAGTTTATTTTTGATCAATCATTACTTTTTTGACTTTCAAGAAATTTCTGTGACCACTGCACTTTTGTTTTTTAAACCAACAGCCATTTTCAACATCTGTTTAATAATATGTGTACAGCACAGCTTTTTAAAGCACTTTAGTTAGAATTTTCAAATATGCAATCTTTGGGAAAGATATTTATATTATTGTATTAAATACTATACACTACCTGACAAAAGTCTTATCATCGATCCCAGTTGTAAGAGCAACAAATAATAACTTGACTTCTAGTTTATCATCACAAATACTGCAGAAGAACTACTGGAACCTGCATGGAGCCAAGATTCTGTGAGAAATCAGTCAAGTTTGGTGTAGGAAAAATCATGGTTTGGGGTTACATTCAGTATGGGGGTGTGCGAGAGATCTGCAGAGTGGATGACAACATCAACAGCCTGAGGTATCAAGACATTTGTGCTGCCCATTACATTACAAATCACAGGAGAGGGCAAATTCTTCAGCAGGATAGCGCTCCTTATACTTCAGCCTCCACATCAAAGTTCCTGAAAGCAAAGAAGGTCAAGGTGCTCCAAGATTGTCCAGCCCAGTCACCAGGCATGAACATTATTGAGCATGTCTGGAGTAAGATGAAGGAGGAGGCATTGAAGATGAACCAAAAGTATCTTGATGGACTCTGGGAGTCCTGCAAGAACGCTTTCTTTGCCATTCCAGATGACTTTATTAATCAGTGATTTGAGTCATTGCAGAGATGTATGGATGCATGGAAGCTCATGATGGAGTCAGACACAATATTCATTCTGTTTCCACTGCAGCATGACTTTATATTCTATACTGGACATTATTTCTGTTAAGTGACAAAACTTTTGTCGAAGCAAAGTCAGACCTTACTGTCCTAATGAAATAATAAAAAAATCAAGGCATGATCATATTTTATTTTAGTCAAATAATCGTATTCTAGAGGCCATTGCCTTTCATATAAGCCACTTCTGACTCCAAGTGATCACTAGAAGTCAAGATGTTATTTGTTGTTTTTTAAAACTGAGAGACTTTCGTCAGGTTGTTGTTGTGTGTGTGTTTGTGTATATATATATTTAACCTAGTTAAGCTTAGTTAAGCCTTTGGCTCTTTTATTAGTTTTTTTTTTTTTTTGCACTTTAGGTTAAGTAATAGTAACCTAAAAAATAACTACTGTTATCATTTTAAAGACAAAAAATAGTTATTAGAAACTTGATATTCGAATTTATATGTATAAAATGTGCTGAAAAAACCTCTTTGTTAAAAAGCATAAAGTACTTTATACAGTAAAAACAAATGAACTTAAAAATACAAACATTACTGACAAAACAAATACATGTGTATATGGGAATTCCGTTCAGTCTTACTGAGACGGTCTAAAGTCATTTTATTTATCATTTTAGTTTAATAGTAAATTTACTCATTTGAAAATAACTTATTTATACCTGTCCAACATTTAGCAACCATGTGCGTGTAAAATAAATAAATGTTTGTGCACCATTTTGGTGATTATGACATTTTTTTTCCAACCAAATATAGGTCGGGTCATCAGTGTGGAGCATAAAAACATGTGTAAAATGATTTACCATCTAACCCAAAAAAGGCAAAAATCTGTTGGTTTGCTGGCATTTCCGCATGTTCTAGTTACCATACTATCACAGAGCTTAATTCAGCAGAAGCAGTACCGAGACCAATTCCCACACAGAGTTTTACTTCTTTAAATTAGCTTCCCTGTTTTAAGAAAACAATATTATATTTATTCTAGGTTAACGGGAGCGTACTGTACCCATTTATGTAAGGTTAATGCTGGCTTCCTTATTTTTGATACAATTTTATGAATTGTCAGGCAGTGCAATGTTTCGGCCTCATTCACTATGCTCTGACTGCATTAATACAGATTCAGAGTTTCTCTCAACACTAAAGTTTGCATTTACTCTTCATGAAACCTTTAGATAAGGCTGCGGTTTCTATGCTTTTACTCTACAGTTAAAAAGGAGCTGTGCTGGTAGTGCGGAAATATGTTCTGTGGTACATTGATGTGTGAATTTAGGGACATGCATAAAATATGGCTTACACACACACACACACACACACACACACACACAAAACAACAGCACCAAAGAGCTTTCATACTTTTCTGTTGTATAAAATTGAAGTCAGAATTATTCGCCCTCCTGTGAATATTTTTTTTATTTTATTTTTTAATATTTCCCAAATTATGTTTAACAGAGCAAGGGAATTTTCACAGTATGTCTGATAATACTTTTTCTTCTGGAGAAAGTCTTGTTTGTTTAATTTCAGCTAGAATAAAAGCAGTTATATATATATATATTTTTTTTTTTTTTTAAACCATTTTAAGGTCAAAATTATTAGCTCCTTAAGCAATATCTATTTTGATAGTCTACAGAACAGACCATCCTTTTACAATGATTTGCCTGATCACCGTAACTTGCCTAATTAACCTAGTAAAGCTTTTAAATGTCACTTTAAGCTGAATACTAGTGTCTTGAACAATATCTAGTCAAATATTATGTTCTGTCATCATGGCAAAGATAAAAGAAATCAGTTATTAGAAATTACTTATCAAATCAGTTTAAAAAGTTGTATAAATATGTATTATTAAAGGAATATAATGTTGAAGGTGATTTTTTTTTTGGGGTCTATGTTACAAAATGTAAAGGTACAAATGGATTTAAACATATAATATGTCAAAGATGCCAAAAGGATAAAATATGTCTCATGTAAAAAAAAGAGATGAGGGAACGAAGAAATAGGTTTCAGTAAAAGACGATTGAAGTATGTGGTAATGGGGTGGGAAAATAATAAGCTTTTGCTTCATCCCACTCCATTTCGACCATGTTGAATTGTATTTTTTATTTTATTTTTTTTTGTTATTTGATATTTTATGTATATTTTTAATCGAAATTAAATAAATCAAATCAAAATCAAAATCCAAAAAAAAAAAAAAAAAACGATTAGGTTTAGAAATGTCTTGAAGAAAATCTTCTCTCTGTTAATCAGAAATTGGGTAAAAAAGGTCTTGTAATTTTGACATCAACTGCTAAAGGTTGTTGTGAGTATAATGTTAGTCAAAAATTCATCATTTTATTTTCAAATTCACTGCAAGTACGAACCCACCTAGAAACCTCTTGCATACTTTTTCAAACCCAATATGATTTAAAAGCAACAGCATGTTAAACAGTTTTCGCAAAGTCACATGATGTTTATTTACTGGTGTCTTTCTGATTGTAGTGACTGGTATAATCCGAGGAGTCCGTTTCTCAAACCCCATCTCAGCGTGGACATCATTAGTTATCTCTACGAGCTCAATGATGTCCAGTTTGATGTGGCATCCAGAGGTCATGACCTTGACGCAGAATGGCCCACTTTTGCCAGGTAAGAGCCTACGCAGACCATTTTATTAGCAGAGTTTCACTTTTAAACCAGTCCAATCACACAAGGAAACAAATCTATTTTCATATTGTCAGAAAAGTGGCTAGTTCATGGAACTTCATATGATTTTAGTTTGTATGAAAAATGTGCGGTTTCTAAAAGGTGGTATGTGTCTAAACCGCACAATATCTGTTAAAACAAAATCACATAATTTTTTTATGTCCATGCTGGAATTTATTTAGTAAATGCTTTTCCATTGTAGTCTATGCAGATTTTTGTATTAGATATAAAGTTTACCCTGGTCAATATATGCACGCCTTGGCATTTCACTTTTTATGCGATATTTCAGAATTTCAATAAAAACAGGTGCATGGAAACAGAACTAAGGAGACACATATTCATTACTTATATATTTTGCAGTTAAGTCTTCATTTTAGAGGTCGCCACAGTGGAATGAACTGCCAACTAATCCAGCATATGTTTTACGCAGCTGATGCCCTTCCAGTACTAAGAAACACCCATACACACTCATTGACACTATACACTACGGCCAATTTAGTTTATGTAATTCAACTATATCGCATGTGTTTGGACCCATGCCAACACAGGGAGAACATGCAAACTCCACACAGAAATGCCAACTGGCCTAGCCAGAACTCAAACTAGTGACCCTCTTGCTGTGAGGCGAGTCAGGCGACAGTGCTAACCACTGAGTCACCATGCCGCCCTGACACATAATTCTGCTAATTTATGGTCTTTGTCTCGTTTATTTTTTGTACTTTATTTAGAGCAGAATGGGTTTGATATGAAGCTGATTGATGTTCAGTTAAGTTTAATTGAGTGAAATATCTTACAGGAGGACATTAGGAATGACTAGCTCTCCCAGTCACTTGTGGAAAGCACCGAGTCGTAGTTCCAGCATCAACAGTCTGGCCAGCACATACTCACAGGTACCCACACACCGGTAGAAAGAGCCTCTTGCTTTTGCCTTATAACTATTGTATGTAAATTGTTATAACGTTGTGCATATGTATGTATTTATTTATTTATTTATTTATTTATTTATTTATTTATTTATATATTCAATTAATTAATTCATTCATTCATTCATTTATTTTAATGTCAATCCTACCATGGACAGGTTTTAAGAATTAGCAAGTCTGCTAAAACACTTAAACAAATGCATTTGGTTTGTCCAGTGTAATTGTCATTTTATAAATAAACAATAAATAAGTAAAATAAATGTATTGTTCACCCCAAAATAAAAATGTACTCTCTATTTAAATACTCTGAAGTGCTTTACAAAAAGTTTGAGTTTCTTTTTTCTGCTTATTTGAAGATTTAGAAGATGTTTTGAAGAATGTTAGAAATCTGTAACTACTTTTTTTGTTTGTGACTGAAGTTTAGTGAAATTATGACAGAATTTTCAATTTTGGGTGAACTAAGTAAAGTTCCTAGATATAATATTATATATTATCATTTTAAAAAGTTGCATTTTATAGTGTTAAATATATATCATGTATTATATTATATAATGTAATGCATCACTATTTACAGTTAAAGTCAACATTATTCGCCCTCCTGTGAATTTGTTTTCTTTTTTTAAATATTTCCCTAAGGATGTTTAATCTCTTTAAAGCCAAGGTGTTTTTTTTACATGCATTTTTTTTCTCTCTTTGCAATTTGGGCTTATTGGAACCTAATTAGAATAAAAATCTAAGTATCATCTTTTGATATGATGTACTTTTAGAGAAAAATGATGTCCATATATTTGGACTCGTGGTCCGAATTTACATAAAACACTTTTTCCTGACTGTTTTTAATGCATATTTAACATAGATTTTTGATCAGACTATCAGAGAGTAAAAACAAATTTTTTTGCCCATTTTGGACAGCTAAAAATAGGATTTGGGACATTTCATTTGCTGCAAAACAGTTTCAGGATGACACTATATGTCTGTAACAAAATAATAAAAAAAATTAAGTATTTTAAATAGCCACTTAAGAGCTAAAATGTGCTGTCCACGTATGTGGCCACTCGATCCCTAGGATGTTATTAGAGCAAGGAAATTTTCACAGTATGTTTGATAATTTTTTTTGTTGTGGAGAAAGCCTTATTTGTTTTATTTCGGCTAGAATAAAAGCAGTTTTTAATTTTTTTAAGGCCATGTTAAGGTGGGAATTATTAGCTCTCTTAAGCAATATTTTTTGGATTGTCTACAGAATAAATCATTGTTTTACAATGACTTACCTAGTCACCCTAACCTGCCCAATTAACCTAGTTAAACCTTTAAATGCCTCTTTAAGCTGAATACTGCTATTTTGAAAAATGTCTAGTATAATATGATGAAAACTAATATTTAGAAGTGTGTTGAAGAAATCTTCTTTCCCTTACACAGAAATTGGGGAGAATATACAGAGGGGGCTAATAATTCAGGAGGGCTAATAATTCTAACTGTAAATACTATAGCTGTAAATACTAGAGTTTGTATTATTGTTTTATATCCAGCAGATGGCAGTGTTTGTCTCAAATTTGCTCAGATTCAACTTGAAGCAATTAATTTTTTTTCTGATTATCAACTCAATTTGTTTCTCTCCAAACCTTACAGCAGCACCATGAGTTCCCTGGGAGTCCAGACTTTGGACCTGGGCTTTTATCAGATATGTCTATGCAAAACTCCAGCATACTGAATGATACCTCAATGAGTGCTATAGACGAACTCCGTCTGGAGCTTGACCAGTCTGAATTAAAGCAAAGAGAGCTTATTGACCGGATTCAGCAGTTAGGTGATGAGGGGAGTGAACTGCGTGGAGTTGTTGTGGAACTGCAAAGGCAGCTAGATGTTTCTTTAGCGGCCCAAGGTAACCATCAGGAGCTACAACGTAACCTGGAGGTCTTAATTGAGAGCGAACATGCACTCTCCCGTGAGGTGGAGGTCTTAAGAGATCGAGAAACCAGGAGGGAGGTTTCCCATAAAGACCTTCAGGACATGCTGGCAGCAGCGGAGCGTAAAAACGAGGAGCTGATGACAAGGCTAGATGGAGTATTGGATGAGAAAGGTCAAAGGGCGGCCAGTGATTTCAACTCAGCCCAGAAGATTCACGAGCTTTTGAATGAATTAAAAGAGGCTGAGAAGAAGAGGATGGATGCTCTGGCTGAAGGAGAAGAGAAGAGGAGGCATGCTGAACATCTTGCCGAGGAAGTCAAAGTGAAAGATGAAGCTCTCAAAGAGGCTGAGGTGAAAATGGCAGCTTGGATGGAGAAGGGTGAACAACTGCAAACCAGGGCGGTGGAGCAGCGTAATTTCATGGAGAAACTTCAAGGTGCACTTGCAGTAAGAGAGAAAGAGACCAGCAACCTGCAGAGGCAACTACGAGATCTTCAGAACTCTCTGGAGAACATGGAAAAGCAGGCCAATGTGGAGAAGAAGAGGATGCAAGATGATAAAGAAGAGCTTGAGATGAAAATGAATGGTCTAGAGGGGCTGTTACAATCACTTCGGACACAGTTAAAGGTTAAAGAATCTGATCTTCTCTCCAGTACCAAGAGAGTTCATTTCCTGGAGAGGGAATCAGAGAAGCTTAGGAGCGAGAATCAGAAGTTGGAGTATGAGTTGGAGAACAGCACCAAAAAGGAGGCCAAGAAGATTGATGAATACAAGGATAGCTGCGCCAAGCTTATTGAGCAAAACACTAAGCTTCTGCAGACGGTGAATAAGAATGAAGAGAGCAAGAAAGAGTTGCTTGAAAACAAATCATCCTTGGAGAGCGAGTTGGCGGGATTGAGGGCCTCAGAGAAGCAGTTACGAGCTCAAATCGATGATGCCAAAGTGACTGTGGATGAACGAGAGCAGCGGCTGAGAGAGGAGAACAGAAATCTGGATGAGAGTCTGCAGAAGGCCAACATGCAGCTGGAGGAATCCGAGAGCTCAATTCGGCAAAAGGAGCAGGAGAACAAGGACCTCATGGAGGTTCAGGTCACTCTTAAATCAGCTCTCGCAGCCATGCAGAAAGAGATACGTGACATAAACAACCAGATCGGTGAACTTGAGAAGAATCTTGGAGTTGCGAGGTGTAACGAAGCAAATCTGAACGCGCAGCTTAAAGATAAGGCCACCCAGCTGGAAGATCGAGAGAAGCTCTGTGAGGAGCTCCAGGGAAGAGTGGAAGAACTGGAAAGTCGGCAGAGGGATTTGGAAGTGGAGAAGACAAAAGCAGAAAGAGCCTTTGTTAAACAAACAGAGATGATTCAGAGTCTTGAAGCACAGAGAAACCTGGCAGAGAAGACACAACTTGAAAAAAGCACATGTCAAGCTAAAGAAACTAAAGAGATGGCCTTAAAATTGACTCTTCTAGAAGATCAACTGGGATTGAGTGCGAAGGAAGTTTCTAAGCTACAAGAGGAAGTGGTTAATCTCAGGGCTAAACTTCACAGTGCTGTGGAGGAGAAGGACAAGACGCAAGCAAAGCTTGAGGTCACCGAAGCTTCCTGTGCTGAACTGCGGATCTTGACTGAGCACTTGAAGAAGCAGGCCGAGGAGCAGAATCGGCTGCATGTGAGCGAGCTGCTGCAGTCTAGTGAACATGTTGATAAATTAACTTCGCAGCTGAACCAGGAGACCTCAGCGCATGAGAAAACCACTGCAGCACTTGCTTCCGCTAAAGAGGATCTAGTGGCTCTCAAGGCCCAGAATGAGCGGATGGTCCTGGAGAATGCGGAAACCAGAGAGAGTCTCCACCGGGTCAACACTGAAATGGCAGAGTTGGGAATGACTATTTGCAAGCTCACCGCCGAGCGGGAAGAGGCCCGGGAACGTTGGGCCGCTGAAGCTGTACGCATCCAAGAACTTCAGCAGCACGGAGTGAAGGAGACAGAGCGACTCAATGCCAGCTTGGTGGCTCTGCATCAAGAAAACTCCAGTCTGCAGGAAGAGCTCCAGCAAACAGACAAACTGTCAGAAACCATGCTGGAGCTAAAGCAGCTGCTGGACAAAACTGAGGGCGAACGGGACGCTGCACGGGAAGAGATCACCGCTGTGAAATTCCAGATGAGCACAGAGAGCATGTCTCTCAAGCACCAAATGAAGGTAAAACTGTCTTCAAATCATCACTATCATTATTAGTTTAAATCCTGTCAAATGCTCTCTCTGCATTCGTGTCACGACAGAGTTACAATAATTACAAGATGACAACTCTAATCTGTACAAGCTCGCGGAAATCATTTGTTTCTATGGCAACACTTGTGTGATGACAAAATGCATCAAATTTATTACAGATTTCTTTCTTTTATATGTGCTTTATTCATATTAAAGTACTAATGATAAAAGTAAGAGAGATTTGACAAACATATGTAACATATATTATCAAAGCCTTTTTGGTTATATTTTCAGATGTCACAGAAGTTCAGCGAGAGAAATGGTAATAGTTTGACTTCAGCTATGTGAATGTGTTATATAAGTCTGGTACTCATAATTACTGTAATTCTAAAGTGACACAAATTTTCAGTAGACTGTAGTTCTGTTTTATCTGGTTTACTTTTGAAACCCAAGGATATTTATACATATATGTTGTTTAATTATACAGAATGTTTTTTTTTTTTAATAGTGTATGTGTGAAGTACAGGGCAGTTTGACCCCCTTATTAATGCTTTTAGGCGTCTGCCATTTATATAATGCAAAAAGGTTTACTCTTATCTGCATCTTATATAATAATAATAAGTTAGTATAACATACATTTCTTTGTACATACACCCCTATATAATGGTTTGTATCGTGCACAGTAGGGATGTGCAAAAATATTTAGTTGTTGATCAAAAGGTGTGTTTTTGTTTTTATAAAATACGTGTTTGGATATACGTGAAGTCTATAAGTATAGTTAGACATAGTTTGTGTTTTAATAGATGCACACATGGAAGTTAAACAGTAAAAGAGGAAGAGTGATCTTTCATTATCATATATTTATTGATGTTATGATGCAAACTTGTCACTGTTTGACGAAATGTACAGAAAAATAGGAGAATGGCATGTCTGTTGGGAAAAATAAATAAATATATATGTATGTGTGTGTTTGTGTGTGTATATATATATA